GTCCAAATTTTCCATGCGTGGAAGTTCGTCAGATGGTGTAACAAGAGGACACGTGTCGAAAAAATCGCCCCGCAGGACCACTTTTGAACATACTTTGGGCCTCGCGTGAGAGAAATTCTAGAAAGTGGTGCTTTTTGAGTAAACCTAGGGCTGAATATGAGAGAAATCTGAAAGTCAGGGGCGGGGATATACTTTCCCGAAATTGTCGCTTCGTAATCCGTAATCGAGATTACGGGAGTGGGCGGCCGAGTCACGGGGGATTACGGGAGTGCTCCGCAAAAAAAAGCTCCCGTCGCCTCCGCGAAGGTTCCCCCCCCCATATATTAATGACCCCCCCACCACCCCCGCTAAGGGTCAGGCCAGCTTAGGGTTGGCTTCTGACCAAGCGACAGCCCTGTTGCGTCGATGGGGAACACGGGCGAACTGGTGGCGGAGAATATCATCAATGCGCGATGCAAGTACACGAAATCCCTCCCGCTTCAATTTCCCGCGTCACTGCGAATTCCGCCCGTCTTTTTGGGTTTGACTAGTGGTTGTCGCAGCGTCGCATTCAAACTTCCACACCACAGGCCTCCTCAAGTCCTCCCTGTCCTTCGTCTTCCCGTCGCCTCGCCGGGGCAAGGTTCATCGCGAAACTCGCTCGCGAAATACCCTCTACAGAGTTTTCACCCATCCCAGTCCAGACACCAGAAATATTTCAAGCTTATAATCTGTACATAATATATAAAAAATTCCTGTCTTATTGTACTTACGTGCGTACTATGTTCAAATTGTATTTGCGTTCACACACTGCGATAGAGGGTGAACTACGTCACGTGGATTGTATCAAATCAGCCATGCGTTCTGTACAAGTGTTTTAACAAAAATTTCTCCAAAGCAGCAAATCAGTTTAAGTAAAGCCGCAGCAAGCAAATACGAGCATACGGTAGTCAGAATTGTGACGTGCCGGACAGTTTTCTGCCAGTTTCCGTATCGCCAGCAGTCGAATCTTGTAAGTGTTAAGGGTCAACAATCAGCTCCCATGTCAGCTTCTGTCAGTCAATTTGCGCTGAGGAACACCTATCAGTCAGCCATCTGGCATAAGCCATATGCCATCAGCAAACGTGCATCAGCCATTCAGCACGAGCCAGCACAGGATGCTGCGTGTGTGAGTGTTAGCTGGGTGTGATAACTCCAATCGAGTCAGTTCATAAAGGAGCGACAGGTGGCGGCACCACAGCGGCAGGGTACCCTGTCCTTCTCCTCCCTGTCAAACCGGTAGTCATACCTGCATCGGGGGAAGGGAGGGGGAACGGGAAGGGTGGAAACCGAGGGCTTTTTAAGTCGACTAAAAAATCACCTGGGTGGCACCGCAGCGGCACAGCACTTGGTGACTCTCCTCACAGTCAGACTGGAAGTCATGCCTGCATGATGGAAAGGGCAAGGGCGGACAGAGGGGGTTGGCAGGGGTGGTTGGGTGCATGTGTGTGTGTGTGTGTGTGTGTGTGTGTGTGTGTGTGTGTGCGCGTGCGTGCGCGGATGCATGCGTATGTGCATGTAAGTGAGGGCTTGGATGTGTGCCGTTTGTGTGTGAGAGCATGTATGGCTGTGCATCAGAGGCATGGGTGGTGGACTGCGGAAGCACATGCATCAGTACACTCACGTTAGCTCCTCTCCCATGCGGATTGGGCGGCGAGCAATGATGACGATGATCGCGCTCGGGTGGCCATCCTTGACCTCTACGTCAAATATCTTGGCAAAGCAGTTGGGGTTGCACTGATGAAAGGGGAGAGGGAAGAGGAATGACAAGGGGGGCAAAAACGATGGGTGGGTTTTGAATGGAATGAGTTACAACATGTTGGGTGCCTCAAGCATAGCAGGAATGAACAACATTGGATTCAAGAGCTGCACGCAAAGAAGCAGAAGCAGATGGCATGTACTGTATGTCCAACTGATTCAACATGGTACAGAGCGGTTCAGCATGGTACAGAGTGGTTAAGCGTGATACATACGGAGTGGTTCATCATTCTGGCATAGTTGCTGGCCATGGTGGCATCCACCACTCTCTCCTCATCCACCTTGAACAGCTGAGGGTCACAATCGGGGGCACAACACAGCATATGGAAGTTGGGAGGATTTTGTAAGTTGTTTTCTTGAACAGGTGAGGCAATCGTGGCATCCACCACTCTCTCCTCGTCCACCTTGAACAGCTGAGGGTCACAACACAGCACACAGCAGTATGAGCATAGGGCACATCACATGGGATTTGTAAGAATAATGCAGCTGTCCACAAATCCCACATCTGTCTTGCTTGAACAGTGGAGCCCATGGCGGCATCCACCACTCGCTCCTCGTCGTCCACCATCAGCTGTCTCTCCTCGTCCACCTTGAACAGCTGTGGGTGTCAATTTGGGGCGGATCACATGGGAGTAGGGAGCGTGCATGAGACTCATATGATGGAACCACGGAAGACACATCACAGAAACATTGCATGCACCAGCCTCACATGCACCTGCCATTTCGCCCTTCGTTATACTCAAACAACACAGATCCCCTTCGTTATACTCACATAGCACAGCTCCCCTCTGTCACGGTATCGCTTCTCCCTCAGCTCTGCCACACTCCTCCTCAACGCCTCCCCTCGATAGTCCACCACCTGATATAGTCACAACGGGAACAGAGTGAGATTGCTCACGTGATGGTTAGTGCCTGAACACTGCTTAAAAGACCGCCCACACCACCGTCGCCTGCACGAATCCACGCACACACTGATACCAACACCCCCACCCACACATACACCAACACACAATCACTCACCAGACACTGATACACCCTACCTCACACACACACACAACCACACACACCAGCACACACACTCTGTCGCACCCTTCCCCACACACACTCGCACTCACCATCTCGCCCTCCTCAATGTCTCGCCTCGCCACCAGCCCCCAGTCGTGGATGGCCGACCGCCCGAACGTGACTCTCTGCCACGCCGTCGCCTGTAGGGGGCAGAGCAGAGCCAAGCAGAGCAGGGCAGAGAATAACAGACGCATATGCATTCCACGAGAGGAGAAAGCACGGGGAAGCAAGGTAAAACAAGGGGAAGCAAGGGGAGCCAAGGGAAAAGGCAAGGAAGCAAGGGAGAAGTGCAAACACAGATCCTTCAGTTCCAACGACTGGGAATGCCCAAACTGACTAAATAATGGAGGTTCCTGTTCCCGCTTCCATCCGTCCTTGCATCCTTGCCCCTTGCTCCGTGCCCCTTGCTCCTTGCCCCTTGCATCCTTGCCCCTTGCATCCTTGCCCCTTGCATCCTTGCCCCTTGCATCCTTGCCCCTTGCCCCTTGCCCCTTGCCCCTTGCCCCTTGCTCCTGGCCCCTTGCCCCTTGCCCCTTGCCCCTTGCCCCTTGCCCCTTGCCCCTTAAACCTATATACAGCCTGATGTGTGACTCACCTGCACAATTTTCATCCGTTCGGCTCGAGATGTGGCTACAGGCGGTTCCTCTGGGTTCTGAGGGGTGACACGCACAAGGTGAGGGAAACACGAAACATTCTTGAGTTAACTTGCAGGAAAAGAGATCCTCTGGGTGGACTTTTGAGCGCCTAAAAAACGGTTCCTCTGGGTGGTGAGTGGTGAGAGGGAAACGAGTTACGTAGTGGACAGCTTTTGCCAACATTAAAGGTAACTGGAAGAAAGGTCAAGCAAAGAGATGCGGTAAAGGAGTAAAAATATATCAGAAAAAGGGATTACCACCACACAGCAGACCTTACCATCGCACAGCACCCCTCAGCACTGCACTCACCCGCAGCTCCATGATGGTCTCCCTGTCGTGCCAGCACACCCCCCCAATCAGATACGGCACCAACTCCTGTCCCCGCCCCCACACCACACCCTCCTGATTCCCCCTTCTGCAACGACTCACAGACCCACCCTCATCACCACACAGCAGCCCTTTCCACCACACAGCATCCCCCAGCACCACACAGCACCCTTCAACACCGCACTCACCCGCAGCTCCATGATGGTCTCTCTGTCGTGCCAGCACACCCCCCCAATCAGATACGGCACCACCTCCTTGTGCCCACGCCCCCACACCCTCCGCACTCCCTCGCCCGCTCCCACCTCCCCTTCCTCCCCCCTCCTCTCTCCTCCCCGCCATCGCATCCGGCTGTTTCGCCCTTGGTACGGTTGGCAGCGCGACAACACACCCTCCATCTCGTCCCCACCTCCTCCTCCTCTTCCTCCCTCTCCTGCTGCTGCTGTCCCTGCCCGCCCCCCTGCAGGGCTAGCTCCCCTCGCCCCTGAATGAGTGGCATCTTCAGATGATTCGGGGCTGGGAAGCAGCATCACATCGCTCTTGGACCCCTCGTCCTCTTCTTCCTCCTCCCCCTCTTGCTCCCCCTCCTGCCCCCCCTCCTTCTCCTGTTCCTCCTTTACTTCGACAGCACCACCATCATCAGCAGCAGCATCATCGTTCCGATCATCACCCTCCCCTCGGCGTCTCTTCCTGCCTCTTTGAAGCTCGCCCGTGGTTTCCTGAAGCTCCTCTCTTGACAACTCCTCACCACCCTGCCCCGCTCTCAACCCATCTCCACCCTCCCCACCTCTTGCCTCGTCACTATCCTGGTCCCCTCTGGCTTCTTCCCCACCCTCCACCCCCTTTCTCACCTCACCACGACCATCCCCTACTCTCACCTCCTCCCCATCTCTCTCTCCCTCGTCCTCACCCATCAAAATCACATCACTACTGGCGTTAGAATCAACAGCATTCTCACAACCATCTCCCGTTCCCTTCGACTTTCCACCCTCCTTCCGTCTCTTGACCTTCTCGCACCTCTCCTCCCCCTCCAACTCACCCTCTCTCCCCCTCCCTTTTCCCTTCTCCACACCCCCTCTCTTCCCCTCCCCTCGCCCCTCTCTCCCTTCCTTTCCCTCTCGCCCTTCCCTGCCCTCTCTACCCTCTCTGTCCTTCTCCCCAGCCGGTCTGAGAGAGTCACTCTTGAGAGTGCCCGCCCCTATGCCAGGGAAACCTGTAATGCCGGTGCGTTTCCTCAGCCTCTCCCCTCGCTCAATCAGCCGCTTGCCGGCTGCAAGGGCAGCTGGGCCGATCACAGCAAGGTCAGGATTCGGATCCCTGCGGATATGTGTGGGGTATTTGGGATACATTGTGGGGGAGGAGAGGGAGTGGGAGGGGTGGGGGTGCAAGGGAGGGAAAGGAACCTGAGGGGGCCACTCTTGAGAGTGCCTGCCCCAATGCCAGGGAACCCTGTAATGCCGGTGCGTTTCCTCAGCCTCTCCCCTCGCTCAATCAGCCGCTTGCCGGCTGCTAAGGCTGCTGGGCCAATCACAGCAAGGTCGGGATTTGGATCTCTGCAAATAGTGCAGAATATAGGAGGTGGAGGAGTGGGAGGGGGGGGAAGGGGAAGGAGAGGTAAGGGGAAGAGGAGGGAAAGAGAGACACCAGAAAAGGGTGGAGGGCGGGAAAGATCTTAGTGTGGAATAATAATAATAATAACAACAACAACAACAACAATAATAATAATAATAATAATAATAATAATAATAATAATAATAATAATAATAATAATAATAATAATAATAATAATAATAATAATAATTCTTACTCTTTTTTCGACACAAAGAGAGGCGGCAAACGCTGTATCACAGTCCTGAGGTGCCTTGGGAATCAACTTGCCACAAGCCGGTTCTGTGTGGAAAATCTGTTTGCCATAGGAAAGAGACAGTTGTGACTGTGCTGTCCCTGTGTTTGGGGCAGAAGGTGCATCTGAGCAGCTGGCCCGTGTCATCAGGAACCACGTCCATGATCCACCCCGCCTTCATTGCACACACCACATGCCACCAGACACCCTGCCCTTCCTGCCTCTTGGCATGACATGACCTGCACAGTGCCCTACCTGTGTTTGGGGCAGAAGGTGCATCTGAGCAGCTGGCCCGTGTCATCAGGAACCACATCCATGATCCACCCCGCCTTCATCGCACACACCACATGGTATGCCACCAGGCAGCGTGGGCCGTCGCACTGAATGCACGCGCCATAGGGCTGGCGGCAGATGCAGCACGCCTGGGGACAGACAGGCAGACACAGGGGCAGGATGATGGGAGAATGGTAAGGGAGGCGGATGGGATGAGATAAGGAGGGGAGGGGTGCACCACATGGTTAGCCACCAGGCAGCGTGGCCCATCGCACTGAATGCACACGCTGTAGGGTTGGCAACAGATGCAACACGCCTCGGGGGTGTGAGAGGGAGAGGGGTGGGTGTGACCCGGCGGTTGGTGTGGCAAGCATGCACGCAGAGAGAATGACAGGCAGAGTAATACGATAGGCATCGGAGGAGAGCATTGGAAAAACACACCTGAGTGAACACGAGCTTGAACAGGCAACACGGCACCACCAGCACCCTAACAGCACAACCATGCATCGCCGCTTCTCACCAGCTTGAACCGCTCTGGATCCACGAGATGAATGCCGTCCAGCACCTCCCCCTCGCCCTCCCCCACCACGCTCACGCCAGGCATCCACAACCCACACACCAGATGCGCCCACCGCTGCCGCGCCACCCCCCCTCCCCCTCCCTCTCCCCCTCCCGGCCCCGCTCCTCCTGCACCAAAACCAGTCCCCCGCCCTGCTGCCCCGAACGCCCCTCCTCGCCCACCCCTCCCCCCAGCCACTGCTGCTGCCGCCGCAGCAGCGGCGGCGGCGGCAGCGGCTGCGGCAGCAGCAACAGCAGTAGCACCCGCCGCTGCTGATTTTCTCCCGGGTGTCTCCCCTTTGCTCCTGCTGTTCCCTGGCAGGGCGAGTTTGATGGTCGTGGGCTTTAAAGCCCCGCCTCGCACGGGGCAAAGACAGCACTCCCTCCGAATCCTCCTCCTCGTCCTCCTCCTCTTCCTCCCTCCGCTCTTGCTCCCCTGCTCTGCTTGCTCCTGCTCCTGCTCCTGCGCCCCCGCCTCTTCCTCTGCCCAGCCCTGAAACGGCTCCCCCTCCCACCCCTGTGCTACCCGAAACCACAAGCGCCATGGTATCAGAGCTTTTCCCCTTGCCCTTGCCCTTGCGTTTGCCTTTGCCACAAGCTGCTGTCTGTACGTCTGTGTCAGCCTCTGTCTTTCCACCAGCTGCCATGCGGGTGCTGGGATTGCTGGGATTGCTGGGATCAGAGGTGGGGATAGAGGAGCGGTCGCAGCAGCGGCAGAGCCAAGACATGCCAAACGCAGCGGAGGAAACCAAGGGCTTCCCCGCAGCAGCACCACCAGCATCAGCGTCAGCACTGCCACCACCACCAGCAGCACCAGCGCCTCTCCCTGGCGACCCAGGCGGGGCCTCGATCCCGTAGCACTCCTCGTGCACGCCCATCTCGCACTTGACACACACCAGCATGCGACTCGCATCCGAGTCCTCATCGCTGTTGCACACCGCACACCTCTCCGACGTCCACTTATACTCCACCCCCTCGTACGGCTCACTTAAAGCCTTCTCCAGCCACGCCACACCCCCCCTGGGATCCACTGACCCCTTTGCACCGGCTCTGCCTCTCATTGCACCCATTCCCACTCCTCCGATTCCTCCTGCGACCGCGCTGCTGCCACCCGCGCTGCGCAGTGTGGATATGATTCCCTGCTGCCGGTTGCCCGGGCGGCTGCGCGGGGGAGGGTCCTCGTAGAAAAGGAGGCCTCTCACGCCCGCCTCGTGGGATGCCTGGAGCTGAAAACGAAAGAATGGTGAATGAGGGGGGGTTGGGAGAATTTGTTTTGAGACGTCTCAAAACACTTCTTCAAACAGGGAGCAGGGGTTGGGAGAGTGAGGAGGAGGGGAGGAAGGAGGGGAGGAAGGAGGGGAGGAAGGAGGGGAGGAAGGAGGGGAAACGGCAAGAAGAGGGCGGAAGTGAGGGGAGGGTCCTCGTAGAACAAGAGGCCTCTCACGCCCGCCTCGTGGGACGCCTGGAGCTGAGGCGAGGGAGAAGGGACGAGGGGAAACAGCAAGGAGAGGTAGGAGGTGAGGAGGAGGGTCCTCGTAGAAAAGGAGACCTCTGACACCTGCCTCATGGGATGCCTGGAGCTGAAAGAAGGGAGAAGGGACGAGCGGAAACACCAAGGAGAGGGAGGAGGTGAGGCCGAGGGACTTTGAAGAATGGGAGGCCTCTCACCCCTGCCTCGTGGGATGCCTGGAGCTGCGGGGTGGGGAAAGGAGAGAAATGAGCAAGGAGAGGTAGGAGGTGAGGGGGAGGGTCCTCGTAGAACAGGAGACCTCTCACCCCTGCCTCGTGAGATGCCTGGAGCTGGAGAGGGGGGGGGCGAGGGCAAGGGCGCGTGAGGAAGTGGAGATGGGGAGGGGAAATAGCAAGGAGAAGGTGGAGGTGAGGGGGAAGGTCCTCGTAGAACAGGAGGCCTCTCACGCCCGCTTCATGGGATGCCTGGAGCTGAGGGTGAAAGGGAGATGTGGGAGGGGAGAAGGGAGGTGGGTGGGTGGCGGGAAGGGGGTGGCGTGGGGATTGAGGATGCCAGAAGGGGGAGGGTCCTCGTAGAAAAGGAGGCCTCTCACCCCTGCCTCGTGGGATGCCTGGAGCTGCGGGGTGGGGAAAGGAGAGAAAACAGCAAGCAGAGGGTGGAGGTGAGGGGGAGGATCCTCGTAGACAAAAGGCCTCTGACTCCCGCCTTGTGGGATGCCTGGAGCTGCGGGGGACAGAGAGATGTGGGAGGGGAGAAGGGAGGTGGGTGGGTGGCGGGAAGGGGGTGGCGTGGGGATTGAGGATGCAAGAAGGGGGAGCGTCCTCGTAGAACAAGAGACCTCTGACTCTGCCTCGTGGGATGCCTGGAGCAGCGGGCGAAAAAAAAGGAAAGCGAGGGTGAAGAGGGAAATGAGGGAGGGAGCGAGTAAGACATGCCTGGTCGAGAGCAAGGCCCCACTCAAGTATGCAGCAGAAGGTTTGGAAGCTCATACAAATCGCTTACCCAGGCAAAGAGGGATGTCTTCTTCTCAGCTTCCTGCAGCAGCACAGACGATTTCCACTTCTTGGAGCGGCACTGCGCATGCTTCTCAAACTCGCTCAGCGCCATCAGCGGCCCCCCTGCTGCTGCTCCTCCGCCCACTCCTCCTCCTTCCCTCCCACCACCACCAGCAGCGGCACTGCTAGCGCCACTGCTCTTGCTGCTGTTCCCCTTGGTATTGGGCCGGCAGGAGCGGCAGCAGCACTGCACGAGGTGACATGAAGGGAGGTACAAACCCTTGTAGGACGCGCATGTGACGGGCACTGGCGGGTGGGCTACCGGGATGGGTGGCGCCGCTGCTATCTTGTTGTCCCCCTCCGCTTCTGCCTCAGGTGAGGAGGATGGAGTGCCAGGTGAATCTTCAGGTGAATCCTCAGGTGAATCCTCAGGTGAATCGGCCTGTGGGGAATCGGCTCTGTGAGGAGCCTCCTTAGTTGCTACCCCATGCTTCTTCATCCGCTGTGCCTTGATTACCCCATCATCATCACCACCATCACTATCACCGTTGCTCAAGTATCCATTCCCATCCACGTCTCCCTTCATCTCCACTGCCTTTTCATCCCATTCTTCCTTCACTCTACCTCTACCACCTCCTCCACCCCGCCCATGCTTATCATCAGCACCATCCGACCCATCCCCACGCCCTCCCTCATCCTCATCCCCATCTTGATCCCCATCCCGATCCCCATCCCCATTCCCATCCCCACGCCCATCCCCATCCCTGTCGAGGCGACACACATGCAAGCCCTCCCGTTTCACCTCATCTATCCGCAAGCGTGCACCACCCAGGCTGAACCCCCTCCCCATCCCTGTTATCACCTCCATCCCAGACCGTCCCGCTGCCTCCCTCTCTGCATCTCCCCCCTCCTCCTTCATCCGAGCAGCAGCGGCAGTAGCAGCAGCCTGAGCAGCAGCCTGAGCAGCCTCCTTAGCCCTCTTCTCCCTCTCCTCCCGCTCTTTCCTCTCCCTCTCCTCCCTCTGCTCCCTCTCCTCCTTCTCCCTCCCCCTCCTCTCCCTCCTCTCCCTCTTCTCCCGCTCCTCCACTGCCTTAGTCTGCCGGCAGTTCGGGCACAAGTACACCGCATCGTTCTTTATCGCACTCAACCGCTGCCTAGAGATCCCGTCGCACTCTGCATGCACCCACAGCTGGCAGCGGTCGCAGTGAGCGAAATCGCCCTTCTCATTAGGTAACCACACGAGCAGGCAGAGTGGGCAGAACTGCAGAGACTGGAAGAGCTTGCGGCACTGGATGCAGAGCGGGACAGAGTCTAGTAACTCGTCTACCAGCCTGTACGCGTAGCTGCTCCCTTCTGCGGTTTCTTCTAGCGTAGTAGCACCTGCAGCAGAAGCACCAGAGGCACGAGCGGCAGAAGTACCAGCAGCACGTGCACCAGTGGTATGGGCACCCGCACAGGCAGCACCAGCACTATCATCAGCACTGTCTCCATCGCTGTCAGAAGCAGCAGCAGCGGCATTGTCTGCTGCCGCACCAGTGCCAGTCCTACCACCTCTCTTGTCACCCTGACCTGCTTTGCCCTGTCGGCTCCCTCCCATGCTCCTGCTCCGCTTCTTACTCATCCCCCACACCCACCCGCCATTCCTCCCCTTCTCCAACCTCCCCCTCCCCCTGCCCCGCCCCCTCCCCCTCCCGCCACTCCTCCTCTCCCTTTCTTCCCCCCTAGTCTCTTTCTCCTCCAACCCCTCCCCACCCTGCCCGCTCCCTGAGGCCAATCTTTTCCTGCTACTGCCCCCACCACCGCCCCTCCCCCTCCTCCGCTTCTTCCCGACCCCCTCATCCCAGTCACTCTCCCCTGACGAGTTCCCTCCGCTGCCCTCCCCCTTCCCTCTCCCCTTGCCTCCGCCACCCCCTCCTGGCGAAAAGAGACCATCCAGTGTGCGAGTGGGTCGGCCAATCACACCAGGCATGACCCGGCACCCCACACACATCATGCCCTCTCCCGCTTTCCCTGCAGAACCTGCCAGTTCCGCTGCTGCTGCCCCTCCCTTTGCTGCCCCCACCAACCCACCCGGTCGGCTGCCTCCCTTTCGGCAACCAGCAAGGGGATTCGCAGCAGCAGCAGCAGCAGCACCACCAGCAGCAGCAGCAGCAGCAGCTGGAGCGGCAGCAGAAACTGCACCATTATCCTTTCCCTCCTGCCAATCATCCTCACCAGCTCCCGTCATTCCTCCACCTCCTCCTTCCTCTTCCCCTCCCTCCTCTCCTCCCTCTCCCCCACCTCCCTCCATCTCCTCATACCCCACCATCCCTTCGCTCTCCAACACAGCCTCCTCCACCGCCTTGCGAAACTCCTTTGGCCGATTCCTCGCCGTCAGCACCTGATTCTCATACTTAACTAAGTAGTCCAGAAACGGCACAATGCTCCCCTCGGGCACCCACGAGTAGTCCCGGTCGCGCTTTTTGCTAAGCGACGGCCCGAAAAACATGACGCACAGCCGGTCGGCCTCAGCGGCGCTCCTGACAGCAGCAGGGGCATCATATATGGGGTCTACCACTCGAGCAGGCCACCAGGGGTCTTTCTTTCGCCCTGACTTGGCCCACACTATATCGCCTGCTTCGAAGCTCCCCAGGCAGAATACCAGCGGCTTGGGCTTGGGGGAGAGGAGCATGGGTGTGCCTTGTTCTGGTGTCTCGGTGGGGTCTGAGAAAGTCGTGTGCTCTACTACTTCCCTCACTCCTGCTTCTGCTTCTGCTTGTGCTTTTGCTGCTTCTCCTACTTTTGCTGCTTCAGCTTCTGCTGCTGCAGCTGCTCTTTCTCCTGCTGCTTTTGCTGATGCCTTTGATTTCCGCACTTTACCTGGACGAATGTGAGGAGGTGATGGGGAACGAGATGGTGATTCTTGAGTTGACTCAAAGACTCTTGCTGATGCACTTGGTTTCCGTGCTCTGGCCGGGCGAATGTGGGGTGGTGATGGGGACCGAGATGCTGATACTGATGGTGATGCTGGTGCAGATGCAGATACAGATTTTGATTCTGAGAGCGATTCCACCGGTGATGTTGATGGCGTTGGGGAAGGAGGAGGGGAGAGGGATGGGGACGGAGACAGAGCCACTGGGGTATCGGTCTCAGTAGCTGCTTCACTACCACCACCATCACCACCACCATGCCTTTCCGTTGAATCGGAATCAGCTGGAGCATGGCGGGATGCAGCATCACGCCTATCCCCCCCAGTACCACCATCACCAGCATCACCACCATCACCACCAGCACCACCATCACCACCATCACCGTCCGTGTCATCTGCCAAGGCATGCGCTTTATGACCATCACGAGGAGGAGAAGAATCACTTGCCACATGCCCACCATCATCACCGGGCGAATCACGACCTTCACGATCCAAAGAACCATCACTCCCATCACTCCCATCGGAATAAGCATTGGCAGCACCCACAGCCTGTGTACCTGCGCGCATATCCCTAGCAGCACCCACACCTTTAGGGTCTGCCTGCGCTGCAGTAGCAGCAGCGTCAGTGACGGATTGCACTCGCCTCATCAAGGGGCGCACTCTCCTCCGCTTCCTCGCTCTCTCTGCCACTGCCCCACCCCCATCACCTCCTCCTGCTGCCCCTGCTGTTGCCTCTCCTCCTCCTGGTGCTTCTGCTACTGCTTCTGCTGCGTCTGCTTCCACTTCCTGCCCATCTGCTTCTCGTGATTCCACCCCCTCCTCCTCATTCTCCTCTCGCACCTCCACCACATCTGCATCTCCGGCTGTCCCTACCACCGCATTCACCTCTTCATCTGAATCTTCTGCCCCTCTCCTTGCCTCTGATAACCCCATCCCCATCCCCACTTCCTGCACATCTGCCTCTTCTGATTCCGTTCCTTGTTCCTCTACCACTGCTGCTTCAGTCAAGTCTACCTCCCCTCCTTGCACCACCTCTCTTCCCTCTCTTTCCTCCAACCGTACCTCCACCACATCAGCTTCCTCACCTGTCCCTTCTGCTACTTCTTCCTCACATGCCCCTTCTGCTACTTCTCCTTCCGCTGGCTCTGCTGTCGTCTCTGCCTCTCTTCTCGATTCGCTCAATGCACGTTCCTGCACCCCAGAATCCAACCCCTCTGCCTTTACTTCCACCACATCTGCTTCCTCACCTGCCCCTTGTGCTGTTCCTTCCTCACCCACTTCTGCAGCCTCCCTTCTTGTGCCTTGCAACCCATCCTCCTTCTCCCTCCCGGAGCCCACTCCCCCTGTTTCCACTTCCACCACATCTGCTTCCTCACCAGTCTCTTCTAGACCTGCCTCTTCCTCTGCCTCTTCCTCTGCCTTTTCCTCTGCCTCTTCCTCTGCCTCTTTCCCTGCCTCTTCCTCGGCCTCTAGCTCAGCCCCTTCCTCTGCCTTTTTCTCCGCCTTTTCAACTGCCCCTTCCTCTGCCCCTTCCTCTGACTCTTTCTCTGCCTCTACCTCTGCCACATCTCCACCCACACTTTCGCCCAGCGTCCTTTCCCCCTCCCGCCCTCCCTTCGCAGTACCCTCTCCAGACATGCCCTCACTGCCAACTCCTCCTTCGCCCGCTCCTGCCTTTTCTTCCTCATTCACTTGAGTCTCTTCAACGGCAGCTTCAATCCTCAACGTTTCCTCACCCTTTTCCCGTTTCACTTCCTCTTCCTCTTCCTCAGTTTCTTTCTCTTCCCCTTCTTTAACTTTTCCTTCCCTATTCTCTTCCGCTTTCTCTTCCGCGTCCTCTTCCTGTTTCCCTTCCTCTTCCCTGACCCATTCTTCCTCTTTATCTCCCACTTCCTCTTTCTCTTCCTCGTTATTCTCCTCCCTCTCCTTCTCCACAACTCTTTCCCTTTCCTTGTGCCTTTTCCTCCTCTTCTTCCTCCCATGCTCCACTTCTTCCACCTCTTCCTCTTGCACCTGTTTCTCTTTCACCTCCTCTTCCACCTCCTCCTCTTCCACCCCCTCCGCTTCCACCTCCTCATTGACCCCCTTCCCTTCCACCCCCCCTTCCACCTCCACTTTAACCTCCTCTTCCACCTCCTCTTTCAACTCCTTCTCTTCCAACACCTCCTCTTGCACCTCCTCATTCGCCTCCTCCTCTTGCACCTCCTTCTCTTCCACCCCTGCTGCATCCTTGAGACCCTCTTCCTCGCCACCGCCCTCAGCCCATCCCTCACTCCCATCCCTAACCACAACTGCCTCCACATCCCCTCCCTCGTTCCCTCGCTCCTCACCACTGCTGCCTTTCCCTCCTCCCCCAGTCTCATCCCCAGTATCCCTTTCAACATCCACAGCCGTTTCAACGTCAGTCTTGTGAATATCAGACAGTTCAACAGTTGTCATCCCACCCCTTTCAGCCACGTCACTACCAACCACTTTCTCCGCCTCCTCTTCTGCCTCCACTCTCTTCTCCTCCTCCTCACTCCCTTGCTTCTCTACTTGAACCCCCTCCTTTGATACATCCACCCTCTTTACCACACCCCCCTCCTCTAATTCAGCCCCTTTGTCTACTTCACCCCCCTTCCCGACTGCAACCCTCTCCTTCTCCTCCTCGTTCCCTTCCTCCTCGTCCCCCTCCGCCTCCTCTTCCTCCTCCTCTTCCTCCTCCTCTTCCTCTTCTTCCTCTTCCTCCTCCTCATCCTCCTCTTCCCACGCCTTCGTCCTCCTCTTCCCCCCACGCCTACTCCTTGCCGCCCTTTCACTCCTCGTCCTCCCCTTCTCCTTCTTCCCACTCCTCCCACTCCTCCTACTCCTCCCGCTCCTCCCAGTATCCCCCACTTGAATGCCCCTCCCGGCTTTCTCTCCCTGTTCTCTAGCCCCCCCGGACCGCCCCTTTCCCAGAACCACATCCAAAGCAGACAGGGCCAGCACAAGAGACAAACCGGCCGGCCCGTCCAGAGGGGGAGGTAATACTGGGGAAGGCTGTGCTGAGGGCGGCTGTACTGTGCTCACGTCTACTGGGGGGACCTGCACTCCTGCTGCTGCTGCTGCAGCAGACTCTTTCATCTCCTGCCCATTCTTCCTTTTCTCACGATTTCTCCTTTCCACTGTCGCCACTGCACTCTCCAACTCTCCCATCGTCTCTTCCTCTTTGATCCTCCTGATTCGTCTGGCAAGCCTGCCAACCTTCTCCCCTTTCGCCCTTCTCCTGTACACTCTCGCCCCAGGCACCAATTCCCTTCCATCCTCTCTCCACTCTTCCTCTTGCACCTCCTCATCTCTTCTCTCCTCTTCTCTCCCCTCCTCTTCTATCCCGTCCTCTTCTCCCACCTCCTCGTCTTTCCCCTCATCTCTCCCCTCCTCTTCTCTTCCTCCCTCTTCCCTCCCATCACTCCCCTCTTCACTTAACTCTTCTGCCTGCCCGTTCTCTCTCTCCTCCACTCTTCTCCCCTCCGCTCTTCTCTCTTCTTCCCTCGCATTCACTTCACTGCTCTGCGCCCTCCTCCCCTCCTTATCGCTCTCTGCCATCCCTCCAACATCCCTTTTACTCTCCTTCTCAATTCCCTCCCTTCCCTCCTTTCCCCCGTCATCCGTTTCCCCAACAGGTGATTCAAGAGCAGGATCAATAACAGAAGATGGTTCAGGGGTAGCATATGGTTCAGGAGCAGCAGATTCCTCAGGGGCAGGAGATGGCTCAGAAGCAGCAGATGGCTCAGGGGCAGGAGATTCCTCAGGGGCAGGAGATTCCTCAGGGGCAGGAGATTCCTCAGGGGCAGGAGATGGCTCCGGGGCAGCAGATGGCTCAGCGGCAGGAGATGGCTCCAGGGCAGGAGATGGCTCCGGGGCTGAAGTTAGCTCAGGGGAACCACAGGACTTCTCTACAACAGCAAATCCCTCATCAGCCTCCATAAACGCTTCGCTGCGATTCCGCTTGTCCACTGCTGTAGGTTGTTCTACAGCCGTACCTTCTGCCTCTGCAGCAGTGACAGAAGCAACAGAAGGTGCTGCAGCAGAAGCAGAAGCAGCAGCAGCAGCAGCAGCATCGACAGAGGTTCTGCCAAGAGTTTCCATCTCCCTCGCCTCCTCATCTTCCTTCGCCCTCTGCTCCTGATCTCTTCCTTGCCTCGCCTGCTCACATTCCTTTACCTCTCCACATTTCTCAATTTCCTGATGATCCTCCTTTTCCTCCTCCTGCTGCTGCTCTTTATCCCCTTCCTCCTGTTGTTGCTCCTCCTGCAGTTCCTCTGCCTGATCCTGCTTCCACTGCAGTTGCTGTCCCTCCTGGTCTCGCTCCTGTTCCTGCTCCTGCTGCTGATGCTGCTCCTCCTGACCCTTCTCCCCCTGTTGCAGCTGTTCTTGTTCCTCCTTCTCCTGCTCCCACTCCTCCTGCCCTGTCTGCTCCTGCTGTTCCTCCTGTTGCTGCAGCAGCACCGGTATAGCGTTTTTCTCTTCCCCAGAGACATCAAACTCCACCTTTCCCACCACCTCCTCCTCTCTTTCCTTCTCCTCTTTCCCTTCTTGTCCTTCCACCGTCGCCTCTGCCTCTTCCCTCACCTTGCAAGTTTGATTCGCCTCAGAAAGATACACCACTGCTGATTCCACCTGCCTCTCCTTGTCCTCCTCAACAGCTGATTCCTTAAGCACTGCAGCAACACACTCCTCTACCACTTCCCCTTGTCCACTCAGAGGAGCCACCGAAGCAGACTCTGGTAACTCTTCCACCTGCCCCTCCTTCCGCTCCTCAGCAGCAGGTTCCGCAAGCACCCCAGCAGCACACTCCTCTGCCTCTTCTGTCTTCTTGAGCCTCTCATGTCCTGTGTCTTTCAAGGGCACCTCAGAAGCAGCATCTGGAGGCCTTTCTTCATCCACCACTTGTGCTGGGCGCACCTCACCAGCAGGATCCCCTCCCACTTCCACATTGCAAGGCTGATGCGCGTCACCACCACCACCACCACTCTCATCTACCTGTTCCCTGTCCTGCTCCCCACCCTTCACTGCCTGAGTCGGCAGCCACTCCGCCAGCTTCCTTCTCTTGGGCTTCTTTCTCCTCCCCGCTCTTTCCTCGCCCAACACCGCCTCTCTCTTGCCCATCCTTGCCCCACTATCGCCACCACCCCTTCCCTGCTGCTGCTCCAACTTTTTATCTTCTTCGCTCAATCTCCGGTATCTTTTCTCCGTGCCACACACCCAGTCCTCTATATCATCCTCCTCCTCCTCCTCTTCCATCCGTTCCTCCTCTTCTGCACGTTGCAGCGTGCCAGACTTAAACCCAACCTTCTTCTCCTCATCTGCAACCCCCCTGCCAACGTCCGCCACTTCTGCTTCCTCCTTTTCGTCCTGCCGAGACACTGGCACTGGTTCCGTGTCAAGAGCAGTCAGAAGCTTCACTTTAGCCTTACCCTCCTCATGCTCACTGTTCTCCCCCGGCCTCTCCTCCTCATCCCCACCATACCCCTCCCTTCCCAAGTCAGTATCTTCCTCTTCTCTCACCACTTCATTACACCCCTCTTCCGCTCCCACCTCAACACCCTCTTTCCTTTGCTTCTCTAAATTCCTCTGCTGCTCCTGTTTCTCCAGCTCCCTCTGTTGCTCCAGCTTCCTCTCCTGCTCCTGTTTATCCAGTTCCAATTGCCGCTGTTTCTCCACCTCCCTCTGCTGCTCCTGTTTTTCCAACTCCTTCTGCCTCTGTTCCTCCAACACTCTCTGCTGCTCCTGTTTCTCCAGCTCCAGTTGCTGCTGTTTCTCCAACTCCTTCTGCCTTTGTTTCTCGAGCTCCCTCTGCTGCTCCAATTCAATCCGCCTCTGTTCCTCCAACTGCTTTTGCTGCTCCAGCTTCCTCTCCTGCTCCTGTTTCTCAAGCTCCAATTGCCGTTGTTTCTCTAAATCCCTCTGCCTCCGCTTCTCCAGCTCCCTCTGCTGCTCCAGCTTCCTCTCCTGCTCCTGTTTCTCAAGCTCCAATTGCCGTTGTTTCTCTAACTCCCTCTGCCTCCGCTTCTCCAGCTCCCTCTGCTGCTCCAGCTTCCTGTCCTGTTCCTTTTTCTCCAACTCTCTTTGCCTCTGTTCCTCTAACACTCGCTGCTGCTCCAGCTTCCTCTGCTGCTCCTGTTTCTCAAGCTCCAATTTCCGCTGTTTCTCCAGTTCCCTCTGCTGTTCCAGTTTCCTTTGCTGCTCCTGCTTCTCCAACTCTAACTGCCTCTGTTTCTCCGACTCCCGCTGTCTCTGTTTTTCCAACTCTCTTTGCTGCTCCATCTGCCTCTGCTGCTCCAGCTTCCTCTGCTGCTCTTGTTTCTCCAACTCCAACTGCTGCTGCTTTTCCAACTCCCTCTGCCTCTGTTCCTCCAACAACCTCTGCTGCTCCAGCTTCCTCTGATGCTCCCTTCTCTCCAGTTCCAATTGCCGTTGTTTCTCCAACTCCCTCAACCTCTGTTTCTCTAGCTCCCTCTGCTGCTCCTGTTTCTCCAGCCTCTGTTTCTCAAGCTTTAGCTGCCTCTGTTTCTCAAGCTCCAGTTGCCTCTGTTTCTCCAGCTCCCTCTGCTGCTCCTGTTTCTCTAACTCCCTCTGCCTCTCCAACTCCCTCTGCCTCTCCAACTCCCTCTGCCTCTCCAACTCCCTCTGCCTCTCCAACTCCCTCTGCCTCTCCAACTCCCTCTGCCTCTCCAACTCCCTCTGCCTCTCCAACTCCCTCTGCTTCTCCAACTCCCTCTGCCTCTCCAACTCCCTCTGCCTCTCCAACTCCCTCTGCTTCTCCAACTCCCTCTCCTGCTGCAGCCTCCTCTGTTGCTCCCGATCTTCTTGCTCTCGCTCCTGCTGCCGTGTCTCCTCCATCGCATCCCTTCTACCTTCCCTCCCTTCCACGTGACCTCTCAAACCTGCATTCTGTTCCCATGCTGAAAACTGTAGTTGACCACTTCCATGAGAGTCAAACAAAGAACCCTGGCTCGCTCCTGCATCCATAATCCCCTGTCCGTCTAATTTGAACGTGACCCCTTCCAATGGTTCACACTCCGAGCCTTCCAAACCTGAAAACCCTGGAAGGAGAGGCTCGGCCAAACCAAACATCCCAGCATCCAAACCAGCAGCCTCGGCTCCCGCTCCAGTCTCTGGATCCATGCCACCGCCTCCTCCCAGGAACATGTTGACCATGAAAACAGCGTCATCCTCGAAGATGTTATTGCCGGACTGAGACTGATTTCCAATGTCATCCCCGCTATAGAGCTTGAACTCAGGGCCTTCTTCAATAGGATTAACACCTATCACTCCTGGATCCTGAAGCCCATTAAAACTCATGCTAGAACCACCGAAGCCTGATTGGATAATATCCTGGCCTAGCGGAACCGCTGGGGGGGTTGCATATGGAAAGGAATCCATGCCTGGTAGCGAGGCGACTTGAGGATGGTTAAATGGTTCCGCTGGGACATGCTGCAAGGGGAAGGAATCCGAGCTGGCTTGATAGCTGCTTCCGGGAGGCCTATTACATAGAACCGGGGATAAAGTGTAACTTCCCGGAACCAAACCACTAACGCCTGGATGTCCAACCCCTTGCATGGTGTTCGCCGCGAAATTACTGGAACTTGCTCGAAGTCCTAGAGGGGTATTAAAGTTTGACGTTCCTTGGTAGGAAAGATTGGGGTTGCTCTGGCCTCCCGGCCAAGAGCTAGGTTCGGTGGTTCCGTTATTGCCTGTGCTGCTCGCAACATTCCCAGTGGAACCAGGAAGTGGCGTCGTCGTGTCAATTCTCCCATCCCGCTGAACTCTAGGCGGCCTTTGATGCGGTTGATTAAAACCACGATTCATCGTGCTGTTGCTGTAAAGTATACTACAAAAGCAACATGAGAAAAGCCGTTGGTGGAAGAAACTAAACGGTAAGAAAACGAAACAATGCTCGTGGGGTAGTCTGGCTTCGTGACTGACTCAGATTTAGATTGCTCGCCTGGATTTTAACAGCTAATAGGCAGACCTTACTTCACGCGGTAGGAGGACTCTAAACGTGCCGCATAGGAAAAAAAACTAGAGTAGGCAAGGTCCTACAGCTCTATTGAATCGTGAAACTGAAGTGGGATCTCGAGGCAGCCACGACGTTCCCAGAGTTTGTGAAGTTTAGGAGAATCCTGACGAAGGGAGACAAGAGCGATTGAGGGCCGTACCTAGATGTCAGGTCAGGGACCGGTTCGGGCCCTACAGGTCAGAGAGAAACGTTTGCCCTGGTTGGTTGGCGCGGCGGCCCTTTCTGCATGCTACGTATGACCGAACCAGGCTCCGAACCAGTTTGAAGTGTCAAATTTGAAAGTGAAAGCACAGTTGGCACGGAAGCAAGCCGCTAAGGGTAATGCTTATTAAGACCCCTCTGAGCCTCGGAGACACCGAGGTCGTGCTGACAACTCTCACTTTGCCTCATCCAAAAGCAAACCGAACCAACAACTGGTGACGAGGTTCGGCAGAATGCCAGGAACACTTTTCTTGCTGAATCATCTTTGATCAGATCAAACCACACCTGTCCAGTCTTTCGCCCTCCCAAACAATTTCAATCTACAGCGGAAACATATTGTATGGTTATGAGTCGAGAATTGTTCAGTCACCAAACTACCAATAACGAGGATTTGCCTTAGGCTTCAATATCTGTTTCCCCAAAGAGACCTAGATTCTCCCCAATGTCATTCTTGTATCTTTCCATGTGTCAGCCTGCATGCATGCTAAATGTCAGGCTGCTTGCCTGTGGTTATTAACGAGGTAACGAGGGAACAGCTGCTGCGTTAAGAAATGGAAAATCATCAAAAGCGAGGAGCGTCGTCATGCTTGCTGACGCGTGGTGTGTTGATCCCGAGGAGCAGCTGCTTGATGGCTGAAGAATGCTTTCAAGCGTTGTTCGCCACCCGTTATTTTCCCCGAGTCGCGTTTGCCTTCGCCACCAGCAGCTCCTAATGCGGTGCGTGAATACTAATACTCGCTCTTCCACTACCGTCGTAATTCCCGTGTCTCCTGTTTCCCTTCTAGCTGCCTTGTCCTTCCTCTAGCTCCTGAATTTCCACGAGTCTTTCCTGATGGCTCGCTCTTCCGGATTGGTCGCTTTCGGTCTGCTTGCTCTCTTTCTTCTGACTGCTCCGTTTGTAAGTCCGAGCATAACGTTGGACGACGTAGCCGTCTCTAGCTGTTTGACTCCTCCCTCTGGTCACGCTTCATCCACAACCGTTATACGACTCCTATGGCACATGAGTCGTCTCTGATTTGTTATGAAACCCTTTTTGAAATCTCACGGAAAGCGCATAGTCTCCCTTGATTGTGTTTGTAATTATGATCACGCTTGATTGCCCTGATGTTTCGTGTTCGTCCACGCATCTGAAGCATTGAGCCTGATGGTTTCATAGTTCGTGTTCCCTCGCATACTCGTGGCCAGGCGAATGCATCATGGCTGCCTGCGGACAGTCTTACATGCGTCCCAGCAACATCAACAGTGATGGAGCGCAGTGAGGGGCGAAGCCGCTGTGCGTACGACAGCCAGCTTGGGTACCGCGCTGTTGGTGTCGGCTACAACCTCGATGACAAGTCTGATGAGCGCATGCGCGAGATCTCCACCGTTGTTGCTGACTTTGACAAGGTAACTCCCATGCTGTTCTGTGCCTTTTTTTCACTAGCAGATTTCTCAGTAGTTTTTCTTCCTCCTGTATTGTGTGTTTTTCCCCGTCAGCTATACCGTGGGGAGGAGTGTCTGAACAATGTTCAGATCAACGCGTTGCTGGCTTTTGGCACGTTTTTATACAGTCTCAAATATCGTTCCCTCTTGTGTGTGTGTGTTCTCTGGCAGCTGTACCGTGGGGAGGAGTGTCTGAACGACGTGCAGATCAACGCGCTGCTGGCGTTTGACGCGCGGCGCTACCTCATCCGTGCCAAGGAGCGCATTGAGAACTTCAACAGCTTCTGCTGCAACGTGCAGTCCATCTTCGCTGATATCGCCTTCACTCATGGTAAGGCCCCACTCACAGTGAGCCGTCATCATAGTGACCCCTCGCCCATAGTCAGCCGCTCTTGACACCGGCGCTGCCAGTGTGTAGTATGTAACATGGCCCTGTCTGCCGCCTATTTGGCCAGCTGTCCTCCTTCCCTGTTCTATCTCTCCTCTGCGCTCATGACTCGCTGTCGCTTCAACTTGTGTTTTGTACTCACTTGCAGCCAAGACGCGTCTAGGTGCGCAGTTCAGTCCGGCGATAGAGAGGGCGCAGAGCTCGCAGTACAAGGAGGCAGCAGAGGAGCTGAGGCGCTCCAAGTGGTGCCGCAAGCACGAGCAGGTGTGCCGGGCGGACACGCGGGCCATGGAGGAGGGCTGCCCCACTGCTGCTGTCAGCAGCGCCCGCAAGGTGAGGCGTGTATGATGTGACTGCGCTGCCACCTTCTGATTGGAGCAGAGCTGCTGCTTTGGCAGTGAGGACGGATGCTCCCCTGCTTTCTCTATGGTCTGTTGCCAATGCCGCTGGTATGTGTGCTATTTCTATGTATTTCAATTTTCAACCTCCTTTTCCCAGGTGGGAGAGTCGTGGCTGCCTGCCAACAGTCTGACGTGCGTGCCGGCGACAACGACGGTGATGGAGCGCAGTGAGGGGCGCAGCCGCTGTGCGTACGACAGCCGCCTTGGCTACCGTGCCATTGGTGTCGGCTACAACCTCGATGACAAGTCGGACGAGCGCATGCGCGAGATTGCCACCATCCTCGCAGATTACGACAAGGTCAGCAGCTGTTTCCTTCCAACAGCTAATTTTCTTGTGCATGGGGTCACTTGCATTACCAAATCTATGATGGGTGTTTGCTATCCTTTATTGGCTTTGTCCTTTATTGGCCTCTGGTTATGCTCCCCTGGATGCAGCTGTACCGCGGGGAGGCATGTCTGAATGACCTGCAGATCAACACGCTGCTGGCATTTGATGCCCGGCGCTACCTGCTGCGTGCCGGGGAGAGTGTGAAGGCCCTCGACAACTTCTGCTGCAATGTCCAGGCTGTCTTTGCTGATGTTGCCTTCACTCACGGTGAGTTTTTTCCTTACGTGCATGGATGAGTCTGTCGCAAAAACATTCTGTCATGCTATATCCCTGTCTTGTATCCATGTACCATGCATAAATTTGTGTACGCATGATCATGTTCTTGTTTCCACAGGCAAGAGTCGTCTGGGAGCTCAGTTCGACCCAACCATTGAGAAGGCCTCCTCTTTCCAGTGGAGGGAGGCGGCAGAAGAGTTGAGGCAGTCCAAGTGGTGCCGCAAGAACAAGGATGCCTGCACGGTGGATACTCAGCAGCTGGAGGAGGGATGTTCCTCTGTGGGTGATAACGCGGTGTCTGCTTTTCTTGATAGGCTTCGTGGGTTGATGGCAGTGTAGGTTGTAGTGGGGCTTGTCTATGTACAGTAAATCGCTTTTTGTAGAAGTGCTCCTTTTGAGCCTGTATACATCTTTGTGGAGGAATTTGGAAATGAGCCTGAATGCAGCTCAGCTCTGAGATATGTTCAGGAGCTATCAACAGAAGGATACCTCGACGTATCGTTTTGGAAGACATCAGCACCATCTGTCACCCATCTGGTTTCCGGAGACTTTTGGTTGTACAATTCCCAACCTCCAGTGTCATTCTCCTTGTCTTGAAAATACCGTGAAGCGGCGCTCGAGTAGCTTCCTGTGGGGCTAGTTTCGCTTTGGGATTTGTGTTTTGTAATCAAGCCGCGCTGCCCATCACTCTCTCCAGTCGCATCTTTCTTTCACTTGCAGCTGGATCGCTGCGGCAACCTGCCAGTGTACGGTAGCTATGATTATGGACCTGAGCAAATAAGTTGCCTTGCGAGAAGCGAGAAGTGAGAAGTGAGAAGCTTGCAAGCGGCCTGTTGCTGCTCGTCTTTTTTGAAGGAAATTCCTGCTTAGCCGGCTACCTCTGCGTCATGTCACGCCGTCAACTTCTCATCCCGAGCTATGATGGTACCTCATCCCAAGATGCCGTCCCCCTCCAACCCGATCCAGCCAGATTGGCTTCGCAGCAGAACCCGCCAATTCATCATTCGTTTCCATCACCCTCTCGGTCGTGCAACGTCTTCTCCTCCTCCCTCCCCCTACCTCGCCACGATGCTGCTGCGATCGCCGTCGCGCAACATAGTCAAGCCGGCGTCGCGTCTCCCCAGCCAATCGCACATTTGGTCCAGCCACGCTCGTCACGAACACCACTCAAGCTCTCCGCCCAGCCTCACCCTCTCTCTTACCATCAAGACCATCGTGACGCTGCGACCTTCGTTCCTCTGCAACCCAAGCAAGAACCCTTTTCACCGCAGCAACCACCACCACACCTAGACCAGCCGCCACCACCACCACCGCTTAAGCTCTCCGCTCAACCCATCTCAAACTCTCATGATGCTCACGGTAATCATTCTCAAAAGACGGGTCATAGCAACCATTCTCAGAATACGTCTACGGTGATCACTACTCTGCAACCCAAGCAAGAAACCGCGTCTCCGCAACAACCACCTCCATATCTGGACCAGCCACCCCCACCACCACCGCTCAACCTCTCCGCTCAACCTCTCCCATACCATCATGGGTCGAACGTCAATCATTCTCAAAAGACGCCTACGGCCATTGCTACTCTGCAACCCAAGCAAGAAGCCGCGTCGCCGCAACAACAGCACCCCCATCCCAACCCACCATCACCGTGCCAACCACATAAGCTCCCAAGTCAACCTCAACCTTTCCTCCGCCTGGAACGCTCCCCGTCGGATGATCAGCTCGATTATCATATGGACGAATCATCTGTAACTGATGGGTTGCCGTTTCGCCCAATTTCGCTACACTCTGTTGTTCCCAGCTACGTGTCCCTCGGGTGTCCCGTGTTGGACCATTTTCTCAAGGGCGGCCTGCGAGCCTGCCAGGTGACGGAGCTTGTGGGAGAGGCGGCGAGCGGCAAGACCCAGCTATGCTTGCAGCTGGCACTAGCAGTGCAAGCACCTGTGTCAACAACACCCTTTCAGGCACCCGCGCAACCGCTGCTCGCATCCTCTGGTGCTCCTAACACGTCAGGAGGCAACGCCGACACGGCACGAGGTGCAGCACTGTACATATACACTGACGGCCGGTTCCCCACCAAACGACTTTTCCACCTCGCCAACAGCTCCCGTTTCCAGGACCTGCTTAAGCTAAAGACAAGTCATATCAGCAGCAGTATTGGCGTGCCAGGTGAATGTAAACCTGCAATCAACAGCATCTTGGGGGGAGGAGAGCGTGGCCATCCATGCGACCACGTGTTCATCAAGGAGATCCCAACCGTTCAAGATCTAGTTCACTGTTTGGAAGGGGAGATGCATGTGGAGCTTGTGCGTGCCAGGGCCCATCCCATCCGCCTTCTCATCATCGACTCCATCGCCTCGCTCTTCCGCTCGGAATTCGACAACTCACGCGACGACATGTGTCAGCGCACCACCATGCTCTTCCGCATAGCATCTGCTCTCAAGCATCTTGCAGATCGGTACAAAATCGCCGTGGTGGTGACCAACCAGGTCACAGCCTCCGTCGACAACCCACTTCCCAGTGTCACTCCAGCAGCAGCAGCAGCAGCAGCAGCAGCAGCAGCAGCAGCAGCAGCAGCAGCAGAAGTAGAAGAAGATGGTCAAGCAAAATCAGATGCAGCAGCATCAGCAGCTGTGGCGTATTCTGGTCCGCATCCTGACATCCTCGCTGACTCGGAAAACTCGCAGATTCTGTGGTCATCAGGGCAGCCTGTAGTACCAGCCCTGGGCCTCGCCTGGTCCCACTGCATCAACACACGCATCCTCCTCTCCAGACGTACTCCTGCCACCTTCCTGTCCTACTCTTCATTCCAGACACCCAGGCTCGGACAGCAGGCTTGGGAGGGTTGTAACCAGGCAGGTGGTGCCGCTTTGGGACGGAATGTGGAGCGAAAGCTTGTTTTGGTGTTTTCACCGTACCTGCCTCCAGGTTGGGTGGACTTTACCCTGGGATTGGATGGAATTGTTGGGGCTGGCGCCATGGGAGGGAGGAATGGGGTGGATGGCGGCTTGACCTTGGTACCTGCAACAAGCTATTCCAGTGGTGTGGTGATGAAGCCAGGTTTTTTGGTCAGTGGAATGGTTGATGAGCACAGATGGCAGAATTCAGGAAAGGATACTATGATGGTTGAAGTGGAGAATTCATGTCGTGCGGTAGTTCCTGTTGGGATCTGAATTTGCTTGTGATTTGCTCAGTTTTTATATGATATTTGGCACTTTAAAATTTAATGAAATATCAAAGGATGAGAGCATGGATCAGAGCCTGCATGTGGTAGAACCCAATAGATGCAAGTGCCATTTCTTCGGCTTGTAAAGGGGAACTCTATAATGAGCAAAAACGGCGAAGCTGGCGACCTCAACGACTTTATTTCTGGGTGTGAACTGTAGCACGCCATTTAGGAATGCGACGCATGCGACGACCAGTCAACGACTAAACACGCACGGGGTGGGCGGGCGAATTATCGCACGGGGTGAAACAGAGGAAGAAAGCATCGCCACACCAGCTGGATAGGGGCGAAATTCGCAGAGACGCGGGAACATTCGGAGAGGGAGAGTTTTCGTGCTTCGCATCGCGCAGCAGAGTTTTCGCCCCCAGTTCGCCTTGGCCCTGTTCGTTGCATTTTGCATTCTACACCTACCTTCCCTTTATCCACCGACCATCCTTCCCCAGTCAGGATCCTCCCTCGTATATGTCTCCTCAGAGCCCGGTCCTAGGATGATATCTCCGCGTTGATCGCGAGACACCAGCCACGTTGTCAGCACTGCCAGCTGTCGGCTTATCTCGCCTGTCTTGTCACGAAATAACTGTCTGGGTTCGACGTCAGGGTAGGGTAACTCACGCTCGCGAGTTTCCCGCCCGTTGGCGCGCCACACGAAAATGTGCTTCTGTAGCAGCACCTCTCACGCACGACCGACAGTAAAGTACCAGCCGCAGGGCCAAGTGGGTCCTAGCGCGGTAGTACCTCCCGGAAGTTTCGGTGTGCCTTCCTCGCACCGCCATGATTGCCGCTGACCAGTCTTCGCGTGCACTGCTAGCAGCCTTCCTCAATTCCTGCCCGTTAGTGGCCTAGCCTATAGCTCAAGGCTGCGACGTACTATTCGTGCAGAGGAGCAGTCCTGGGAGCAGGTCTATAAAAGCACCCAATAATCTCTTCAGATATCTCATCATTCTCCTCTGCCTCCTCTCGTACGGTAATTACCGACATCAGTTTGAACATACAGTCGAACAGTCGTCCTCGTTTTCGCCTCTTATCGAGCCATTGCGCTTCACTTAACGCTCATTACCCAATCAACGATGACGACGATGACGGCTCTTCGCCACCTTCTCGCCGCGTCGCTGCTGGCTCTCCTCGTCGTCGCCTGTAAGCACAGCCTCGATATCCATTTCAAGGACATGCAGCCAATGCATGCATGCTTGCGAGCCAATGCAGCCTTCCACTAATCTGCAGTGAAGCATCCGGTATCTAATTATGTTCCTGCTGCTTACAGGCGACGCCTGTTTCCGATGCCTCTAACGCTGTTCCCCCTCGTCCCCGAATACCGCAACAGGCGCCGCTCATGGCGGCGGCGGCGGCGGCGGCGGCCGTGGGCGCGGGGGTGGCGGAGGACGCGGGTTCGAAGGCGGACGCGGTGGTGGAGGCGGCGGGTTTGGCGGCGGATTTGGCGGCGGATTTGGCGGCGGATTTGGCGGCGGTCCGCACAATCGCACTGGGGGTCTGGGCACCCGCGTGGGTGAGTCAGACTCGAACGCTTCATTCTCATTCTCTGTCTCGTTTGTATTGTATTGCAGAAAGACGGGCATAAGTGATCACCAAAGCTGATGTATTTGCTCTCCTCTCAGACACCAACCGACCCCCGCCTCCCTCCTGTTGCATATCTCCCCTGTTCCATCCCTCCTGTGTTCCTCATCTCTCCTGCTTCTCATCTCTCCTACTCCTCATGTCGCCAGGAGCGGTGGCACAGAGATCACCAGTGCTGCTTTAATAATAAAACCCCTTGATCCATATCTCCCCTCATCTCATCTCTCTTGCTCCCATTCCGCCTGCCTCTCATCCCACCAGGAGCGGTGGTGGCGAGGCTGAACGGCACGGAGATCACGAGCGCTGCTGGCGATGTGAATGCCACGGGGGTCATCTCCCTCGCCCTCTTCCAGTGAGTCCATCTACCTCGCATTGCCAATCACTCTCTCATTCCACCTCTTCACTTTTCCGCATCCCTCACTGTCTTCCAGCGAGCCCCACCACTCGCTGCCAACCACCCCCTCCTGCCCTGACCTCATCCCCTCCTGCTGCATGTCTCATCACTTTCCTCGCACCACCCATCCCCATGGCAGGAGTGGCAGCGACTACAACATTCGCTACAGCGCCAGCATCCGCCTGACCGACCCCGACACTCTATGGTGTTCCATGAATGTCCCACACCCATCCGTTCCTCCCTTGTGACCTTCTCCCTGCACCACCCACCCCTGATTCTGGTTGGCAGGAGTGGTAGCGACTACAGCATTCGCTACGGCGCCAGCATCCGCCTGACCGCCCCCGGAGCTCCCCTCTCCATCGCCATCCGCACCGGCGCTGCCGGCTCGGCAGACAGCGGCGCCGCCCTTCTCGAGTTCTCCGCCACCGAAGCAGCGTGGGCCAACCTCACTTGGAACGGCACCCGCATGGACTTTCGCGGTCGCAGGCACGCCGCCCCCGTTCCGAAATACTTTGGGTTTTTCCGCCCGGGTGTTCCGTCCGGTTACGTGTATGGGTTCTCTGGCGTCTGGTATAATGCCACGCAGTACAGTAACGCGGATGGGCAGAGCTATTTCGAGGTGGCGAATCTGCTCTTGGCGAATCCGAGTGGGTACTTTGGGATTGTGAAGACTGACGCGTTTGCGGATGGAGCTGCCCGCGGTCAGTTTGCAAATTTCACCCGCCCGACCCCCGACACGTTTTGGCAGCGCAACTAGCGTTTTAGAGGCCATTGAGTGATGTTCATTTGATACGTTAGTCAGCCTGGCTCTTGTTTAGATGGTCTGGAGAAGGGGAGGTGGAGGAACGGCAGCAAGTGATGCATAGGCTGTGGGGAAGCAAGCAGGTTAGGCGTGCAAGACAGCTTCAGTCTGTGGGGTTACCATCAGGAAGATAGTTACCACCGCTCGTGCACATTGTGTGATGATTCAAAGTGGAATGAATTCGGGTGAGTTACAGTACCACCACTCTTGCACATTCTGTGAGGCTTACACCGTACCACTCTTGCACATTCTGTGAGGCTTACACCGTACCACTCTTGCACATTCTGAGGCTTACACCTTACCACTCTTGCACATTCTGTGAGGCTTACACCGTACCGTACCTTACCTATTGCACAGCACCATAGTTTGAACTATTGTGTGACATGACAAAAACGTAAGCCTTCTTGCAAGTACAAGGCCCTTCATGCCTTGAGGTCGCCTCTGATACCTTCTTAGGTCAAACCCACTCCCTCTAACACTTTGAGGCCATTGTCTGAGGCTCATTACTTTGCCATTTTTGGGATATTGCTGGTGAAGTTCAACAATCTGGGGTGGTGGTGATGGTTCGTCTAAAGGTCAAGCAACACAGGGATGGGGAGGGGAGTGATTGTCATGGCAAAATGATGTCTCCTTTCAACCGAAACACAACCATGCAACAGTTCAATGCAACGACATGGAGAGCAAGTCTGGCGCTGCAGCATAGTGACTGCCCCAGCCCATGCACCATAGCAGCACGGTGCCAATAACGAGGGCTGCAGACACACAGCAAGCACCAGACTTGACCTCCATGCCATGCGCTCTCAACTCCAAACTCCACACTCCAGCTCCGAGAGTCCTAGGAATCTCCGGAGTAATCCCAGACTCATCTTCCTACTCCTCCCATTCCCCTGGTATGAACAACTCCACCGCTGCTTTCACGAAGTTAAGGTCCCTTGGACTTTCCCGAATTCCCAGCATACCCATCCTAAGCCCGGCCCACTTTCGAACGCTGCTGCCTCCCGCGATGCAGCCTACCCGCGCATACTACCGCGCATGCCGCCGCGCATGCCGCCTCCACGACCCCACGCGTGGCGGGTGTGGTTGGCGAAGGGCCCCCCGACGACGCCATCCTGAAACGCGTCGGTGGTAACCACGCCGAAGAAGCTGCTGGGCGCGGCGAGCATGTCGACGGCCACCACGTCAGCGTAGCTGCGCCCCGCGCTGTTGGTGAGCGTGCTCGCGTTGTACCAAACACCGGAGAAGCCATACGCGAATCCTCCGCGCGGGCCCCCGCGCCCGCCGCGCCCGCCGAAGAAGGAACCCGCGCCGGTGGCGTTGAGGTTCGGGAAGAACTGCGCCAGCACCTGCAGCACCGCCTTCAGCACCGCGCCGCGCCCGGACGCGCCGCCAGCGCCGCCGCCCTGCGCGCCCTGGCCGGACTGCCCGCCGAAGCGCGTGCCGTTCCACGTGTAATTCTGCCACGCGGCCTCGGTAGCGGAGAACTCGATAACGGCGGAGCCGCCGGCGCCGGCGGCGCCGGAGTTGATGGCGATGGAGGTGGGGAGGCCAGCATCAGTCACGCGCACGCCTGCCTGGTATAGAATGTTGTAGTCCGTATCGGTTTTCAACACAACCAGCCCGATCACCCCCGTCGCATTCGCGTCGCCCACGGCCGCGTCGCTCGCGTCGAGCACCTGCGATCCGTTCATGAAGGCTCTCAGGGAACCAACTGGAGTGCCGAGTTTGCCGCTGATGACGTCACGCCACACGCCACCGCCGAATCCGCCGCCTCCAAAGCGACCTCCGCGATGAGCGGCACCTGAAAGGGACGCGCGACGACAAATATTAGTTTCTAGTGATGCTACCAATCAGTATATTTGTACTCAAAGGCCTTCCGAACTCGACTCTCTGGAGCAAAGAGTGCGTCCCTTCTTGTTGCAAACTCACATGGTGAAAAGGACACATGTCACTGAGGTTAAACATTCGTTGTAACTCACATGAAATCACAAGTGCTGCGAACAACGACGCGATGAGTAGATCCTTGAAGGCCATGGTCGAGTCGTCGGATCTAGCTGGAGCTTAGTGGAAACGAAGAATTCGAGTCGAGTTGAAAGAGTCAGCAAGTCGATTAGGATCAGCCCAGTTATGAAAAGAGTGAAGATGATTTGAATCTGGCGAGGCAGAGTGATTTTTTTATGTGATGGGAAGTCGTGCCTGTCAGGCTGGATGCGCCTCGGGAAGCGGTGGGGAACGCATTGAAAATGCGAGAAACATTTTCGTTCGCCAAACGACAAGGAGTTCGCTTATTCACTTGTGTGCTTGAGGCGAACCATTTAGGTTGGTTGCCGACATGTTACCAACAGGCGAAAAGGTTGAGGTGGCTGTCGTAGGACCACCGCATCACGAAGCGCTTACAATCTTTAGCGAAAGGGGTTATTCACGCGTTACGTGATTCGTAAGCGATTTCGAGACTCGCTGATACTGTAATGCGGTAAACGACAGAGTTTTGCAGCCAGTGGCAACCGTCAGGCTCTAGGTGGCTTGGCGGCACAGAAACTGGTTAGCCACCAAGACGACTCAACTACACGCTACACTAAGGAGGTTATACAGTCGCAAGTGTTATAATTGCTTGTTACGGAAATTAGTTTGACAAACGAATCATAATCACATGATGATGCCAGACAGTACGAATAAGAAATTGCCTGGGCGTGTAGTTACTTCCCCAACTTCTCTGCAGCAAACTTCTTAGCAACCTCCATCGCCTCATTTGCACCTGAAGCCTTGTTACCCTGAAAAGGAAAGGGTAAGGTGCACAAAAGCGGAGCATAAACTGTGAGATCTGTGTCGTTAACACACAACTCTGCCCTGCAACGGCCAAACTGGAATGGATCCATCATGCATCCCCTTGAAGGATTCAGAACTCTGCCAACTCTCCCATCCCATGCCCCACCTATCTATCCTCTGAAACTCTCTCATGCCCGACCCATCCCCAGCCCAACAGGACCAAATCTCTCTACTCGACTCTGCTTCCTCACCTGCCCCTGGGCCAGCCCGCCCTTGCCACCGCCCCCCTTGCCCTCCACGGGCACAAGTGCCGCCCGCAGCCACTCCAGCACAGACAGGCCGCGCGCTGCCACTGCATCCGGCACACCCGCATACACGAGCACCTTGCCCTTCTCCTCGTCCACCGATACCATCAGCACCGCCAGCTCCTGGTTTGAAGGAAGGGGAAGGGGGGAGAAGAGTTGAAGATGTGAAGCCAAGGAGTGTGGGAATATAGCCTCCATCAACCCTGCTTTTGAGTCGACTCCAAGGCGAAGGAGTGCGGGGATATAAGCCTCCATCAACCCTGCCTTACACTCCTCAAGATCACACATGCTCCCCCCCCTCCTTCAATTTTGAAGCACGCACACACACACACACAAACTCCCTCAACTGTTGCCATTTCATACCACCATATTCCCCCCACCGCCATCCCTCGTTTTCCCTCTCTCCCCCATCCCCAACTCTCACCTTCTGCTGTCCCAGCACGGTCACCACGGCCTCTCTGATCACATTCGGATCCAGCCCCACATCGATCCGCAGTACACACACACTCTCCCCCCAACCCAACTGCTGCCCTTGAACACCACCAACAGTTGAATTTCCCCCACCCACAACCCCAGCTCACCTTCTGCTGCCCCAGCACCGTCACCACAGCCTCTCTGATCGCATTCGGGTCCAGCCCCACATCGATCCGCAGCACACACACACTCTCCCAACAGCCATCTTAACACACCACCACACCCCCTGCTCCCCCTTCCCCCTTCCCCCCAAGTCTCACCTTCTGCTGCCCCAGCACAGTCACCACAGCCTCTCTAATCGCATTCGGATCCAGCCCCACATCAATCCGCAGCACGCACACACTCTCCCCGGCCGCCGCCGCCGCTGCCGCCGTCTCCACAGCAGTCTGAATGGCGAGCTTCAGGTTGGCCCCGGCGGCTGCTTTCTGTGCCTGGCGTAGGCGGTCATGCAGCTTCAAAAGAGAAGCTTTCAGCTGCGCCTTGTAAGCGGCTGGGATCACAGCGGAATCGACTGAACCCTTTAGTGCTGCCACTTCCTGTGAGGTTAGGGACAGAGAGCAGGAGAGAGACAGTGGGAAGGGCAGCAGAGCTTCAGGTTGGCCCTGGCGGCTGCCTTCTGTGCCTGGCGCAGGCGGTCATGCAGCTTCAGCAGCGATGCCTTGAGCTGTGCTTTGTATGCTGCGGGGATCACGGCTGAGTCCACTGAGCCCTTAAGTGCTGCCACTTCCTGTTCTTGATAGGGATGATGAGGATCAGGGAGGAAGGAGAGAGCGTTGAGAAGGTCAATTGAGGTCAACTGATGTCAACAGTGGTCAGCTGAGGTGCTCACTTTTTTCATAAAAGTCAACAGGAGTCAACCCACCCACCTTCTCCAGGGCGTTGCCAATCAGCTTGCCTGCCACTTCGATCCGGGCGGCAAACTAGTCAGCGAGGGCAATAGCCTCCTTGGCCTTGGCAATTGGTGAACTGAGGTCAACAGAAGTCAACAGAAGTCAACAGGGGTCAACCCACCTTCTCCAGGGCAGTGCCGGACAGCTTGCCAGCCGCTTCAATCCGGGCGGCGAACTGGTCGGCGAGGGCGATGGCCTCCTTGGCCTTGGCGGTGGTCAACTGAGTTGAACAGAAGTCAACTGACGTCAACTGAGGTCAAAAGAGGTCAACCACCTTCTCCAGAGCAGTGCCAGTCAGCTTCCCAGCCGCCTCAATCCGGGCGGCGAACTGGTCAGTGAGGGTGATGGCCTCCTTGGCCTTGGCGGTGGTGAATAGGAGTCAACAAGAGTCAACAGAGGTCAACCTGAAGTCAACCCACCTTCTCCAGAGCAGTGCCAGTCAGCTTCCCAGCCGCCTCAATCCGGGCGGCGAACTGGTCAGCGAGGGCGATGGCCTCCTTGGCCTTGACGGTGGTGAACTGAGTTGAACAGAAGTCAACTGACGTCAACTGAGGTCAAAAGAGGTCAACCCACCTTCTCCAAAGCGGTGCCGGTCAGCTTGCCGGCCGCTTCAATCCGGGCGGCGTACTGGTCGGCGAGGGCGATGGCCTCCTTGGCCTTGGCGGTGGTGAAGGCGATGATGCGCCGCACGCCCTTGGCGATGCCCTCCTCGCTGATGATCGCGAATGACTCCGCCTCTGATGTGTTGCTGACGTGCGTGCCTGGGGGTGGGTGGGGAGGAAATAGCGGAGGGGAAGTGAAAGCGAGGGACATAGAGTGAAGGCGATGATGCGGCGCACGCCCTTGGCTATGCCCTCCTCGCTGATGATCGCAAAAGATTCGGCTTCTGAAGTATTGCTGATGTGCGTGCCTGGTGGAAAAGGGGGTGGGGAGGGAATAGCGGAGGGGAAGTGAAAGCGAGGGACATAGAGTGAAGGCGATGATGCGCCGCACGCCCTTGGCTATTCCCTCCTTGCTGATGATTGCGAATGACTGCGCCTCTGATGTGTTGCTGATGTGCGTGCCTGGGGGGGAGAAACAAGGGAGAGACAGACAGGAGAGATAGAGCGAAAGGCACCGGAAAATGGAGAGTGACCAGGCCGTGCAGAGAGTATATAGCTCTACGAACAACTTATGCTGGTCTATACAGTGGCACAACTAACAGGCAGCACTCACCACCGCAGAACTCAATGGAGCTGTTGGCCCACTGGGGGTTCTACAGGTCCTGCAGCAGCTGCTGCACTGGCGATACTCACCGCCATATAGTGGCACAACTCCCAGCCACAGAACACACAGCAACGCACAGCACTCACCACCGCAGAACTCAATGGAGCTGTTGGCCCACTGGGGGTTCTCCGGGTCCTGCAGCAGCTGCTCCACTGGCGTGCCCACTGATACCACCCGCACTGGATCGGGGTAGACCTGGAGACAGGAGATAAAGAGATTGGGAGATTGATTATGGAGACGCGCATGAGTGGCAGGGGGGGTAACAGTAACACACTCTGGGTCCTGCAAGAGCTGCTCCACTGGCGTGCCCCACTGACACCACCCGCACTGGATCTGGGTAGACCTGCGAAACAAGAACACAGAGAGGCAGGGACACCACTGACTTGATAACGCCTGCAAGGCACGCATAAGGGTAGCACACAGCAGCTGACACGTGAGGGTCCTGCAGCAGCTGCTCCACTGGCGTGCCCACTGATACCACGCGCACTGGATCGGGGTAGACCTGAGGTGCAGGGAGACAGGTAAGGCAGGGAGAGATATGAGGGAACGCGAGTGTGCACCAGATACACACAGGCGCACAGTTAAACACTCCGGGTCCTGCAAGAGCTGCTCCACTGGCGTGCCCACCAACACCACGCGCACAGGATCCGGGTAGACCTGAGAGAGGGGAGGATGAAGAGGCAGGGAGTTACGTGAGAGCCAGGAGGGACACTGTGGGCACTGCAGTAGGGAAAAAAACGCTGACCATTCTCACTGCTTTCCACCATGCTCACCTCTCCAAAAACCGCTCTGAGCCCCATGATACGCCTGGCATCCGCGAGGCTGGACTCGAGGGCGTACACGGGCAGGGCCTCAATCTTCCTCCCCACAAAGACTGGGTCGAGTTACACCTGGAAAAACGAACTGACCATTCCCACAGCTTTCCACCGTTATCGACCGCTTTCCACCGCTCTTACCTCTCCAAAGACCGCTCTGAGCCCCATGATACGCCTGGCATCTGCGAGGCTGGACTCGAGCGCGTACACTGGCAGCCCTGCCTTGACTCGCTCCACCACCTCCCCCTCGATCTTCCCCAGGTCCTTGGGGTCGATGGGCTTGCCTGCAGACGTCGACGTACGTGTGGGGGTAAAAAACAAGGGGAGGGGGAAAAGGTGAGATGCTTCACACCCGCCTTAACCCGCTCCACCACCTCCCCCAACACCTTCTTCAGCACGGCCGTGTGATTCAGCGCCACCAGCGCCGGGCGATTGTAGCCCACGGCGCACCTGACCCGCCAGAATAACCCAAGCCGCCCACCCAAGCCACCGAAGTCACCTGAGCCAAGCCAAGCTAGCAGCTTTGAATTGGCTCCAGAAGCGCGAAAGGCTCACCATGAGAGAAGTCGAATCGGAGTCGATCCTCTGCCACAAGACTCCCCTTCTGGTCGATATGGTCCCCCAACACCTTCTTCAGCGCATGGTTCAGCAGATGCGTGCAAGTGTGATTTTGCTATGTCATAATGTCATTATGGGACAGGAGAGAGCGAGGCTTACCATGGGAGAAGTCGAATCGGAGTCGATCCTCCGCCACCAAACTCCCCTTCTGGTCAATGTGATCCCCCAACACCTTCTTGAGTGCATGGTTGAGCAGATGTGTCGCCGTGTAATTCGGAGCCACCAGCGCCCTCCGATCGTAGTCCACACAACAACCAGAACCACCAGAACTATCAGGGGCACCAGGGGCATCAACCGTGCATGGGCTATGGCGCTATGAGAGAGGAGAGAATGGGGCTCACCGTGGGAGAAGTCGAAACGCAGACGGTCTTCTGCAACAAGGCTGCCCTTCTGGTCAATGTGGTCTCCCAACACCTTCTTCAGCGCATGGTTGAGCAGATGTGTCGCCGTGTGATTGGGCGCCACCAGCGCCCTCCGATCGTAGTCCACCTGGCACACCACCGCGTCGTCCACTGCCACGCTGCCACCTGTCACCACGCCCACATGCACCACGTAACCGCCGTACACCTGCACCGACCGCACCTCGAACCTCGCATCCCCGTTATTAGCATCCCCGTTATTAGCAGGTTTGATGATGGCGCCCGTGTCGAAGATCTGCCCGCCCTGCTCTGCGTAGAAGCTGGAGCTGGTCAAAACGAGGCCCACTTCGGCGGATGCGTCTGCTGACGTGGCGGTTACTGATTCGACGAAGCCGGAAGGGGTGAAAATGGCTCGTACGGTGGTTGGGTGATCCTGTGGGTGGGGAAGAGAAGGAACCATGGGGGATTGAGGGGTGTAAGAATAGGAACAAGATCCAGGGGTGAGAGAGTAAGAGAGGGTGAGAGAAGAGAGGGATCGGAAAAAGGATGAGGAAGAAAGGAGAGGTAAGCGGGTTTGGTGTGGGCTTGGAATGGAATGGACGGGGTCCGAGTCGCAAGGGCTGAGACAACAAGAGTGAAGAAAAGGAGAGTTGTACGAGTCGCCACGTCAGATGGGTGCTCACAGCTGTGTTCAGCTCAGTGCTTCTCAAGGCTCAACTCGTGCCACACGTATTTGGACAAGTCGTCAGTGGGATCGATGCCCCTCCCCTTTGAGGCGCCTCAAATGCCGTACTTGCGCAAGCCATCAGTGGCTCTCTACTCACTCAATCAAGGGTAATGCCATGCACGAGTTGTCCAAAAAAAAGCTCACTTGGGGCCACACGTGTTTGGCCGAGTCATCAATGCCCCGCTTCTGACTCACCCAAAAGATGTGAGCGCTCAGACAGTAATCACCTGGCGCCACACGTATTTGGCCGAGTCGTCAGTGGGATCGATGCCCCACTTCTGCCTCACCAAATGCGTGAGCGTTCAGACCAGACATTATAAAGAGTGACGCAGGAATTGTTTGAGATGTTGCTCACCTGGCGCCACACATATTTGGCCGAGTCGTCGGTGGGATCAATGCCTCGCTTCTGCAGCTCTGCTGTCGCCTCTGCCTCCATCACCAGCGCACCCGCCCCGCCCTGCACACAACAGCACACAGACAAGAAAGATGACTTATAGACGTAGGCCCCACCCCACCAAACCAGCAGCGCCTCCATATTTTACTTTTCAAGGCGCCTCTTCTTCGTCACCAACTTCCCCCCTCCACCCAGCTTGTATCAATTAGAAATGAGGAGATTAGGCAAGCAAATCTAGAGGCACTTCACATTTTCTAAAGGAGCTGGAGGAGAGTCAGGCTGCAATTGTCAAGCTGAAGGAGTCGTACAAGGAGGAGGCTGTGAAGCGGAAGAAATACTTCAACATGCTGGAGGGTGAGTGAACTGGGCATTCGGGTCTCGAAATGACGTCTCAAACCGTGAAAGAAAATTGTTATCGAGTCCCCAATACCCATACCACTCGCCCTCCAGCATGTTGCAGTACTCCTTGCGCATCACAGCCTCCTCCTTGTACGTCTTTTCTCAACATGGCAACTGCAGTCTGACTCTCCTCCAGCTCCTTGAAGAGCGCCTATTGCTTTCCTGACTCGCCCTCGTCTCCTCACCTTGCTCCTGGCTCCTCGCGACATCTCCCTGGCATTGATCATCGCCCTCTCAAATGTCGCCATGACTTTTTGCGTTCTCTCTCTCCCACCTCTTCCCACCCTCCCTTTCCCTCACCTTGCTCCTAGCCCCGCGCGACATCTCCCTGGCATCCGTCATCGCCTGCTCGTATGCTGCCATGTCCACTGCCAAACCCTTTTCCTCCGCCATCAGCTGATGTGCAGGGGGGGGGGGGGGGGGGGGGGACAGACGGATCAAGGAAAGTTGGGAAGAGGAGGCCTTACCGAAGGCAAAGCCAGAGGCAGAGGCAGAGGTAGAAGGAGACGCCAAGCAGAGAAGAGGTACAGGAAGCCATACCAGGGTTTTTAGGCACCTCATAAAACAGAAGCAGAGGCAGAAGAACAGGCGGGCGTACCTGGGTAAGATCAACAGGGAAGCCGAAGGTGTCCCAGAGAACAAAGGCGTCCTGTGTGTGGGAGGCAAGAGAGGGAGTGGCGGATAAGGAGAGGAGCAGAGGCAGTACAAAATATGAATCGACTCAAGAAGGTGTCCCAGGGCATAACAGAGTTGTGTGAGACGTGAGAGGGGTAAGAGGGAGGGAAAGTGAGGGATGATGGGGGAGAAGGGGAAAGGGGGGGCGGGGGAGAAGAACGGGGCAGGGAGGAGTGGAGGTTTAGGCATGGATAACGGATGGGATGACTAAGGATGGAAAGAACGCCTTCAGGAAGGAACAAGCTGACATGGAAGCAGCAGAGTGTCATGGAAGGAGCAAAGATCAAGACTTGCACATGCATCTCACGTCACTACACACCATAGCACCGCGTTACACCGCACCTGGCCACTCAGCTTGCCGTCCTTCACTTCAGAGGCAGCCTTCTCAAACCGTTGCAGACCCTGCAAAGGAGGGGGTGGAAGGGAGAGGAGCGGGAGGAGCAGCGGAGAGAGGGGAGAAGAAAGGGGAGAAGAAGGGGGGAGTAGTGGGGGGGACCAAAACGGAGTGAGGCAAACCGTGTGATTACTCGGAATTCTAATCAGGCATTGTGAAGGTTTTTTTTTTTAAGCTGCCCAGTTCACCCACTAGTGCAGGCACATACTCTTCCAACCCAAAATCCTTGATTCGAGAGCTGGAGTATAATACTCAGAAAGCACCCACCTTTTGGAGGGTGCGGCCGAAAGCAGCCTCCTCCTCGCTGATGATATCCCGAATGTGCTGGCCGTGCTTGCGCAGCTCAGGGAAGGTGTCCCCCATGAGGTCCGCGAACACTGGCACCAAGCTACAAGGAGGGAAGGGAGAGCAAGGGGTAGGGTAGGGGAGGTGGGAGGGTTACGTGCCGCCTCCTCACTGATGACATCCCGAATGCGCTGGCCGTGCTTGCGCAGCTCAGGGAACGTGTCCCCCATGAGGTCAGCAAACACCGGCACTAAGCTACGGGTGGGTAAGGGAGGGGAAGGTACCAAGGGGAACGGGAGGGGAGAGAAAAGCGACAAAGAAGGGGAAGGGGAAAATTAGAGGAAGAGAAGAGGGACAAAAGAGGAGGAGGTGGGGTGAGGGAGGGAGGAGGGCGGGCGAGGTTAGTTACTGAAGAAGTGGCTGCAAAAAACTTGCTCGCCACTAAAAACAAGTGGAAGACTTTACAAAAGAGTGCTGTATTGTGCTATTCCGTGAATCGCGGTCACTCCAATTTCCACATGCCAAGGGCGCTCACGAGCTGAAGAAGCCTTCTTGAGCACCCAGAACGTCGCGCCCGTAGCGCACGGCGCGCCTGAGGATGCGACGCAGCACGTAGTCGCGACCGCCACTGCTCAGGACAGACGCATATGCTGCACACTCACGAGCTAAGGCCACTCACGAGCTGAAGAAGCCTTCCTGGGCACCAAGCACATCGCGGCCATAGCGCACAGCACGCCTCAGGATGCGGCGCAGCACGTAGTCGCGACCGTCGCTGCCGGGCCTGGCGCCGTCAGCGATGGCGAAGGAGAGAGTGCGGATGTGATCCGCCACCACACGGTACGCCATGTCCTTGTTGCCCACGTCTTCTTTCCCGAGCTTGCCCTCATACGGTGCCGCTCCCGTCACCTAATGGGTGGCATGAGGCAAGTCAAATCACGGCAACAGGAGGTGCGGTCAGCAATGGCGAAGGAGAGAGTGCGGATGTGATCCGCCACCACACGGTACGCCATGTCCTTGTTGCCCACGTCCTCCTTGCCGAGTTTTCCTTCATACGGTGCTGCTCCCGTCACCTGGTGGGTGGCATGAGGCAAGTCAAATCACGGCAACAGGAGGTGTGGTGAGCGATGGCGAAGGAGAGTGTGCGGATGTGATCCGCCACCACACGGTACGCCATGTCCTTGTTGCCCACGTCCTCCTTGCCGAGTTTTCCTTCATACGGTGCTGCTCCCGTCACCTGGTGGGTGGCATGAGGCAAGTCAAATCACGGCAACAGGAGGTGTGGTGAGCGATGGCGAAGGAGAGTGTGCGGATGTGATCCGCCACCACACGGTACGCCATGTCCTTGTTGCCCACGTCCTCCTTGCCCAATTTTCCCTCGTACGGTGCTGCTCCTGTAACCTGGCAGGAAGGAAAGTACGACAGAACAAACAAAGGCAGCAGCACAGTTTGGTTCGAAGGAGAGAGTGCGGATGTGATCCGCCACCACACGGTACGCCATGTCCTTGTTGCCCACATCATCCTTGCCAAGCTTGCCTTCGTACGGTGCTGCTCCGGTAACCTGAGAGGCAGGCAGGCAGCAGGGTCATGCAGAAGGCAAGGGTGTGGGATGGGAGGTGGAGTGAGCGATGGCGAAGGAGAGAGTGCGGACGTGATCAGCCACCACTCGGTACGCCATGTCCTTGTTGCCCACATCCTCCTTCCCCAGCTTGCCTTCATAGGGCGCCGCTCCCGTCACCTGGCAGGAGGGAAAGTACGACACAACAAACGAAGGCAGCACAGTTTAGTTGGAAGGAGAGCGTGCGGATGTGATCCGCCACCACTCGATATGCCATGTCCTTGCTGCCCGTGCCCGTGCCCTCCTTGCCATAGGAGGCCCAGGTTGCCCTCGTATGCTGCTGCTCCTATCACCAGGTGGTTGCTCACATGGGATGGAATGGGAGGGATCAAATGAACAGACGGCACAGGTCACATCACAGTCATGGATGACAAGTCACAAGTCACTGGTCACGAACACCTGCCCTGCCCTGCCCGTTCACAGCCCTTCCACTTACCCCCCCACCATCTGGATTTCACCAAAGATGGGCATGAAGACGTCAATGCCGTAGTTGCTCGTACTCCTCCCCTTACCTTACCCAACCCAGCTCAACCACCCTCCATCCTCTCCCCCCCTCTCACCTTCTGGATGGCCTCAAAGATGGGCATGAAGACATCAGTGTCGTAGTTGCCCAGCTTGCAATGCAAGGTCGACGCCAGGCGTGCAAGCCCAAAGCCCACTCAAACTCCTCCCCTCTCTCCCAACTCCCTCTTTTCCTCCGCACCTTCTGGATTGCCTCGAAGATGGGCATGAACACGTCAGTGTCGTAGTTGCTCAGCTTGCCCTGCAGGATGGACGTCAGGAACTCCAAGCCCACTCAAACTCCTCCCCACACCTTACCCAACCTAGCCCAACCCCACCCAAACCTGTTCAACCGCTCTCCACAGCTTCCCACCTTCTGGATCGCCTCAAAGATGGGCATGAACACGTCAGTGTCGTAGTTGCTCAGCTTGCCCTGCAGGATCGACGTCAGCCGCTCAAAGCCCATTCCTGTGTCCACATGCTTCGCAGGCAGCGTCTTGAGCGTGCCATCCGCCTCGCGGTTGAACTGCAAGCAGAGAGGTTGGTTTGGTGTGGAGTGAGTGACGCATTAGGGTGGGTGGGCATGAGATGCGGGTACGGTACGGCATTGAAAGACAGCCAGCACGTGAGACTTTAATCACATAGCTACATACATACTCGTTAAAAAGGACACCCGAGCACATGCTGAACGACATCCTCACTTGGATGAACACGTTGTTGCAAATCTCAATGCACGTGGGGTCATCACTTGAACATGTCTCCCCATACTCGTTACAAACGCTTTTGTTTACAGCACCCTCTCACCTGGATGAACACGTTGTTCCAAATCTCGATGCAAGTGGGGTCGTCAGCATTGACCAGCGCTGCAGCATCGCGCCCTCCCAGGCGGTCAAAGTGGATCTCTGTGCATGGGCCACAGGGCCCCGTGTCGCCCATCTCCCAGAAGTTATCCTGCATGCACGCACACAGGGATCGGTGGGGTGGGAGGGTGAATTTGAGTCGATATCAAGTCATCACAACCCACTTGCTCCCGTGTTGCCCATCTCCCAGAGTTGTCACCAGTGCAGCAGCATCGCGCCCGCCCAGGCGATCAAAGTGGATCTCCGTGCATGGCCCACAGGGGCCCGTGTCCCCCATCTCCCAGAAGTTATCCTGCACACGCATGCACACAGACACAACATTATATTATAATCAGCCCAGAAAGCGCTCACTAGCTCTGCTCTGCAGCATCGCGCCCGCCCAGGCGATCAAAGTGGATCTCCGTGCATGGCCCACAAGGGCCCGTGCCCCCCATCTCCCAGAAGTTATCCTGCACACGCATGCACACAGGCACAACATTATATTATAATCAGCCCAGAAAGCGCTCACTAGCTCTGCTCTGCAGCATCGCGCCCGCCCAGGCGGTCAAAGTGGATCTCCGTGCATGGCCCACAGGGGCCGTGTCCCCCATCTCCCAGAAGTTATCCTGCACACGCATGCACACAGGCACAACATTATATTATAATCAGCCCAGAAAGCGCTCACTAGCTCTGCTCTGCAGCATCGCGCCCGTCCAGGCGGTCAAAGTGGATCTCCGTGCATGGCCCACAGGGGCCCGTGTCCCCCATCTCCCAGAAGTTATCCTGCACACACACGCACACAGACAAGGAATAATATTCTCGTCAACTCCGAAAGAGTCCACCAGCGCTGCAGCATCGCGCCCGCCCAGGCGGTCAAAGTGGATCTCCGTGCATGGCCCACACGGCCCTGTGTCTCCCATTTCCCAGAAGTTGTCCTGCATGCACACAGGGATCGGTGGGGCGGTAGGGTGAATATGAGTCGATTCCAAGACATCACGACCCACTTGCGCCCGTGCTGCCCATCTCCCAGAATAATCAACAGAGCTGCAGCATCGCGCCCGCCCAGGCGGTCAACGTGGATCTCCGTGCATGGCCCACACGGCCCCGTGTCTCCCATCTCCCAGAAATTGTCCTGCATGCAGTCGGGAATAACATCAATGTCAACTCAGAAAAATATAACCGCCAATGGTACGTCGCGGCCGCCCAGGCGGTTAGAGTGGATCTCTGTGCAACGCCCACACGGCCCCGTGTTGCTCATCTCCCAGAAATTGTCCTGCATGGACATGCAAAAAGGGATAGTTGGTTTGGTGGAAATTGTTTCCAGCGCCAACTATAAGTAAGAACAGCCCACACGGCCCCGTGTCGCCCATCTCCCAGAAATTGCCCTGCATGCACTGCACATGCATAGGTGCGTGCATGGGTGCATGGGTGCAAATACCCGTGAGCTAAAGCATCCGGTAGAGGTGACATTCTAGCGCAAACAAAACTGAGTGAGCGCATGGGGGCCACAGAAGCATGTGTAGGCCATCCAAGAATCAAACTATGCAGTGTACCTGAGACCTCCATAACGCGGATGAGACGAACCTTGCAGCCGAAGGGCAGCACTCGGCTGGCTGGGAGAACCGTCAGCCAGATGTCCCGGGCCTCCAGGTCCGGTTCCAAACCTAGCTTCTCGTCCCCGCCAAAGTAGGTAGCGTAGAGGTGATCCTCTGGAAGCTTGTACACCTGATGCAGAGCAACAGAAAAGAAAACACACACGGTGCCGGGGGGGACGTGACGTGTGGGGGAGTACGGGGGGTGGAAGGCGGGTGTGGGTGGCGTAAAGCCGATCCTCTGGAAGCTTGTACACCTGATGCAGGAAAGCAGGAGGTGAAACACGCAGTCTAAACTGTAAGAAGACAAAAGTGGTACTGAAAAGTGGAAGGCAACACCAGAGTGAAGGGACCTTAGCGTCAGAAGATCTAATCTGAAGCATGTGAGAAATGGGCCAAACCTACCTATATGAAAGGCTACCAAAACTACCTGTGTGAAGAGCTCCCAGGCCCATGTGATAGCTTCTTGTTTGAAGTAATCCCCGAAGGACCAGTTGCCAAGCATCTCGAAGAAGGTGTGGTGGTACGTGTCCTTGCCCACGTCGTCCAGGTCGTTGTGCTTGCCGCCCCACGGTAGGGGTAGAGGGAGGAGGGGCGCCCTAGCACCGACTCAACGGCCAGAAGCCCCTGCTGCCGCCCAAGTGGGAGAGAAGCAGGGGGCTTTAGAACAAACGCAAAGGCAAGAAAGAAGTGCTTACCTGGGTAAGAAGCTCCCAGGCCCACGTGATGGCCTCTTGTTTGAAGTAGTCCCCGAAGGACCAGTTGCCGAGCATCTCAAAGAAGGTGTGGTGGTACGTGTCCTTGCCCACGTCGTCCAGGTCGTTGTGCTTGCCGCCCGCGCGGATGCACTTCTGCGAGTTCACCGCGCGCTTGAGAGAGGCAAGGGGACTGCGGGGGTCCACAGTGCCCAAGAAGATGGGCTTAAACTGGTTCATGCCTGGCGGGGGGAGAGGGGGGGGATGTGGGGTTGAGTGGTTGCCCGCGCGGATGCACTTCTGCGAATTCACAGCGCGCTTCAGGGACGCCAGAGGGCTGCGGGGGTCAACAGTTCCCAGGAAAATGGGCTTAAACTGGTTCATGCCTGGCACAAGGGGAAGGACGGGGGATAGAGGAAGGAAAGTTGAGTGGTCGTTGCGCTTGCCACCCGCGCGGATGCACTTCTGCGAGTTCACGGCGCGCTTCAGCGAGGCGAGAGGGCTGCGCGGATCAACGGTCCCCAGGAAGATGGGCTTGAACTGGTTCATGCCTGGCGGAAAGGAAGGGGAGGAGGGGGAGAAGGGAAGGGGGGTTGGGCGGGCATGGAAGTGATAGGCATCAGCGGAAACGGAGATTGAACGGAGACCAGGAAGTCTAACGAAGGAGACGATGTCGAAGCGGTCTGCATCGTGACATGCCATGCGCGCACACAGCCGCCTCGCCTTGGTGATCCGGCATTCGTAAGTTAGTTCTGGATATTAGATCCGACTCCAACGTCACATCGCAAACTGCACGCAGCCGCCGATCTGGTGATCTGAGCATCTTGAGCATATGACACGTGTACGGTACGATCATAAAGCAACTGCACGAATGTCGAGTCGACTCAAGAATCTGACGATCTCGAGCATTTTAAAACTCCTGTGACGTGTGCTACAACCTACAATCGGCGCATGCCGTCGCCAGCGCATCTAACGCTAAGAGACCCGCTGTTCCTCTTCCACGCCTCAGTACGCCTATATCGAAATCGCAGCCGCCTCTGTAACGAGCACACGGACGGACGCTAGAAGCGCAGAGAGAGCAACGATCGGCGACGCGGAGGCCCGGAAGGCACTGAGAGTCGCTCCTGTATAACGAGACGACTAACCGTCGATGCAGCTTAAGAGCACTGGCATGCGTTGTGGAGCTTAGGAGAAGCTTACAAGCACTGAGCGGCGCTACTGTCTAATAAGATCACTCACCGGCGTTAGCGAAGAGGAGCGTGGGGTCGTCCAGGGGGACAACGGGGCTGGACGGCACGTGCGTGTGCTCGCGATCCTTGAAGAACTGCAGAAACGTGTCGCGCACGCGCGTCGCCGGCCATTCCAGCTCCGCTCCTGCTCACGATTCGCACATTCAACAGGATATTAATCACAGGCCTGCAAGATTTTACTAGCGAGAAGTCAGTATGCTTGTTAATTAGTCTACCTGATGCTGATCCGCCCGACATTGCGGCTTGGAGTGGCAGAATAGGTATGCACGCAGATCGGAGGAGCAGCTAACTCAGGAAGCGAAACGCGTGTGGAATAAGCTAGACCCGCCCTATGATTTGGGCGTGGCTAGATAAGGGAGTGTGGCTTGATCTTCTGGTGGCGATAATCTCGAGGGTGTGCGGGCTGAAGGAGCTAAGGTCAAGGGGGATATAGTGTATTTGTGACTTGATCAGCGCGAAAAGGCGATGAATCTCGTTTATTTCAGCAAAGCTGCTTGTGTAGTACACTTTTTTTTTGGGAATGCTGCATCCCTGGGAGAGTGTGAGTTGATGCTACGGCATTCGCTTTCGCGAAACTATTGCGGCGGTTACCAGATGGAGCATCTCGCGTGGATGTTCACGACATTATTTGTTCGGATAATGTCGTCTGGGCCTCCAACGTCCAAAACTTTTGGCCATGCCAAGAATGCGTGAAACATTCTCAATGCTCGGCCGGTCACCAACGCACTGATGCCAGATGATTCGCTGGTCGCTGGGCAGAAAACTTTCGATTGCATGTGACTGATCGTCGGTCAGGTCGGTGATCTATAATTTTCGATTGCACGCTGAATTGCATTCGTCCGCACAGTGACTAGTTGGTCAACCGCTATCCGTCGAAGAAGTTTTGTCTCGCCGTCAGTTTGCTTATCTTGGGCTGACAGCTGTCTGGTGGTAACCTCCCCACCACCACAGTCAAGCTCGTCGGTGCTTTGGAGTCTGCCGAACCTTCTGCCTTGGGCTCGATGTACGAGGTCCGGACAAACCAAACCCAAGGCCCTGTGGCTGGCAGGCAGGTGGTTGGTTTTGTTGGCGAAGCAAGTGGCGAAGCGGGATACTCTCAAGACAAGCACCTCGAGTTGCGTTTAGGAAGGACCTAGAGGTTGCCTGGATTATCCACAGGCTACCTTATCTCCAAACTCCTGACCGTTGCTCAATTGGGCTGCTGCTTTGTCAATTGGGTGTGGATGAGCGTGGACGCTTGTAAGCTACCTTGTGACGTTATGTCGCGACCGATACTCTCTAACACTTCCAAACTTGGATGTTAGAAAGCAGGGTATGGACCATCGTACAGTCTTGCTTTGTCAGTAAGCTCCCGCGGGATATGGCTTTAGACAACCATTCGAGAGCGAAGATTAGACGAAATTCGAACTGTTAAGCGACGCGGTATTGGAAGCGACGCGGTATTGGAGCGAAATGCAGCCGCAGCAGCAGATGCAGGCGGGACCGCAGCGGATGCAGCATTCCCAGCCGAACAAGCAGCCGCTTTTCACGCAAAGACAATCCCCGTCGCCTCAACGCCAGCAGCAGCCGCAACAACAACAGCAGCAGCAGCCGGATAGTCCGCAACCTGCGTCGATGCGGCAGCGGTCGCAGAATGGTCCTAATCAGGAGGTCATGACTCCAGGCCGACATTTGATTGGCGGGCGAGGCGGTCGAAATCAGCCTCATGGGTACGCGCACGATCAGCTGAGTCAGTACTGCGTCGTTAATTCTAAATTGAGCCAAAAATAGTCGATATAGCCACTGCGGTCTGCAATGGCGTTATCAGCTGACTTGGTAGTGGGTTGTTACGCGCGTGGATTAAGCTCATTCTAGTCGGCACGTGTATGATAATCTAAGTCGGCTCTTAAGAGTTTCGCACGGTTTAAGCAAAGCAGGCTCTGCATACGCGTATAAGCTGTATTAAGTTCTTTGTCGTGTTCACACACGCTCCGAAACAGGCGGCGATAGTCGGCAGCAGCTGTAACCGTTTCGCTTCCGTCGTTGTCTCCGCCTTCCGTTTATGGCTTCTCCCCTTACTAACTTTCCCCTTCTTTTCCCCTTCACTCCCCCCCTCACACCTCTCCCCCTCCCCTCCCTCCCCCCCAGTTCCCCCCTCACCCCCTTCTTCGCGCACTTTCCCCCACCCCATCGCGACCCTTCTCGCCCGTCCCGCTCCGTCCCACCCTCAGCCACTTGTTTATAGGCGCATCAGACATATCGACTTCCGTGTCGCTTCTCGCCTTTCTGCCTCCTCTTAAATGCCGCTATTTCTTCCCCCCCGCCCTCTTTCCAGCAGCGCAGAACCAGGCGCAGGCGCTCCCCCGCTCGGCAAGATGAGGAGAACCCACAGCGAGAAACAGGGCAGCGCAGGGATTGGACGGGCGGGGGGAAGCGGAAGCAGCTCGGGGAGCGCGGCGGAAGAAGCCCCGCCTTGGGCGCGGGGACTGCCCAGCGGACCCGGCTCCGCGGGTGGCGCAGCAGGCGCAACGTGGGGAAGCGCGTCAGGGGGAGCGATGGGGGGAGTGGGCAGTCCTGGGCGCAGCGGCGGTCCGGCCCCGCTTGTGTCAAGTCCGCATTACCTGCAGCAACCGCCGCCGCTGCACCCGCGATCTGTATCAGACGAGGACAGGGAAAGAATTTCCGCCATGAATCCCCCCGCGGGTGCAGCTGCTGCGCGTATGGCAGCCGCGAATAGGCTGGCGCAGGCTCAAGCGCAGGCGCAGGCGCAGCGGGGGAACGCGGAACGGGAGGATGGATCCGCGTCTGATGGCGGGGGGACTGGGCGGGGGGTGACTAGCGCGGGATACCGACCCATGCCGCAGTTTCAGCAGCAGAACAAGGGCGTGTTCAAGGCGGAAAGGAGGCGGAGCTTGGATCTTTGCACGGAGAAGGTGGGCTCGCCAGTTAAGGAGGGCATGCAGCGGATTGGGTCGGGGGAGGCGCTTGTTCCGGCCCCAAGGGCAGGGCCGCGGTTGCAGTCAGAGGGGGGGATGGGAGCGGTGGAGGGAACGTGGGATGTTGGCAGTGGCCAGCAGCAACAGGCGCATCAAACCGTGCAGCTGCAAGGGCAGCAGCAACAGCAGCGCCAGCAGTCCGGCTTGCAGCAGCAGGGTCAGAAGCAGCAGCAGCAGAGCATGCGGAGCAGCGCTGCTGGTTCGGGTGCTGGAGGTTCAGGAGCTGCTGGTTTGGGTGGTGCTGGTTTGGGTGGTGCTGGTTCGGGTGGTGCTGGTTCGGGTAGTGCTGGTTCGGGTAGTGCTGGTTCGGGTAGTGCTGGTTCGGGTAGTGCTGGTTCGGGTGCTGTTGGCGCAGGCGCTGCTGATACTGGTGGTAGCGCAGGGGGAGGGGGAGCGGGAGGGGGATTGGGAGGCAGAGGAGGGAGGGGCGGTCGAGGTGGGAGGGGTGAGGTATTAGGGAGGGGGGTGGGAATGGGGGGAAGAGGGGGAAGAGCAGGACCAGGCTCACGTGTAAGAGAAGGCGAAAGGGATGGCGTTGTTGCTGGTGCTGGTACGGGTGCTGGTGGTGGTGCTAGCGCTGGTACTAGCGCTGGTACTTGTGCTGGTACTAGTGGTGGTGCTAGCGCTGGTACTAGCGCTGGCGCTAGTGCTAGTGACAGAGGAGGGGCAGGGCAACAGCAGCAGGGCCAGTTGGGGCAGCCGAGTCAGCCGCAGCAGCAGCAGCAGGGTCAGCGCGTTAGAAGGCTGTCAGCGTCGTCTGCTGGCTCAGCTGCCAGTGATGCTAGCGGAGCCTCTGGCGCTAGGGGCGCTGCAGTTGGAGCGGGAGCTATAGCAGGAGCTGTAGCAGGATTTGTAGCAGGAGTGGGGGATGGGAGTGCAGGGGGGGATGGCGGAGAAGGAGGAGGCAGAAGTGGGGGAGGAGGTGAGGGAAGCGGGAGGGAATCCAGTGGAGGGGAAGGAACAGCAGGGAACAAGCAATTGGTCGCTGCAACTGCCACAGGCATAGAATCAGATTCTGTCGGTAATGTTACCGTGGACGTTTTACGTGCCTCAGGTGCTCCAGGTGCCTCAGCAGGTGCTTCAGGTGCTTTCTCAGGTGCTGCCGCAGCCCGGCTAGACATAGACCTGTACAGCCCCCTCCCTGGCGGCAGCTTCAGCAGCTCTGGCATTACCGCTGTTGCCACAACTGATGCTCTTAACGGGACTGACAGAAACGAGTCAGCTACTAACGGGGACGGCGAGCCTGACGCTACAGAAGCTGAAAGCGCTCCAAGTTCGAAATCCCCCCAAAAAAGCAAGAAAGGCGCGAAGGGAGAAGGGAAGGGGCAGGGGAAAGGGAGGAAAGGCGGCGAGGGAAATGGGGGAGACGGGGGAGACGAGGGCTCAAGCGGAGGAGCAGAAGCTGGTGACTCGAGTGCAGGGGAGGGGGGACGAGGAGGAAGCGGGGATGGGAAGACGGGGAAGAGAGGCGGAAAGAGTGGAGGGAAGAAGAAGAGCGGGCGTACTAAGTCAGGATCCATGTCAGAGATGGTCAAGCACAGGCGAGCAGCGTCACAGGGCCAGGGGAATGGTGTCGGGGGTGGCCCAGACAAGGTCTCAGCGTCAGAGGCGGGTGGGGGGGCCAGCAATGGGGATCGTATAATCTCTGTGCCTGGCGGCACTAGGGTCGCTTCTGATGCAGCTGGTGCAGCTGATGCTTCTGATGCTGCATCTAGTGGTGACGACGCCCTTGCTCTCTACACGTACGGCGTATCCTCCTATTCTCTACTGCTGCTGCTGCTGCTGCTGCTGCTTTTCCATTCCCCTCTCGTCCCCCTCTCTCCGCGCATCCTCTGGCTCTCCTCTCAACCCCCTTCCCAGGGCCGGATCCTCGTCTATAGGTCAGCTGCAGCTGCTGGTATCCCCAGCGGTCTTCTCGCGAGTCATCAGCTGCAATGCTGCTGCTCCTGCTGGCCTTACATGACCTACAAGTGTGCATGTGTCCCATTCCCCTCTCATCTCACCCTCCTCCCCCCAGGGCTGGGTCGCCTGCCATAGGTCAGCTGCAGCTGCTGGTATCCCCAGCCGTCTTTTCACTGGCAGTAGAATGACCTAAAAGCATGCATCTGTGTCTTTCTCTCCACATTTCCATCTCCCTCCCCCCAGGGTTGGGTCGCCGGCCATAGGTCATCTTCTGCAGCTGCTGGGCTGGTATTCCCAGCCGTGTTCTCGCTGGCAGTGGGATGACCTATTTCCCTCCCTTTCTTATTCCCTCTCACCCTCCTCCCCCAGGGCTGGGTCGCCTGCTATAGGTCAGCTGCAGCTGCTGGTATCCCCAGCCGTCTTTTCACTGGCAGTAGAATGACCTAAAAGCATGCATCTGTGTCTTTCTCTCCCCACTTCTATCTCCCTCCCCCCAGGGCTGGGTCGCCCGCCATAGGTCAGCTGCAGCTGCTGGTATCTCCAGCGGTCTTCTCACGAGTCATCAGCTGCAACGCTGCTGCCGCGGCTGTGCTGAGATGTCCCAGTGAAGACACGCTGTGGGGCAACTCGCTTTGCGAATCAATCTGCTCAAGCCACGTGCCTAGATTCGAGGTGGGTGAGGACGTGCCTTGTTTTGCCCCAGTCCCACGGGTGTATGCAACGCTGCTGCTGCTGCTGTGCTGTGCTGAGATGCCCCAGTGAAGACACGCTGTGGGGCAACTCGCTCTGCGAATCCCTCTGCCCAGACCACGTGCCCAAGTTTGAGGTGAGTGATTGTGAGGACATGCATGAATGACTCATTTCGCCCGAGCCGAGTCCAACGAGCAAGAGTGCCCCAGTGAAGACATGCTGCGGGGCAACTCCCTCTGCGAATCCCTCTGCCCAGACCACGTGCCCAAGTTTGAGGTGAGTGATTGAGGACATGCATGAATGACTCATTTCGCCCGAGCCGAGTCCCACGAACAAGAGTGCCCCAGTGAAGACACGCTGTGGGGCAACTCCCTCTCTGAATCCCTCTGCCCAAGCCACGTGCCTAGATTCGAGGTGAGTAAGCATGTGCCTTTTTTCGCTCGCCCCTGTTCCACGAGTGTATGCGTCCCATTGAAGACATGCTGTGGGGCAACTCGCTCTCTGAATCCCTCTGCCCAGACCACGTGCCCAAGTTTGAGGTAAGTGAGAGCGTGTGCTGCCAAAGTCCCAAGAGTGTATGCACCTCAGTGAAGACATGCTGTGGGGAAACTCCCTCTCGGAATCCCTCTGCCCAGACCACGTGCCTAGATTCGAGGTGAGTAAGCATATGCCTTTTTTTCGCTCGCCCCTGTTCCATGAGTGTATGCAACCCAGTGAAGACATGCTGTGGGGCAACTCGCTCTGCAACTCCCTCTGCCCGCACTACCACTCTCCCCAACCTGCACTGCCACACCTCAACCCCCCTCACTCCTTCTTCTCCTCTCCCTCTCCCCACCCCCCTTCACCTTCCCCCCTTCCCCTTTCCACCTTCCCCCCTTCCCCTTTCCACCTCCCCCCTTCTCAGTCCCCCCGGCCCCTTTCTCCTCCCCCTCACCCCAGGCATGGCTGCTGCTAGTGGTGCAAATGGTCTACTCAGGAGCTCTCCCCCTCAACCTGCACTGTCACACCTCCTCCCTCACAACTTCCCCTTCTCCCCGCCCCTCTTTCCCCTTCCCCCCTTTCGCCCTTACCTCCCCCTCCCCCTCCCCCTCCCCCTCACCCCAGGCATGGCTGCTGCTGGTGGCACAGATGGTGCACTCAGCAGCACTCCCTCCCCACCTGCACCAGAAGCCACCTCCCCCGCTACAGCTCACCCTCGCCAGCCACGCCGGCGCTGCCCTCTCTGTCCAGCTTGTGGCCGTCCCACCGCTCACCCTCTCCCACTCCACCTCATCGTCCTCGTCTTCTTCTGCTTCTGCTGCTGCCGCCGCCGCCGCCGCCGCTGCTGCTGCTGCTGCGGCGGCGGCTGTGGGTGGTGGTGGCAGTGCTGCTCTAGCTGTCCCACCTCCTGAACCTGGTGGTGATACTGTCACTCTGCTCGTCCGCGACTGCCCCTCCTTCCCTGCACCGTCTTGCTGTTACTGCTGCTGCTGCTGCTGCTACTGCTGGTGGGAAGCCATCAGTTGGTGGTAGTGCCGTGGCGGCTGCTGCAGCAGCACCAGCTGCTGCTGATGCTGCTGTTGCAGTGCAAGGGGTGGGAAGAAGGGCAAGTGGAGGGGGAAGCAGTGGGGCAGTGGGACTTGCAGATCTCTACGCTGCTGCTGCTGCCACTGCCGCTGCAGCAGGCAGTGGCAAAAACCACCCTAATTTAACCGACCTATACACCCTTTCCGGACCTCCTCCTAGTGCCCCTGCAGCAGCAGCGGCCCCCCTTCTCCCTGGTGCTGTGTCTCTGTCGCAGTTAGGGGAGGAGGATTTACAGGTGCTGAAGGCACTGGTGAGAAAGGAGGTGGAGGAGCAGGTGGGGCGGGAGGCGAGGCAGCGGGCGGCGGAGGAGCTGCAGGAGGAGCTAAAGACAAAACACGCTGCCCTCATGGCGTCGCTGACAAGAGAAATCGCCATGCCTCTGAATGGTAGGTTGGGGAAGAGGGGTAGAGATGAGCATTTGCCCCGCTCGGGTCGGGCCGGCCCGACCCGACCCGAGATTTAGCCCGGGTCGGGGCAGTGGTTTCATTTGTCTGCCCCGTGCGGGCCGACCCGACCCGACCCGAGCTAAAACCCGACAGGAGCATGGAACTCGGGTCGGGTCGGGTTTCGGGTCAAGCTTGACCCGACCCGAATTCGGGCCAAGACCAGGGAAATCAGGTCGGGCTAAAGGCCCGACCCGATTTCGACTCAGAGGGCACACAACCCTAGTTCAATTTGTGATCGAGGGATTTTCTATCCCCTCGACATCAGAACCTACCCACGCTCGCAATCTTGCCTAACGGCAGCAAGCAAGTCATCTAAGCTTTAAATCTACTTAGTTAGGGCCCGTTTACCCCTCATTGACAGACATACGTAGCTAGTTTACTATCGTATCTTGCTGTTCACGGAAAATCGTGATGCAGGAATGGCCTTTTTTAACAACTTCGCGTTTTACACCCCTGCTCCCTCTAAAGGGCGGGTCAGACTGGCCCGACCCGACCCGACCCGTGACCGGGTCCAAGCTGACCCGAGTGTGTAGGCCCGGGTCGGGCCAGAACTTTCAGGAACCTGGCCCGACCCTGGCCCGACCCGACCCGACCCGGGAGCCCGTGTGGCCCGGCCAGGTCGGGTCGGGTCGGGTCGGGTCGGGCCATTTGCTCATCTCTAGAGAGGGGAGAGGGGAGAGGGGGGAGGGGGGAGGGGGGAGGGAAGCAGGGGAGAGGCACGGCAGCGGGCGGCGGAGGAGCTGCAGGAGGAGCTAAAGACAAAACACGGCGCTCTCATGGCGTCGCTGACCAGGGAAATCGCCATGCCTCTGAATGGTAGGTTGGGGGAGACTTTTGAGTCGACTCAAAAGGAGCTGCAGGAGGAGCTAAAGAGAAAGCACGCCGGCCTCATGGCTTCGCTGACCAGGGAAATCGCCATGCCTCTGAATGGTAGGTTGGGGGAGACTTTTGAGTCGACTCAAAAGGAGCTCCAGGAGGAGCTAAAGAAAAAGCACGCCGGCCTCATGGCGTCGCTGACCAGGGAAATCGCCATGCCTCTGAATGGTAGGTTGGGGGAGACTTTTGAGTCGACTCAAAAGGAGCTCCAGGAGGAGCTAAAGAAAAAGCACGCCGGCCTCATGGCGTCGCTGACCAGGGAAATCGCCATGCCTCTGAATGGTAGGTTGGGGGAGACTTTTGAGTCGACTCAAAAGGAGCTCCAGGAGGAGCTAAAGAAAAAGCACGCCGGCCTCATGGCGTCGCTGACCAGGGAAATCGCCATGCCTCTGAATGGTAGGTTGGGGGAGACTTTTGAGTCGACTCAAAAGGAGCTCCAGGAGGAGCTAAAGAAAAAGCACGCCGGCCTCATGGCGTCGCTGACCAGGGAAATCGCCATGCCTCTGAATGGTAGGTTGGGGGAGACTTTTGAGTCGACTCAAAAGGAGCTCCAGGAGGAGCTAAAGAAAAAGCACGCCGGCCTCATGGCGTCGCTGACCAGGGAAATCGCCATGCCTCTGAATGGTAGGTTGGGGGAGAGGGGAGAGGGGAGAGGGAAGCAGGGAGAGGGAAGCAGGGAGAGGGAAGAGGGGAGAGAAGAAAGGTGGGAAGCGAAGATGGGTATGGAGAGAAAAGAATGTCATTTTGTTGAAGTGCCTCAACCCCGTTTGCTCACAACTTCCACTTGCACCATTCTCCCCTTGCTCAATTCTCCCCCTTGCCCCTATACTCTTGCCCCTTTCTTCCCCTTTGCCCCTTCTCCCCCTTGTCCCCTTCTCCCCCTTGATCCTTTCTCCCCCTTGGCCCTAACTCTCCCCTTTCCCCCCCCCCAGCCATGGCTAGTGTGGCCGATTTTCTTCTCAACTGGCGCACACTAACACCTGACCAGAGGTCCCTCGTACAACTGCTCCTCTCCTCCGCTGAAAGCCTCTCCCAAACTCTCCGCTGTTGCCCATTTTTTTGATTCCTTCCTCCACCCTCCCTCCTTCCTTTCCATTCCCCATCCCCTCCTCCCCCACCACTCTCCCCCCTCCAGCCATGGCTAGTCTGGCCGATTTTCTTCTCAACTCGCGCGCACTAACACCTGACCAGAGGTCCCTCGTCCAACTGCTCCTCTCCTCCGCTGAAAGCCTCTCCCAAACCCTCGCCCGCCTCCTCAAGTCTCCCGAGGCTGACCCCGAGGCTGTTCCCGAATCTGACGACGAGGATGACGAGCCGCCGAGGCTGGAGCTTCGGGAAACGGACCTGCACCGAGAGGTACGGTTTGGGTGAGAAAAAGCGAAGGGGATAAATGGGAGAGGGAAAGGTGGGCGGAGGAGAGAGTGAGAGAGCGAGGGTTGAGCGAGAGGGTTAGAGGTGGAGGAGTGAGGGTGGGATGGGTAGGTTGGAGGAAAGTGGAAACAGGGGTTGAGATGGGGTTTCATGCTGCAATTCAGGTGCGAGAGTGCGTGAGGCTGATGGACGTGCATGCCAAGGAGAAGGCCATCGACTCACATTCTCAGTCCCTGCTACTACCCTCTATACCCTCCTCTTTCCCCTCCCCTCTCAGGTGCGCGAGTGCGTGCGGCTGATGGACGTGCATGCCAAGGAGAAGGGTCTCGCCCTGCTGTGTGGCATCGACTCACATTATCCCTCTGTGCCTCTCCCCTTTATGTGGCAGGTTAGGGAGTGCGTTCGGCTGATGGACGTGCACGCCAAGGAGAAGGGCCTGGCCTTGCTGTGCGGAATCGACTCCGCCGTGCCGCAGTTCATCCTCTCAGACGGCCCTGCCATCCGCCAGGTTCTGCACAACCTCATCTTCAACGCCGTGCAGCACACCGACAGGTGGGTGAATGGTGCATGTGTTTGTGCTGCTGGTTGTGGTGTTGGCCCTAGCACTGCTCCTGGTACTGATTGGTGATGACCGTTAAGGCGCCTCAGTAGGTGCCTCAGTTCATCCTCTCTGATGGCCCTGCCCTCCGCCAAGTGCTGCACAACCTCATATTCAACGCCGTGCAGCACACTGATAGGTGGGCGAATGGTGATGCCGGTGGCGCTGCTGCTTGTGGTATTGCTCCTGGTGCTGGCTTCTCATGACTGCTAAGGCGCCTCAATAGACAGCTCACGCAGTTCATCCTCTCTGACGGCCCTGCCATCCGCCAAGTGCTCCACAACCTCATCTTCAACGCCGTGCAGCACACCGACAGGTGGGTGGAAGGTGCTATGTGTTTGTGCTGCCGGTTGTGGTATTGCCCCTGGTACTGCTCCTGGTGTTGACTGCTCATGACTGGAAAGGCGCCTGAATAGCTGCCGCAGTTCATCCTCTCTGTCTGACGGCCCCGCCATCCGCCAAGTGCTCCACAACCTTATCTTCAACGCTGTACAGCACACCGACAGGTGGGTGGTTGCTGCTGCCTGTTGTGCTGCTGGTTGTGCTGCTTGTGGTACTGCGCCTGTTACTCTTTACGGTACTGTCAGCTAATGCCACATCCCATCGTCCCCCAGGAGCGACGTAAGTGTTTCAGTACGCCTGGCGTCCGACAAGGAGGCAGAGGAGCACCGCGTGAATGAAGCAACGGTGCAAGGACAGCGCTGCCGTAGCCACCTTCCTGGAGAGGACAGGCACCACTTACCTACACGCACGTCCACCACCCCACTCCCTCCCACCCCTGCTCCTCTCTGTTATCACCACTCTAAAACTCTCTTCCTCCTCAGGGGTGATGTGACTGTGTGAGTGCGCCTGGCGTCAGACAAGGAAGCGAAGGAGCACCGCGTGAAGCAACGCCGCAAGGACAGCACTTCCGTAGCCACCTTCCTGGAGAGGCACCAATTACCTACTCTTTTCTGCATCCCCTATCCTCTCACCACTCAAATGCCATTCCTGCTCTCCTCAGGGGTGACGTGACAGTGTCAGTGCGCCTGGCATCAGACAAGGAGGCAGAGGAGCATCGGGTGAAGCAACGCCGCAAGGACAGCGCCGCGGTAGCCACCTTCCTGGAGAGCGAGAGCCACTACTTACCCGCACTCCCGTCCATCCCTCTCCCTCTCACCTCTCAAATACCCACACCCTCCCTCAGGGGTGACGTGACTGTTTCAGTGCGCCTGGCATCAGACAAGGAGGCAGAGGAGCATCGGGTGAAGCAACGCCGCAAGGACAGCGCCGCGGTAGCCACCTTCCTGGAGAGCGAGAGCCACTACTTACCCGCACTCCCGTCCATCCCTCTCCCTCTCACCTCTCAAATACCCACACCCTCCCTCAGGGGTGACGTGACTGTTTCAGTGCGCCTGGCATCAGACAAGGAGGCAGAGGAGCATCGGGTGAAGCAACGCCGCAAAGACAGCGCTGCCGTAGCCACCTTCCTGGAGAGACGCAGCAGCAGCACTCGCAGGGGAGGCGTGGGTATGGGCGGAGGGGTAGCAGGGGAGGATGGTGCAGGGCGGGAGGGCGAGGCAGGGTCGGTGCTTCTGCGATTTGAAGTGCGGGACACGGGCAACGGGATAAACGCAGAGCTACTTGCTGCCCTCGTGCAAGAGCTGGAAAAGGTAGGCCTGGGGAGGGGTAGAATGCTCAAGGGAGTAGGGGGAGTGGGACAGGGCGGGTCGCGAGGCAGGGTCGGTGCTGCTGCGGTTTGAAGTGCGGGACACGGGCAACGGCATCAACGCGGAGCTACTAGCTGCCATCATGCAATGCAAGAGCTGGAGAAGGTGGGTCTTTTCCACTCCCCTTCCTGTTACACCATCTTTCTTCCACCAGAGCATACATATAGGAAAATCCTTCTCCAATGCCTCACTCCTTACTTTCACCCCTCTCCACCATCCTTGTCCTACCCCCCTCCCCTCCCACATCCCTCCTCCCCTTTCCTCCTCCCACCCCCTCCAGAGCAAGCCATCCCCATCGTCCCTCGCGTCCTTCCTCCTGGGTCGTCCCTTCGCCACCACCGGCCTCGGCACAGTCCATTCCCTCATCTCCCGCGCTCCCGCCACTGCTGCTGACGCAGCAGCTGCTGCTGCTATGGTGTCTCCTTCCTAAGCTACCCCTTTGATTCCACACTGAGTCTCACTGCCTCCCCTCCTTCCCATGCCCCTTTCCCTGCCTCCCCCTACCCATCCCTGCCCCCCTGCCTTCTCCAGAGCAAGCCATCCCCATCCTCCCTGGCGTCCTTCCTCCTGGGTCGTCCTTTTGCCACCACTGGCCTCGGCACAGTCCACGCCCTCATCTCCCACGCCCTCATCTCCCACGCCCTCATCCCCGCTCCTTCCCCGCCCGCCTTTTCCCATCCTTCCTTCCCTCCCCCCTGCTCTTCCCTCCCTCCAGAGCAAGCCATCCCCATCGTCCCTCGCCTCGTTCCTCCTGGGTCGCCCCTTCGCCACCACGGGCCTCGGCACAGTGCATGCCCTCATCTCCCACGCCCTCATCCCCGCTCCTGGCACCGCTGCCGCCGCCGCTCTTGCCGCCATCGCACCATCGATCGCAGGAGGAGCAGCCGGGGGAGGGGGAGGCGGAGCAGGGGCAGGCGGGGGGGCAGGAGGGGGGCTGGGGACATTCAGCAGGTCGAGTAGTTATTCGAGTGCGGCGGGGGTGGGGGTGGTGGGCGGGTGGGGAGCAGGAGCGGTGCAGTTGCAGAGCGAGGTGGGGAGGGGCACTTCTGTGGTTTGTTTCCTGCCAGTGCCGCTCGCGTCGTGCCAGAATATCACTCCTGAGGACCTCAATCCGCACCAACCTCTCGACATGGACGTGTGGACAGAGCTGCCTAATGCGCGAATACTCATTGTCGATGTGAGTGCGCGCGTGTTTGAGTGTGTGTGAGTGTGCGTGTCTGCTTTGGGGTTGGGTTTCCTTCGGGCGGGTGGGGGGGACCGGGATCGGTGCAGCTGCAGAGCGAGGTGGGGAGGGGCACGCCTGTGGTGTGCTTCCTGCCCGTGCCGCTCGCCTCGTGCCAGGATATCACTCCAGACGACCTCAATCCGCACCAGCCGTTGGATATGGACGTGTGGACGGAGCTGCCCAACGCACGCATTCTCATTGTCGATGTGAGTGTGCGCTTCTGTGTGTGTGTGTGTGCAAGTGAGTGTGCGTCCGGTTTGGGGTTGGGTTTTCTCCGGGCGGGTGGGGAGCGGGGGCTTTTGAGGCGCCTCAAAAATGGTGGGCGGGTGGGGAGCGGGATCGGTGCAGCTGCAGAGCGAGGTGGGGAGGGGCACGTCTGTGGTGTGCTTCCTGCGCGTGCCGCTCGCATCGTGCCAGGATATCACCCCTGAGGACCTGAACCCGCACCAGCCTCTCGACATGGACGTGTGGACAGAGCTGCCTAATGCGCGGATACTGATTGTTGATGTGAGTGTGTGTGAGTGTGTGCGTGTGAGTGCGTGTGGTTTGGTTGGGTTTGCCAGAGGTGCTAGCCTCGTGCCAGGATATCACTCCTGAAAGGACCTGAACCCACACCAGTCGCTGGACATGGACGTGTGGACAGAGCTGCCCAACGCACGAATACTGATTGTCGATGTAAGCGTGCACCGGCAAATGGTGCTCTCGATGTTCACTCCACGAGGCAGGCATGTCACACGCTTGTCTCCTGCTTACATATCCCCACTTTCCCCTTTCTCTCCCCCACCCCCATCCTTCCCCCCCTCAGGCCAACGACATGCATCATCGCCAGATGGCGCTCTCTCCATGCTTCGCTTTAAAGGGGTGTCCCTCAGTCGCTCATACACACGTCCCATTTTTCCCCGTCCTCCCTCTTCGTCCCCCCACTTTCCCCTCCCCCTCTTATCCCCCTCCCAGGCCAACGACATGCATCGCCAGATGGCACTGTCCATGCTTCGCTCCACGGGGGTTTCCTTCTACGTCGCCAGCTCACATGTTCCCCTTCTCCCTGTTCCCCGCCCGCTCCAACCCTTCCCCCCTTCCCCCACCAGGCCAACGACATGCATCGCCAGATGGCGCTGTCTATGCTTTGCTCCACGGGGGTGTCTCTCAGCCACTCACATTCATCCCCGTCCCCCATGCTCCTCGTCAACCCTCCCCGTCCCCATCTTCCCCCCCGCCAGGCCAACGACATGCATCGCCAGATGGCACTCTCCATGCTTCGCTCCACGGGCGTGTCCTTTGACGTTGCCAGCTTACATGTTATCCCTTTCCCCCATTCTCCCCCCTCCCTCCGTCCCCCACTTATCCCCCACCAGGCCAACGACATGCATCGTCAGATGGCGCTCTCCATGCTTCGCTCCACAGGAGTGTCCTTTGATGTGTCCTGCCTACATTCCCCCTCATTTCCCCTCGTCCTTCCTCTGGCCCCACCCCTTCCCCCCCAAGGCCAACGACATGCATCGTCAGATGGCGCTCTCTATGCTTCGCTCGACGGGCGTCTCCTTTGACGTTGCCAGCTCCTCACAGGAAGCGCTCTCGCTCTTTGAACGCCGGCCCTTCGACCTCGTGCTACTGGTGAGTTGAATGATATCATTCCCATCTCTGGTGAGGTAACACAGGCTTTTGTTTTTCCCTTGTCCATCATCTGCCACAATCCCACCATCTCCCCCGTCTACCACATGTTCCCCATGTCCTCACATCTCCCCATGCCCCATCGTGCGTACTCTTCTCCCCTCCCTCCTTTTCACGCCTCTCCTCACTTCCCAGGACTGCTACCTGAACGGCCCTGTTGACGGGTTCGCCACAGCCACTCTCCTGCGGCAACTAGAGGTCGACATCGCCCTGAAGCAACACCACTGCTTGTTGCCCCATCATGCTTGCTCTCATCTGCACTACTCCCTCTCCCCTCTCAGGACTGCTACCTGAATGGGCCAGTGGATGGCTTCGCCACAGCCACGCTCCTCCGGCAGCTAGAGGTCGATATCGCCCTGAAGAAACACGGCTGCTTGCTGCCCCATCTCCTCCATCTCCACCACTCTCTCCTGTTCTGATTCTTTTGCGCACTCCCTTTCACACCTCTCCCCACTTTCAGGATTGTTATCTGAACGGCCCAGTGGATGGCTTCGCCACAGCCACTCTCCTGCGGCAGCTAGAGGTCGACATTGCCCTGAAGAAACACCACTGCTTGTTGCCCCATCTCCTCCGTTCTCTTACCCCCTCCCACCCCCCCTTTTACAGGACTGCTACCTGAACGGCCCAGTTGATGGCTTCGCCACAGCCACTCTCCTGCGCCAACTAGAGGTTGACATCGCCCTGAAGAAACACCTGCGCAGGAGCAGCAGCAACCGGAGCAACAGCAGCAGAAGCCCCTCCGCTGCCGCCGCTGCTGCTGCAGAGGGCCCAGGGACGGTGGTGGCGCGGGCGTGCATTGTGGCGCTTACTCCAGGGACAGGGAACGATGAGGAGGAGGAGGAGCGGTGCACGGCTGCTGGCATGGACTATTTCATCCCCAAGCCGCTCCGACTGAGGGACCTGCACATGGTCATCAGGTGAGTGAGGGACCTTCACATGGTCATTAGGTGGGTTTAGAGGCGTTTGCATGGTCAATAAAGGTAAGAGAGAGCAGGACAGGGAACGGTGAGAGAGTGGGAGAAGAGGTGGGGACAGTGGTGGCGCGGGCATGCATTGTGGGACGTTCACATGCCATCAGGTGAGAGGGGGTGGGGGCGGGAAAGCGAGAGAGAGTGGGAGGAGAGGCGGGGACGGTGGTGGCGCGGGCGTGCATTGTGGCGCTGACTCCCGGGACGGGGAACGATGAGGAGGAGGAGGAGCGGTGCACGGCTGCTGGCATGGACTATTTCATTCCCAAGCCGCTCCGACTGAGGGACTTTCACATGGTCATCAGGTGAGAGAGGGTCGTGTGTTGCAAGGTGAGAGAGAGGCATGTTCGGGAGAGGTGAGGGCGGGTTGGGGGGGTGGGGAAGCATGAGAAGAGAAGGAGAGGGACCAGGAACGGTGGTGGCGCGGGCATGCATTGTGGCGCTGACTCCGGGGACGGGGAACGATGAGGAGGAGGAGGAGCGGTGCACTGCTGCTGGCATGGACTATTTCATTCCCAGGCCGCTCCGACTGAGGGACCTGCACATGGTCATCAGGTGAGAGAAGGTCATGTGGTTGCAACGTGAGAGAGAGGCATGTTCAGGAGATGTGAGGGCGGGTTGGGGGGATGGGAAAGCTTGAGAAGTGAAGGAGAGGGGCCAGGGACGGTGGTGGCGCGGGCGTGCATTGTGGCGCTTACTCCAGGGACAGGGAACGATGAGGAGGAGGAGGAGCGGTGCACGGCTGCTGGCATGGACTATTTCATCCCCAAGCCGCTCCGACTGAGGGACCTGCACATGGTCATCAGGTGGGTTGAGTTCAGAGGCGTCTGCATGGTCCGTAAAGGTAAGAGAGAGCAGGACAGGAAACGGTGAGAGAGTGGGAGAAGAGGCTGGGACGGTGGTGGCGCGGGCGTGCATCGTGGCTCTGACGCCAGGGACAGGGAACGATGAGGAGGAGGAGGAGCGGTGCACTGCTGCTGGCATGGACTATTTCATCCCCAAGCCGCTCCGACTGAGGGACCTCCACATGGTCATCAGGTGAGAGAGGGTCATGCGGTTGCAAGGTGAGAAAGAGGCATGTTCCGGTGAGGTGAGGGCGGGTTGGGGGGATGGGGAAGCATGAGGAGTGGGAGAGGGGCCGTTCAACCCAACTCAACTTTCCACCACTGCAGGCATCGTCTGGAGGTGCTAGCGCCCTACGTGCTCCCAGGGCATGCAGCCTCCCTAGTCCTCTTAGAAGCAGCCCCGTCCTCCTCTGACAACGCTCATTCAACCTCTTTCCAACCCTGCCCAACCCATCCCAACCGTGCCCTTGCCCCCAACCCATGCAGGCATCGACTGGAGGTGCTAGCTCCTTATGTGCTTCCAGGGCACGCAGCTTCCCTTGTCCTCCTGGAAGCAGCCCCGTCCTCCTCTGACGATTCTGATGATGAGGATGACGATGATGCTGATCATAGTAACGGATATGGCAAAAACGAGGACAGCAGCACTGCCAGCAACTTGCAGGCGTGGATGAACCACCTGGGCAGTGCGGCGGCACCTGAAGCGGCACCTGACGGGGCACCTGGGTTTTCACCTGGAGCGGCGGCAGCGGCGGCAGTGTCCGCAGCGGCGGCAGCAGGGGATTATGAAGCGCAGAGGTTACTGATGGCTAGTGCTATGCAGTCTCTTCCCCCTGACCTTGCTGGGGCCCTGCAGGGTTGCGACCCTGTTGCTCTGGCGAATGCGTTGCAGGCTGTTGCTGCTGCTACCGCTGCAAATTTTGACCCCCTGCAGCAGCAGCAGCAGCAGCAGAAGGAAGCGTGGCAGGAGCAGCAGGAGCAGCAGCAGCGGGAGCTGTGGCAGCAGTTTGGCTTATCCCAACAGGCGTTCTCATCTGCTGCTGCCGCTGCTGGCTTGGGCGGTGCTGCTGCTGGGGCGGAGGAGGAGAGTGAGGATGAAGGGGGGAGTGTGGTTGAGATGGATGACGATGAGGAAGAGTTAGCAGGGAGTGATAGTGACGGGTCAGTGGTGCAAGTGCGCGATCCCAAGAAGCTAAGTGCTAAGAGGTCGGATATAGCAGAGCTTCTGGTGGAACTGGGGCAGAGGGAGGAGGAGAGCAGGAGAGCGCTTGGCAATGCGGACGGCGGTGGTGGTGCCCGAGACAGTAGCAGGGATGGCAATAACGAGGATAGAACTGGCAGGGGCGATGGGAGCGGCGGCGGTACTGGTGGTGATCGTAGCGGTGGCAGAGGTGGTGGCGGTGGTGGTGCTGCTGGTGGTAGTGATGGTGAGAGTGATAGCGAGTCAGGGTCTGTAGTAGAGTTTGATCCAAATGAGGCTCGAGACTTGAGAAAGCTAAGTTCCAAACGGTCAGACATAGCAGGAGTTCTCTGGGAACTGGGCAGGCGAGAGGAGGAGATAGAGGAGGAGGAGGAGACAGGGGGGGGCCTGGCCGGAGGAGGGAGAGGAGGAGGGGGGTTAGGCATGGGAGGAGGTATGGGAGGGGCAGAGCAGCAGGGAGGGGAGATGCGAGGGATGACAATGCAGGAGATTTGGGCGCAGGTGTCGGCTCGAGAGCGACTAGAGGGCACACGTGGGGGCAATGAGGGGTGCAGCGATGATGAGGGTGGGGGCATGGGCGCGAGTGCGGGGGCAAGGGGAGGAAAGACGGAAAGGGATGATGAGAGTGAGGAAGAGGATGAGGATGATGAGGACGAGGAGGAGGAAGCGGCACGGCAAGCCATGTTTGGAATGGCCAAGTCAAAAACGTACACCTCCCGCCAGTACCAGCAGCAGTTGCTTCTAGAGGATCTAGAGGAGCAGCAGCGGAAAGGGCAGCAGTTGGGGGGCCAGCAGCAGGGGCGCGGGCACTTAGAGTCGAGATCACGCTCCCTGGGGCACGGACTGTCGGCAGCAGCAGTGGCAGCAGCGATGCGACCCAGCAGAACAGCAGCCACTGAAGCACCCACCATGGTGCCTGGGGCTGCCAGGGGTGGCCATGGGAGGGGAGAGGGGGGCCCTCAAATGTCTTACCCCATTCCAGCAGAGTTTGCTTCGCCGTTTCTCCTCCCCCAGACCTTCACCGCGCCGCAGATGTTAGCGCAACAGGGGATGGGAGGGATGGGAGGAGCAATGGTAGGGACGGGAGGAGGGATGGGAGGGGTTGGGGCAGTGGGTGGTGGTGTGTCGGCACAGTCAGCAGCAGCAACGGCTTTAATCGCCTCGTTACTCTCCCCTCGCAACACTAACAGTGTGGGTGCCAGTGGGTTTGGAGGGAGTACCAGTGGGTTCGGAGGGGGTATGGCCGCACCCCTCTCCCCCCACATGCAGGCCTTTCAGGCTGCCCAACTTGGGCTGTTCGGGCAGTTCGGGCAGATGGATTTTTTCCAAGCTGCCCCATCAGGTCCCGAAGCTGCAGCAGCAGCTGCCCTGGCAGCCACATGGCCCAAAGCCAATGGCGGCGCAGGTCTGCCCGGATCGCAAAGCTTGGCCGAGCCCGAGCCTAGCCGCCAGAGTCGGCGGTACGAGCGCCTGAGAGGAAGCAGCTCGGAAGAATCACTGACACAGGGGAGTGGGAAGAGAGGAGGTAGAGGAGGGGGTGGGGGTGCTGCTGACGATGATGATGATGACGATGGGGAGAGTGATGATGACGGGGAGGAGGAAGAGGAGGATGAAGATGAGGAGCCGACTCTGGTACGTACCTTCACAGTGAAAGCATCAGGGGACCAGATCAGGAGTTTGCTCAGGAGTAAGACGTCTGAGAGGGGAACGAGGGCGGCGGGAGGTGCGGGCGGAGGCTTGGATGGGGACAGCGACGAGGAGGACCCACGAGGCTTGGTCCGAAGCAAGACGGCAGGTGCGGGGAAAGGGACGCGTGGGGAAGAAGTGGTGTCGCTGTCAGCCCTGCAGGAGTTTCAGGGGCGGATGAGCAACAGGGGAAATGTTGCTGGTTCTGCTCCTGGTGGTTCTGGTGCTGGTGGTGGTGCTGGTGGTGGGATGGGTGGGAGCCAGGAGAAGCAGGCAGCAGGAGGGGGGGTAAAGGCGTGGAAGAAGGATTGGGAGGCAGCGTTCCTAGCGAGAGTGGGGCTGACTAAAGTGGGAGGGGTGGTTCAACCACAGACAGGAGGACGTGGGGGTGGGGCTGGGGGTGGCGGGGACATGGGGAGGGGCGACAGGGGAGGAGGGAAAATGGACCGTTTTGAGCTTCTGAAAGGGGGCTTTTGAATCCGATGTGAAGCATGTGGTGTGTTTTCGTCTCTTTGGTCGATACGCTGTGCGTTCGTGGTGCGAGTACGGTGGTGATGCCGTGTTGTGGTGTGAATACGAAGGTCAAACTATCACATCATTTTTTGTGGTAGTTGTTTGCCATGTACAATGTGATCTCATCATGTTGTGACCGACTGACCCTGGCATGGCTTGGAAATTGGAATGGAACGAATCGAATCACGGCACCAAGTATGCACGGCCAATCCTTTACCTGCCTTGTGAAGAGCATGCATAAAGCAAAGGGTAAACTGGGGGCCCCAATTCCTGGTACTGTAGCTGCATTTTTCACTGGGGCCAAAATGCATGCATGCTGTATTTACTTTTACGCTTAGTTCTACCTTAACAAAAATACCAGTAATTCTATTACACGCTTGTAGAATTCTACATTCGCTATTTGAGATCAGCTAGTACCGGTACGAGGAACAGCCGACATTGGTTGGTGAAATTCCGAAGCTCACCTGGGTTGATTCAGGTAAGGAGTTTCTGTTAGTTTTTTTCTCAGGGCGGTAGATTCGCCACGACGTTCTAACTCACACTCTAATGCTGCTGTTGATCTCGGGAGTAATAAATATCTAGTAGTCCATGCTCTTCGTTCGATGCAAGTGGCACGGAAGGGAATGGCCGTGCGAGTGAGACGCTTAGGCTTTCTCGTTGTACGGCGAGAAAAATCTGGTCGCATTGCTCTTAGAGCTTGCACTTGCTGACCTCCCTTCACCGTTTTTCACCCATTATCAACGTGCAAGTACTCGCGAATCGAACTTTCTCGGATCTATGCACCTGAGCTTCTAGTTCTATACATCGCCCAGCGGTAGTGTCTGCTTTGTTTCTGGCGATCAGGTCAAGCGTTGTTCCCGAGGAAAAAAAAAAAACACAGACAAAAAAACTTAGTGGTAGTTACGCCTTCGATGCTTCTCATTCGGCTCACAAAAGCCATCACCTCGATCACCAGGACTTCGTGCGTACTTAGTATTGTGCCTACTTAGTATTGTGCGTACTTAGTATTGTGTCTACTTTGTATTGTGCCTACTTAGTATTGTGCATACTTAGTACTGTGTATACTTAGTATTGTGCGTACTTAGTATTCTACGAGGCGCTGCGAAGCACAGTACCTAGTCATTGGACGGTGTTCCCAAATCGTGACCATTTATTCCAGCAGCAATGGATGCTGGCGGGTCGTCGCAGGGTCGCAATCGTCGCGCAGCTATGCTCCCAGTGGTGTTCGCCCTCGGGATTGTCGCATTGTCGTCGGCGCTCTTGTATCTGCAGGAAGCCGGCTCGCTTGGGAGGGGAGGAGGCAGCAACGCCGCTTGCGCCGTTTGGGATGATAAGGTGAGGTTCTTGTCAACAAACCAACAAACACAACAAATCATGCTCTACTATACTGCGTACCAGGGATTCTAGTCATCATCTTCTGCTTCGCTCCTCGAATCATCATTATCCGCTCCTGCTTACTGTTATCTTAGCTACTTCTCTTCCGCCCGCTATGTCATGCACGTTCCAGTTCCTTTCATGCACGTTCCAGTTCACAAATGTTATATCCGACTCAACTCATCCACCCATCCGTGAATCCATACATGCATGCCTGAATGCAGGTGGTGCCTCTGGAAGAGCAAATGGCGCATCTAGACCAACAGGTACGTGCCTACCTGCCATGCTTTCACGAGGTGACTTTTGAGTCGACTCAAAGTCACCTTGCAGGTGGTACCTCTAGAAGAGCAAATGGCGCATCTAGACCAACAGGTGCATATACCTACCTGCCATGCTTTCATGCAAGTGTCGCTCTACCTTTCAACCTAAAAGCTGCTGCTTTGCCTCTATCGTGTGTGATACGACTTTTGGGGCGCGTCGAAAGTCGTCTCATCACCTGCCATGCTTTCATGCAGGTGTCTTCTAGGGTCCTCTATCTTTTTACCTACAAGCTGGTGCTTTACCTCTATAGTGTGTGATACGTCGCAAGTCAGGAATCCCAACTTAAACACCTTTCCTTTCCTCACATTCACCACGTCCCTTGCAAGCAAGCCTCCTTCCTTTTTCTCTCGAAACAGTCCTGTGGGAAACAGTCCTGTGGGAAACAGTCCTGTGGGAAACAGTCCTGTGGGAAACAGTCCTGTGGGAAACAGTCCTGTGGGAAACAGTCCTGTGGGAAACAGTCCTGTGGGAAACAGTCCTGTGGGAAACAGTCCTGTGGGAAACAGTCATGTGGGAAATAAAGTGCCCCCTGCAGCCTCTTCGCGCTCTGCATTCTTAACTCCCCTCCCACCCTCCCACCATCCCACCCTTAAAAACCCGTCTTTCCTCCCCCACCCCTTTCCACCTCACCGTTTTCCAACGACCCATCCCCCATGCGCAATGCAACAACGTGTCACTCCGTGCCCTGCCTGCTCTTCATTCAACCCATGCCTGCCTGGTGCCCCTCGCTCTGTGCCCCGGGCCTCCTCCACCCAATGCCTACCTCTCGCCCGCGGGTCCCTCTGCTCTGTGCCCTGACTCTTCACGCACTGCTGCGGCCCATCAGCTCGCGGCCCTCACAGAGAGCATCAGAGTGAGTCCAGTGTCCGAGAATCTTCAGTATGTATGTGTGCTCGCAATGCTACGCTTACTCACACTTGTTTTAGCATTTCAGACTTGCTTACTTTGTCGCACTCCTCTGCTCCTCCCTCCCCACCCCATCTCGTTTGCTCCTGCCCCTTTTGCTTCTGGCCCCCTTCCTCCTGCCTCCCTCACCCCTGCCTCCCTCCCCTTACCCCTGCCTCCCTCCCCTCATTCCTGCCTCCCTCCCCTCACCTCTGTCTCACTCGCCCCCACCAGGCTCACCAGCAGGCGTTGCTGGATAAGGAGCAGTTACCGTCAGCTGCCACAGATGCTGACGGGGCTGGTGCTGGCGCTGACGTGGCGTTTGGCGATGCTGACCTGGCACGGCCGGCGCGGCGAGTGGCTCTTGACTTGGTTGAGATCATCGGCAAGACGCACATGGTAGGTTCGGGGGACGCATCTGGTAGGTTCGGGGATGGATTCAGTAGGTTCGGGGATGGATTTGGTAGGTTTGGGGATGCATCTGATCGGTTCGGGCTGCATCTGATTGGTTCGGGAATTCATTTGGTTACTAGGATTCATCCGATCCAACGTTCCCCCGTTGTGCCACCCACCCCCACCAGGACGCCCCTTGTCTGAAGGAGATGATCGAGCCGATGGCTAAGCACGTTGGCAAGTGGGCGCAGAACTGAGCGCAGGACAGACAGAGTGCTGTGCTGGCAGAATCACATCTCTTCTCCCTCCCCCGCTCCACTCACTGCCAGGACGCCCCCCGCCTGAAGGAGATGATAGAGCCGATGGCTAAGCGTGTGGGCAAGTGGGTGCAGGACAAGCTGCAGGACGAAGAGCACGATAGAGTGCTGGTTCAAACACACCTCTTCTCTCTCCCCCCGTCCACCCACCCATCAGGACGGCCCCCGTCTGAAGGAGATGATGGGCAAGTGGGTGCAGGACAGAGAGCAGGATTGAGTGCTGGTTCAAACACACCTCTTCGCCTCACTGCCCCCACCTGCACTCTCCGCCCATTTCTCCCCCGCCTCATCACCAGGATGCCCCTCGTCTGAAGGAGATGATAGAGCCGATGGCGAAGCGCGTGGGCAAGTGGGTGCAGGACAAGGTGCAGGACGCATGCCAGCCCTGCCGCCCCTGCAACTCCACCATCGTGCTCGTGGGTACGTGCATTTTGTTGTGATTCTAATGTACATTTTGTTGTATACATTGACAATTGTCAATGCACATTTTGTTGTATACATTGACAATTCTCAATGTACATTTTGTTGTATACATTGACAATTCTCAATGTACGTTTTGTTGTATTCATTGAAAATTCTCAATGTACATTTTGTTGTATACAACATTTTGTTGTATACATTGACAATTCTCAACGCACATGAAATCCCACCTTGCTGCTGCTCGGTATTTGCCACTCCACCGTAGTGCTCGTGGGTATGTGTAATCTCCTCTCCCATTTCCCCTCTCCCCTCTCCCCTCTCCCCTCTTCCGTCTCCCGTCTCCCTTCTGCCGACCTTCCTGTTTCCTCCCTTGCAACCCTGCAGGCAAGCCCTGTCGGGTTAACGCCTTCCCCACAACGTGTCAAAGGAGGCTATCCCCTGCTGAGGTGGATGATGACGAGGACTTGGAAGGGCCGAGCGACGACAGGGTGGAGGGGGAGGGGGAGGTGGGGGGAGCAACAAGGAGGAGGAGTTTATTGGGGTGGAGTGGGGAGGACTTGGAAGGGCCGGATGACGACAGGGTAGAAGGGGAGGGACGGGACGAGGAGCGGGGAGCAGGAAGGAGGAGTTTGTTGGGTTGGAGTGGGGAGGATTTGGAATGGCCGAGTGACGATAGGGTGCAGGAGGGGGAGGGAGGGGAGGAGGTGGGGGAGGGGGCAGGAAGAAGAAATTTATTGGCTTGGAGTGGGGAGGATTTAGCAGGGTCGGATGGCAATATTGAGGAGGGAGGGGGAGGGGCCAGCAATGAAGGGAGAGTAAGGTGGGAGGCAGAAAGAAGGGAGGCGGAGGAGGTGGAAGAAAGGGAGGTTCACGAAGGAGACCCAGAGGAAGGAGGGGCGGAAGGGGGACGAGCTGGTGGGGGGAGGTCTCTCCTGCAATGGGGGGGCTGGGGTGGGAAGGGCAAGGCGGGCAAGGGAGCAAGGGAAGGCGAGAGTGTGTGCAAGCGGGTGTCTCCTCTGCACGCCATCCTAGCAGCAGAGTCAGTGGGGGAGAGGCGGCGGTTGGTGAAGGAGCAGGAGGAGAGGGAGAGGAAGCGGCCGCTGTGTCGGGATGGCACGGCTGCAGGGTACTGGAAGGACTACAGCACGTGGGAGCCATATGCCTGCCGCTACAGGTGCGTCAGTCCTTATGGTAGGGTGGGTTTGCTGTGTTGCAGGTAAGCCGCTGGTGTGTGAGATGACGCAAGGGAAGGCGAGAGTGTGTGCAAGCGGGTGTCTCCCCTGCACGCCATCCTGGCAGCGGAGTCGGTGGGGGAGAGGCGGCGGTTGGTGAAGGAGCAGGAGGAGAGGGAAAGGAAGCGGCCGCTGTGTCGGGACGGCACGGCTGCAGGGTACTGGAAGGACTACAGCACGTGGGAGCCGTATAACTGCCGCTACAGGTGCGCTACTGTCGCTACAGGTGTGCTACTGTCGCTACAGGTGTGCTACTGTCGCTACAGGTGCGCTACTGTTGCTACAGGTGTTCTGCCTCTACAGGTATGTCATTCCTAGTACTAATAATGTGCAGGGTACTGGAAGGACTACAGCACGTGGGAGCCGTTCTCCTGCCGCTTCAGGTGAGTCAGACTCAGTCCGTTTGCTAGAGTAAACACGTGAAAGAACTGGGCTTGCTTGCTATTACAGGTAAGCCACTGGTGCGGGCGTGCCTGCGCTACAAGTGGGTGCAATTCTTTGGGGACGAGCTTTTGGTTCTTGATAGTTCACGTCCTCCTTGCCGTTTTAGCTTATGACTCTCTTTGCTTCACCTTGCCCCTCTCCCCAATAACCAGGGAGTACAGCAAGAAGGAGGTGCGCGCATGCCTGCGCCACAAGTGGGTGCACTTCTTTGGCGATTCCACCGCGCGCCACCTCGCGGCCAAGTACTGCAATGACATATATGATATTCTCCTTCCCACACACATACCCACCAGGGAATATACCAAGAAGGAGGTGCGGGCGTGCCTGCGTCACAAGTGGGTGCACTTCTTTGGCGATTCCACCGCGCGCCACCTCGCGGCCAAGTACTGCAATGACATATATGATATTCTCCTTCCCACACACATACCCACCAGGGAATATACCAAGAAGGAGGTGCGGGCGTGCCTGCGTCACAAGTGGGTGCACTTCTTTGGCGATTCCACCGCGCGCCACCTCGCGGCCAAGTACTGCAATGACATATATGATATTCTCCTTCCCACACACATACCCACCAGGGAATACACCAAGAAGGAGGTGCGGACGTGCCTGCATCACAAGTGGGTGCACTTTTTCGGCGATTCCACCGCGCGCCACCTCGCGGCCAAGTACTGCAATGACATATATGATATTCTCCTTCCCACACACATACCCACCAGGGAATATACCAAGAAGGAGGTGCGGGCGTGCCTGCGTCACAAGTGGGTGCACTTCTTTGGCGATTCCACCACGCGCCACCTCGCGGCCGAGTTCTCCCGCTTAGCAGGCGTGCAGCGGCGGGCGTGGGACTCTGATAAGAACCGCACGGCCCTCATGGACACGGGGGATGGGGATGAGAACTCCCCGTTACCGAGGATCACTTATCTCTTTAGAGGGAAGATGGCGCACCAGCGGCACCCCATTGTGAGTTTCCAGTGCAGAGCTGGGATGTGAGATGCTAGAACAGAAGAGTGGAGTGTAGTGCAATGCAGAGGGAATGGGTGGGTTGTGAAGGAGTGCAGGCGGGCGTGGGACGCGGATAAGAACCGCACGGCCCGGATGGACACGGCGGATGGGGACGAGAACTCGCCTGAACCGAGGATTAGTTATCTCTTTAGGGGGAAGATGGCGCACCAGCGGCACCCCATTGTGAGTCTGGTGTTAGGATGGAGTGAAGTGCAGCGGCGGGCGTGGGACGTGGACGAGAACCGCACAGCCGTCATGGACACGGGGGATGGGGACGAAGACTCGCCATTACCGAAAATTACTTACCTCTTTAGGGGGAAGATCGCACACCAGCGGCACCCCATTGTGAGTTTCCAGTGCAGGTCAGGGATGTGAAATGCCTGAGAACAGGAGTGTGCAGTGCAAGAACCGCACACGGACAAGAATTGCACTGCCCTCATGGACACAGGGGATGGGGACGAGAACTCGCCTCTGTCGAGGATTCCTTACCTCTTCCGAGAGAAGATGGCACATCAGCGCCACCCCATCGTGAGTCAGGATTGGGACCCTGGCCGGGCCCGGCCCGCCCGGGTGCTGCTATAATTTCTGAAAGGATGTATTTCTGGGTTGTTTCTGTTGTATTTTTGCGCTTCGACCGGCCCGTACATGGGCGGGCCAAAATCGGGCGGCTGCAGCCTGTCGGGCCGGCCGAGCCCACGCCGAAATTATGATGCCCGGCCCGGGGCATTTTCGGGCGGGCCTGACCCGGGCGGGCCCTGGCCCGCCTTCATGCTCTTCCCTGCTAATGGTAGTGGTAATGCGAATGGTAATGGTAATGCTAATGGTAATGGTAATGCTAATGGTAATGGTAATGGTAATATCAATGGTAATGGTAATGGTATTGGTAATGGTAATGGTAATGGTAATGGTAGTGGTAATGGTAATAGTAATGGTAATGGATATGGTAATGATAATAGTAATGGTAATGGTAATGATAATGGTAATGGTACTGGTACTGGTAATGGTAATGATAATGGTAGTGGTAATGGTAATACTAATAGTGTTGGTAATGGATATGGTAATAATAATAGTAATGGTAATGGTAATGGTTATGGTAATGGTAATGGTAATGGTAATGGTAATGGTAATGGTAATGGTAATAGTAATGGTAGTGGTAATGGTAATGATAATGGTAATGGTAATTGTAATGGTAATGGTAATGGTAATGGTAATGATAGTGGTAATGGTAATGGTAATGGTAATGGTAATGGTAATGGTAATAAGCATCGAAGCGCACGAGGCGATTGGGTGGACGAGGCGGCCCCCGTTCACAACGCGATCTGCATCAGGGCACATGTGGTGCCAAGTGGTTGGACGCTCCTTCCCCCTTATTCCCACCTCGCCCCTCCCCCCACCCCTTCCTTCTCTGCCCCTTCCTTCTTTGTCCTTCCTCTTCATCTTCTCCTCCCCCCCATCAGGCCGGAGTGCCTCCAGAGAGGGATCTGAACAACGACTTCCTAGAGGCGTTCAGAGACTCCCACACAAAGCAGCCCAACACCATGGTGATGAGCATCGGGGCGCACGAGGTGATCGAGTGGACGAGGCAGCCCCCGCCGGACCTGGCGATCCCCATCGGGTGGTTGGATACCCTTTTTCTTGTGCCATTCTCCCTCGCTGCCATTCTTCCCCCATCAGGCGGGGGTGCCTGCAGAAAGGGACCTGAACAACGACTTCTTAGAAGCTTTTCGAGACCCCAACACAAAGCAGCCAGACACCATGGTGATGAGCATCAGGGCGCATGAGGTGATTGGGTGGACCAGACGGCCACCCCTCCTGGCGATCCGCCTCATCCTCTCCCCCTGCCCTTTCCTCCCACTGCCGTTCTTCCGCCATATCAGGCAGGGGTGCCCCCGGAAAGAGACTTAAACAACGACTTCCTAGAGGCCTTCAGAGACTCTAACGTGAAGCAACCAGACACCATGGTGATGAGCATCGGGGCGCACGAGGTGATTGGGTGGACGAGGCGACCCCCGCCGGACCTGGACTTGCGCACGTTCAAGCGCGACACGGAGGAGGCGATTGCACTGCTCAATAGCACCTTCACCCGCGGGCAGCTGGTCTGGTGGAAGGCCCACTACATCTGGCCAGGTGAGGCATGTGAAAGGTTCATGTTTTCTCCTGAAAGGAGGCGATCGCGCTGCTCAACAGCACCTTCACCCGCGGGCAGCTGGTCTGGTGGAAAGCCCACTACATCTGGCCAGGTGGGACACGTAATATTGTTTTCTTCTTTTATTTTCCTAAGGTAGGTGATTCCATCCTCATCTCAATGGCACCTTCACCCATGGCCGGCTGGTCTGCCAGAAGGCGCACAACGTCTGGTCAGGTGAGACTTGAGGCGCACGGTATGATGAGAGTTGGAGTCTTAGAGCTCCAGTATACATTTGTTAGCAAGGTTTGGGGTTTCATAGTGTGCCTCACAGTTTTGAGGCAACTTTTCAAGTTCCTAAAGATTTTGAACTACACCTTTCAAATGTATACCGCTGCTTTAAATGCCAATAAATTCGCATTGTGCCTTGGTTTTCCCTGGCTCGTGCTTGCATTGGCCTCACATGCTTCTCCTCTTTTTGTTCACCTCTTTCGCTGTTCAGGGAAAGTTGTAGGGCAGGATTATTTCACGGTGCGCACTTTCCACGAGCTATACCAAGCATATGCATTCCGGCGCATGGCCCAACAGGGGTACACCATGATGGATCTTTACCAGACGACTAAGGACAGATACGACCAAGTCTTTAGAGGGGATGGAGCGCACTATGTAGGCCTGTGCTTGAAGCTTCACGTTCAGATTCTGGCCAATACCCTTTGCAACCATTTGCACAAGTCGTAGTTAGCTATTTGTATACTGTTTACTGTAGTAGGTAGAAATCTGTGTTTCCTTTAGCTAGTCACTTCGTGACGAGTATTTTGGTCTTGATGGGCACCCCTTAGCGGCGTTTTGCCAATTCGCTGAAAATGTATGGTCGCCAAGATATCGACAATTTCGCAAGCCATTGCTTTCGCACCAGTTCCTTGACAGCAGCCAAGGTAGTCATCGTGCCTTGATAACTTTCGCTCATGTAACATCCGCTTCGCCAGATCACGCCATAAAATCCGTCTCCCAATTCTTGCTTCCCCCTCGCATCTCCCTCAGTCAGCCAGGCTCACTCGAAATATCCTCTCCTCCCCCCCATATTCGACCACTCTCGAATTTCACAACTTCGTCTTTCTGCTGTGAAGTTCCGCCAAGCAGCAGAAAGCAGCAGTGCACCTTGGTTTTGCCAGTAGCTGTTGCAAGCTGCTGGTCTTCGTCATTTACGCCATACTTTCTGAAACTTTGTTCGTCGGTGCAAGCGTGCTAGCGATGTCTTTTGTAGACGGAAAGGGGAAACCTTCCTGGTAGCCAGCTGAATCTTTATTTTTTGTGGCTTTCGTCTCGGTAATTGAACCGAGTCCGCCTTGTACGAAGATAAGGAACCGTCGCAGGCTAAATGGTATGCACCTCGACGTGTCTGCTTTGCTGCATTGTCTGTTGCCGTTTCTGAGGCACCTCAAAATAGACTCTCTCACCGCATTGTCACCAGTTTTACGCGTTTCACGTGTTTGCCTCGTTTCCAGTTTCTTTAACCCTGTCCACACCACGCGTGTCCCATTCGGCTCTAATTACTACTCTTTCTACGTACGCGTTTTCGGAAAAAAAAAAAAAAACAAACAAACAAACAAAACAAAGAAAAAAAAAAACAAAACAAAACAACTTTGCCCGCTTCTCCATTTCTTAGTCCCCTCTATTTATATGGTTCTATTTCGAATCTCCCACAGGCATCCCTCCTTTGCCAACTATACCACATCAACATTCCCTTCCCTTCCCCCCCCCCCTGTCCTCCATTTATCGCTTTTATCCGCGTTAGGCGGACTCTCCTCCCGCGGATGTGACAGACGCTTACCACAGCAGCGCGAGCAGCGACAATGCGGGTCGTACGCGAGCAAATTTATGCGTCCTCTTATCCGCCATTTGCCGCATGTACCCCTGTGCCAGGTGGACTCTCCTCCCGCGGATGTGGCAGACGCTTACCACAGCAGCGCGAGCAGTGACAATGCGGGTCATACGCACCATAAGGAGCGGAAGGAACGGAAGGAGCGGAAAGACCATAAGGAGCGGAAGGAAGGGAGTGAAGGGCCGGAGGGAAAGCACCGGGAGGAGCGGAAGGAGAGAAAGCACGGAAAAGAAGAAGGAAAGGAGGAGGTGGAGGAAAGAGAGAGGCGAGTAGACGATGGTAAGGGGAGCTTGGAAAACAATGGGTCACATGCGGAAGGGGAGGAGGAGAGGGAGACGAGGGAGAAAATAGAGAGGAAGGAGCGGAAGGAGAGAAAGGAGAGGAAGGAGAGAAAGGAGGGAGAGGAGAGAAAGGAGAAAAAGGAGAGGAAAGAAAAGAAGGAGAGGAAGGAGGGGAAGGAAAGGAAGGCGCTGACGCCAAGAGCAGGGGATTTATCAAGTCACAGGGGCAAAGGGTTTGAATTTTCTGCTGGGGGACATAGGAGAACCAGGAGTGGGGGATCGCACCAGGTCGAAGTGGTCAAAGTGGCAGGGGGGCAGGAGGAGGGGAAGGAGCGAGAGAAGGCGAAGGAGAAAGAGAATGGGAAGGAGAAGGGGTGGAGAGAGGTGGGGGAGAGGGAAGGTGAGGGATCGAATGGGAGCGGAGGGAGAGATAATGGTGGGTTGGAGGGAGCGAATGGATTGATGGGGGTGACGAGTGGAGGACCGAGCAGTGATATAGGGAACGCCTATGGTGTTGCAGGGGGAGTAAGGACGGCAATAGGGGCAGCAGGTGCAGCGAAGGAGCTTCCTGCTTTCGAGGCGAAACACGAGGGTGACTTGGAGGAGAGGGAGAGCCGAATCCGCGAGTTGGAAGAGGGGAAAGCAGCCCTTGAGAAGGAGAGAGCGTTGCTGCAGGAGGAGGGGCGGCTAGCAGAAGCAGAGATTCAGCGGTTGGTGGAGCAGAAGGATGGTTTGGAAAGGGCTCAGGCACGGTTAGAAGCGGAGAAAGAGCAGCTGGAGAAGGAGAAATTGCAATTGGAGAACGAGAAGCAGAAAGCCGAGGAGGAGAAGGAGAGATTACATGAAGAGATGAGGCGAGCGGACGCGGAAAAGAGTCAAGTCGACGAGGAGAAGAGGCAATGGGAGGAGGAGAGGCAGCGACTGGAGGAGGAGGTGGAGTATCTAACCCAAGAGCTAGAAACAGAGCAGGAGATTGCAGCAGAGGCTGCTGAGATGGCGCAGCGGGAGTGGGCGGCGCGGCAGGAGGCGCTGCGCCAGCTGGCAGAGGTGGAGCGTGAGCTGGCGATGGATGTGAAAGAGGCTGACGTGGCAGCTGCTGCTGCTGCCGCTGCTGCTGCTGCTGCAGTGAGAGAAGCAGCGGGAGCAGGAGAGTCTGAGGGAGTGACTGAGGGAGTGAGTGAGGGAGTGAGTGGCACTCTGAATCACAACGGATCATTCAAGATGGAAGCTGCGGATTTGGCCTCTTCCGTTCGATCAATCTCATTCAAAGCGCAGGCCACTGACCCTGAAGGTGGTGGTACAATCGACAAGGGTGCAGCAAGCATAGATGGTGCTGCATCTGACACCACTGACCCTTCCACTCACCCCTCCACTGACCCTTCAGACAGCACTTCAGAATTCTCTGGTTTTGACTTGAAATTACCCCGAGAAGCACCTACCTCCCCAGATCACCTTACGATGCCTCACCAAACCTCCTCACCGGCCGCATCTCACCGTGCACCGCGCTCAACCACGCACACAGGCTCTGGACCAGCACCGCACTTGACCGCTTTCCCAACCTCTCAATCGCTCTCCGCCGCTGCTTACTCTGCCGACCAAGCTCAGAACCACAGCTCTCACCATCCCAGGCGGGTAGGCTCGGCAGTGCCGAAGCTGGACATGCTGGCTCGGATTCGATCCGCCACGTTTGTCCTCCGCAACAGCAGCAGCCTCTCCAGCACCCCATTGGGCACCACCCCTTTGGCCTCCCCTGGGTATAAGGCCAACCGCCCTGGGTTCTCCTCGGCAGCAGGAACAGCAGAGGCAGCAGGAGTGACAGAGGCAGCAGCAGGAACGGCAGATGCAGCAGAGATGGCATCAGGCAAGGGTGACAACCCGTCCATAGGGGAGGCGACTGGGGATGGTATTGAGGTGTCACCGCTGTGCCTGCTCCTGCAGCAGCTGCGCCATCACCAGCAGCACATGGAGGCTGCTGATGGGGCTGCTGCTGCCATTGCTGCTGCTGATGCTGTTACTCCTGATAAAACTACCACTGCTGCTGCTGCTGCCTCAGGTGCGGATATCCCGGGAACTAGAGGGCGAACCTCCTTCCCCAGGCAAGCAAGCAGGTCGGCTTACACGGGCCAGCGACAAACGAGTGGTCTCACAGCAACAGCAACAATAACAACAGCAGGAGGAGGAGGAGGAGGAGCAACCAGCTCAGAGCAAACCGGCTCAGAACAAACCACGGGGAGGTTCGGTGCCCGCCCTCCCCTGCGCCGGCGCTGCTTCACAGGCATCAATACCTCCTCGCTGCCCCCGTCTGCTTCCGTCCCCTCTGCAGCCTTTCCTTTCTCTCCCTCGTCCCACGCGGTCTCGTCTAGAGTGGGTGCAGCAGTGGGAGGAGAGGAGGGGTTTGAGTACTGCGGGGGGCAGAGCAAGGCGTGGAGAGCGGTGCACTGCGGTGGCTTTGTGCACGTGCTGCTGCAGCTGTCTCTGGCCGGCGTGAATCGGCTGGAGGATTGCGTTGCGAGAGCAGAGGCAGCACGGGTGGCGAGAGACTCAACTGCAGTGTGTACTGACGCTGCAGCGGCTGAAGCAGCAAGGAAGGATCTAGCAGTGCGTACTGATGCTGCTGGGGTGTCTGCGGCTTCTGGGACTTCTGCATTAGGTGTTGCTGCTGCTGCCAGCACCACTCCCTCTGCCTCTGCCGGAGTCTCTACTGGCTCTGGTCTGCTCTCAGTGCTCTCTTTCAGTCGGCTGTTCCGGCTTGTTGCAGCCGCTGCAGCCACAGCAGCAGCTGCAGCAACACCAGCCACAGCGGGAGCAACAGGAACAGCCAGCACAGCAGGCAGCATTGCAGAGGAAGGGACAGAGCTTTTAGATCTCAGTGGTGGGCGCAACAGCAATTTTACTGGTAGCAGCACCAGCAATAGCAACAGTGTTGGTGGTGCAAGCAAGGCTTGGCAAGAGGTTCTGGAGCAGGGTCCGGAGAAGGCTCGGAAGCAGGCTCGGAAGCCATCTTGGGAGCAGGCTCGGAAGCTGGCTCGGGAGCAGGTTCGGAAGGCTCGGGAGCGGTCAGTGGAATTATACGTGCTGGAGCTACAGGCTGAGGCCCTGAAGGCCACAGCCGAGGTGCTGAGGGAAGAAGCTAGTGTGGAAGGGAGGACGGTGAGGAGGCTGACGATGGAGAAAAGAGATGTTGAGGAGAGAGCGGCTGGATTAGAGGCCACTCTTGCTTTATTCAAAAAGGACTCGGTCAATGCTGATGCGACTTGTGAGGCGCCTCAAAAGGTGACAATGGAGAAGACAGATGTTGAGGAGAGGGTGGCTGGGTTAGAAGCCACTCTTGTTTTATTCAGAGAGGGCGCGGACAATGCTGATGCGTTGGGTGGAGATACTGTGGGGCTTGGGGCAGGGGAGGAGGAGGGAGAGGGTGTGGTTGGGGAAAAGGAGGGGGCGGGGAGGGAAAGGGAGCGGGAGGAGGGTGAGAATGTGGACGAGATAGAAAATGGGGCAAAGACGGTCGAAGAGCAGGGCACGGGAGAGGGTGTGGTTGCGATAGAGAATGGGCCAGAGAGGGTAGGGGAGCTGCAGGACGAGAAACCTGTGCAGGTGGGGGAGGGAGAGGGAGAGGGGGAGGGGGAGGGGGTGGAGTCGGCCCAGGTGGGGGAGCGGGAGGAGGAGGAATCTGTGCAGGTGTCTCGAGATGTTCTTCTCACGGCCGTCAGGGATGCTTGGACGCAAGCAGAACTGCTTGACCAGGTGAGCCAACGCAAGCCAATGTCCTGGACCAGGTGAGTCAACGCAAGCCAATGTTGAGTCAACGTTCATTACTGTTTCGTTCGCAACCCTCGTCGTATTCCAGTTCATGTCTATACGACCTGTCTGTTGTATTTTTGCCACGCCTCAAAAACAGACCCAGCTCAATCCCTCTCGATCCCTTGTCGCCGCCATGCTCTCTTCTGCGCAGGCTCTTCTTGCCAGCTCGCATGCACTACAGGACAAGGAGAGGGAGAGGGACACGGTGCTTAAACAGCTGAGCGATGTCGAGACAAGAATCGCCGTCCTGAAGGGCATGGATGGTACCTCTGGACCCGTTCCTGTGAGTTCTGCTTCACGCACTGTCACATTGTTACTGTGTTTAAAACTTCCACAGGCTTGCGTTGCACTTCATGCCATTAGTTTGCATGTCTGATTCATTCACTGCTCCCTTGTCTGCTAAAAACCCTTTTTCTCCAGGAAAAGTGGGACCTCATCTCCTCATTGACTCCTTTCTTAGCAATGGTGCTACCAGGGCGCCTTGACGGCGCACCATCTCGTGCGCTTACCTTATAAGCTTTCTCTGAATCTAACAGTCACTCTTCTTTGTGCATGAACGACCCTGTCAGTCAAGCAATGCACCATCTTTTTTAGCCATGTTTGGTAAAGTTTACCACTATGCTTATGAAACTGCGATCCTTTATTGAATGATGTGACATATGTGGTGAACGTGTAGTAAAGCGGTAGGCAGTCGATGTGTCCTCGTGAACAGGTGTACCTGGGGGATGCATCTCGCATCGTTCGACAATGCCACCTGGAGTTCGGCCACGGTGGCTACACGTCCGCAGGAACAGAGTGCGTGCACCATTTCCCTGCTTCGTACGTTCTTCTGCCCGTTATGGCCTGGCCAACTTCATGTCGCGTCGTTGATTCGTGGCTTTGACCCGAAAATGAGTTGGGGCACACTTCAAACATTCATTCAACGAATCACAGCCCGGTACCTGTCTCACAGCAACAACCACAAGTTCCCTTCCACACCTTTCCGTCCACGTCAGTCATCCACATCGACGTCGAGATCTCCTTCCTGGCCTAGGGGATTGGCATCTCACGTCAGCAATTGTCGGGATGTCCAAATCCAGGATTCAACCACACCCCCTCCAGCACAAGCCATGGATGTTGGGTTTGAACTTTGAAGCGAAGAAATTTGTTTCTTGAGTCGTTCGTTGTGCAATTCTGCATCTTGCGATTGCAATTGTCCATTTGAACACCTTGCGCAATCGTTTGAGGCTGCTTGTCTGCGCTGAGGGAGTTCCTGTACGGATTAGGCTCGCGCTGTGTTGGACGTTTCCCCCTGAAAGCACTCGTGCAGCAGCTAACGAACAGCCATCCATGATGCGTAAAGGAGCCCTCCGTGTCCTGGCCGCCGCCATGGCCAGGCATTCAGCAGCCTCCGCCGGCGTTCCGGCACCTCTAGGAGCCTCCCTGACTCCTGCCGCCGGAATCATCCCTCAAATCCTCCACCGAGGATTTGCCAGTGATGAGAATCTCAAACGCACTCCCTTGTACGATTTCCACGTGGCGGAAGGCGGGAAAATGGTTCCCTTCGCCGGATACAGCATGCCGATCCAGTACAAGGACAGCATTATCGATTCCACCATTAATTGCCGGACCAACGGAAGCTTGTTCGACGTCTCCCACATGTGCGGTCTTAGTCTGAAGGGCAAGGATGTGATTCCGTTCCTTGAGACGCTCGTGGTTGGTGATATTGCTGCTCTTAAGGATGGCACTGGCACCCTGTCGGTCTTCACGAACGAGAAGGGTGGAATCATCGACGACACTGTCATCACGCGGGTTACCCCTTCGCACATCTATCTCGTCGTCAACGCCGGCTGCCGCGAGAAAGATCTGAGTGAGTCATTTATGAGTGGATGTGCATTGTTAGCGTTTTTTCACATTTCTCTGCCATACTGTTCAATACATCCCAATATCCCCGTTACCGTCCAATTAATCCTCCCTCGCGAAACAATATTCTGAAACAATGACTATCACGAACTGGCGGTCCGTCTTTCAGCCACGACAGCTTCTCTCGCTCCGCCATCTCACGCACTTCGCCTATCCCTTCCACATTGTTCTGCATCCGTTACTCACAGACCACATCGGAGCTCATCTGGAGGCGTACAAGGCTGCCGGCAAGGACGTGTCGTGGCAGATTCACGACGACCGCGCGCTGCTGGCGCTGCAGGGCCCTCTCGCGGCGGCCACGCTGCAGCCGCTCGTGGCGACGGACCTCTCCAAGATGTCTTTCAGCGATTTCACCATGCTCAAGATCGACGGCCACGATTGCTTCCTCACTCGGACAGGGTAAGTCAAAAGGGGTTTCTCCCTTTTCTGATCAAAATCTGATCGAATGATTTCTTGTCTGGTTTTTCTCAGTCGGAGTTGATACTTCAGGCGGGGATTTGTAAAATGAATAACAACTCAACTTTCACGGCGGTAATTATGGTGACAACGCGGGAGATGTAGGGATGTTACGTGCTACCCCTGGCACAGAACAATTTAGGTAACGCATGCATCTTGTTACTTCAGATAAAAAGGTCTGGTTGATGCTGGTAAGCTTATTGTCTGGCACGTAAGTATTCTCCCTCTCTTACTTCCTCCCCCCAATTCCAGCTACACTGGAGAGGACGGGTTCGAAATCTCCGTGCCTAATGAAAATGCTCTGGCACTTGCCAAGAAGCTTCTCGAGGTGGGCGAGGGCAAGGTAAGACTCACCGGCCTTGGCGCCCGTGACTCTCTCCGCCTGGAGGCCGGACTTTGCCTCTACGGCAACGATTTAACAGAGGAAATTTCCCCGATTGAAGGCGCGCTTGCGTGGACAATCGGGAAGAGGCGGCGGGCAGAGGGGGGGTTCATTGGGGCTGATGTGATTCTGAAGCAGCTGGCTGATGGGCCTGCGAGGAGGCGAGTCGGGTTGACGTCTACTGGAGCCCCTGCAAGGAGCCATGTAGCAATTCTGGATAAGGAGGGGAATGTTGTTGGGGAGGTGACCAGTGGAGGGTTCAGTCCGTGCTTGAAGAAGAATATCGCGATGGGGTATGTGAAGAATGGACTGCACAAGGCGGGTACGGAGCTGAAGGTGAATGTGAGGGGGAAGGTGAATGATGCTGTCATTACGAAGATGCCGTTTGTTCCCACCAAGTATTACAAGGCATGAGCATGTGCTGTGTTACTGGTGCATTTCCACTGGAAAGGCGAGGGTGATGGGGGGGACTGGTTATGTATTGCCACATGTTTTACCTGTGGATATGCTGATTATACATAAGCAGCAAAAATGAGACTGCAAAGCGTGCCTCTATAATGCAACACTGGAGCACACATTCTGTATATCTGGTTATAGAATACAAAAGATTATTCGAATATTTCCCCCAACCAAATTTCATAACGAGCATGTGTGGATTCCAAAGGTCGCGACGCGACCTCCTCAGGCTGAACTGTACCAATAAAATCCAGGGATTTCTTGACCAAGATACGGTGCTGCTCAATGCAACAATTGGCTTTCCTTCCGAAGTCTTCGGACATGCACGGAGTGAATGTACACGGATCTGTGCTGGTGAGTGGGCTGGTGGAAGCCCAGCCACAATCACAACATCCATGTTGTGTCACAACATCCTCCGTTACACGTCATCGACCAAGCTCAACAACAACTCATGTGACAACTCCAGTGTCGTTCCGCGCTGCCCTGCCCACAAGCATTTCTTAGTACAGCCATTTGTGAACTCTTGTGGCTGGTTTACGATTAATCATTTGGACTGGAAGCTGCCCAAACCCAAACCATCAGCCGTCTGCGTCACCGCCATATCCACACCACCATCTCGAAGGTGCCTGCCACATGACCACCGTCCAGATACTGCGCGCCAAAAAAAATCAGTGTCTGTCTTTTCCTGTTATACCTCGAAACCTCCAATTTTGGCGGAAATCTTGCCGCTTGAAAAGCTGCCGCGTGGCACATAACCCAGTAGAGTGGAAGAGCATTTTGAACCGCTTCTTGGCGTCCACGTGTGACACGCGACGCGCGGTGGGGCTGCTCCTCGCACACCCAATCCCAATGCCCTCCAAGGAAAGCTCACACCACCAGATGTTCGTCGGGTTTTTCATTTCCGGTTCCAATTTCCAGATCCCGATTCTCCCCGGAACACACAGCAGCACCACAAGGGTTAGGAGCAGGAAACCTGGGGTTCGTCAGTTCTGCCTGTGTGGCTGGCAGTTGCATGGAGCAGAAGCGGCCATCGCATCGCAGTCTGTATTTCCCATCTTCTGCAGCACCTCACTTCCATCTCTCTACTCGCCCTCGGCTCCTATTGTGACCAGCATTCAGGGTTGAGATACAAAACCAGCGGACTTGAACAACATCGAGTCGTCACCAACGATTGTTGCAGAGATTGCTAAGATCACGAAGCCTATCCCGATCAATAGTGATTTTCCTCACCTCGCATCTCCCAGCGTGCCGCCCGTCAAACTCGCGTTCTTGTCTATCCCAGATATCACGCGGCACTAAAATCGTGATCTCACATCCCGCCATGGTCTCTCCAGATTTTTCGTCAGATGGTGAGAAACGAATCAAAGAGAAGGAGGATGGCGCAGCTCCCGTTCAGAATTTCCGAATTTTCGGCGTTAGCTTAGCGCAGCCGCCGTTAAGTTCCCCTCCGCAGCCGGCCGGGCCGGTAGAACTGACGCCGCCGTCAATCCCGCTCCGCACGTCCTCCCCCCAGGATGGCATGCGCAAGTGCGCAAGCACTAGCGCGCTGGCGGAGCTCAGCCGCCGCCGCAATTTTGCATCCCCTGGCGGAGGCGCGGGCGCGGGCGCAGGCTCGCGCTTGCGCCTTCCGCTGTTCCGCGCGGGCGACGGGAGCGTGGGGAACAGTATGGACGAGGATAGCGCAGCTGAAGATGACGCGGAGGCGGAAGAAGCGGAGGAGGGGGGGAAGCAGGAGGGAAAGCAGGGCAGGAATCCCACGCATCCCGTGGGGGCGCGCGGCAACGGCCGGCAGGAGACCCCGAGTCTTCCGCCGGCAGCGCCGGCGGCTGCGCAAGGGAGCGGGGGGGATTAGGCGGAGGCGGAGGGGAAGGAGCGCGACAGGCGGCGGTTGCGGCGCGCAGCGAGAGCTCGAATTGCACGCCGCAACCCGCGGGAAGTGAAGTCGCGAACGCGCCGATGAGCGGGCGTGGGGGCGGGGTGGGCGGAAGGGTTGACGGCGGGGGTCGGGGAGGCGGCGGCGGCGGAGGAATCGGGGGCGGCGGAAGCGGAGGCGGAGGGGGACACATGGGCGGAATATCGTCATCGAGGGAGCGGAAGAAGGGGATCGCGTGGACGGAGGAGGAGCATCGGCTGTTCCTGATTGGTCTGAGCAAGCTGGGGAAGGGCGACTGGCGGGGGATTTCGCGCAACTACGTGACGACGCGCACGCCCACGCAGGTCGCGAGCCACGCGCAGAAGTACTTCATCCGCCAGAGCAACATGAACAAGCGCAAGCGGCGGTCGAGCCTGTTCGATATAAGCACAGACGTGGTACGTGATTGGGTGTGATGGAGTGTGCTCGTTGTTTCGAAAAACGCTGCGCCGTCTTGATCCAACATCTCCTTCGTGTCTCGATCCATGCGCACGCCGTCTCTCCGGGCGCTCACCTCTCTCGTTCCCCTCCCTGCGGCACTCCTCCCTTTCCCCCATCTTCCCCATCCTTCCCTCCCCATTCTCCCCTCCCGCCTCCCGCTCCCCGCGCCGCAGCTAGCGGAGGAAGCGGCGGGCGCAACGGTCATGTCTCGATCCATGAGCACGCCGTCTCTCCCGTCGCTTCGCGACGATCCCAAGCTGCTCCCCTCCGGAGCTTCCGGTGGACTCACCGCCGTCTCTTCCGCCGCCGCCATCTCCGCGCTATCCCCCTCCGCCTCCGCGCTCGCGTCTCCGCAATCGCTCTCCCATCACGCGCTTCATCAGGCGCTTCCGCACGCGCGCGCGTTCTCCCGTCCGTACCAGCTCCCCAACACCGCGCAAACCCTCCCCCCGCCCTCTTACAACCCGCACGCCTCCTCCGCCCATCCCTTCGCCTCCGCCTCTTCCCCTTCCGCGCATCCTTCCCCGCATCCCTTCGCCCCTTCCGCGTCCGCGCACGGTTTTCTCGATCTAAGCCGGTGCCAGTCGTACCCCGCAGTTCACGTGCTCGAAAGCGGAAGCCCTTACGATAATCCCGCCCTTTCCGCCGCCTCCGCCGCCTCCGCCGCGGCCGCCGCCCGTGGCGGACCACTTTCCGCAGCATTTCCGCCCCTCACGCGTCCCATGTCCCTACCGTCCCTTCACCCGCCCTCCATCCCCGAGTCTTCCGCCGTTCCGCCAGTCGATCTGGGCCCCGCGCATTACCTCCCCTCCGCGCATGGCTATTCCGCGCATCCGCACTCGCAGCCCCCTCAGTGGCATCTACTCCCCTCGTCTTCCGCCAACCCCTCCGCGGCCTCCGCCGCCGCCGCGCGGGCTGCGGGTCGCGGGCCGATTGCGCTAGACTGGGCTATGTGCGGCGGTGGCTCCGCAGGCGCGGGGAGTTCCGCCGCCGCCGCCGCCGCATTGGCGCGCCATGGTGGGGACACGAGCATGGGCGGTGTGCCTGGGGCGGGGGGCGCGGGCGGGGGGCTCGGCGCGCTTGCAGACGCGGCAGCAGCGCGGCACAGGATTGGGCATGAGATGATGATGCAGATGGGGCACGAGGCAACGGTCCAGATCGGCCACGAGCTGGCGCAACGGATGGCCAGGATGAGCCAGGCTGCTGAGAGAGCAGGGGCGGATGGGGGCGGCCCGATGCTGCTGGGTGGGAGCAGCAACGTGGAGAAGAAGACAAAACTTGAGAGTGGCATGGGGTTTCCGAGTAATGCTGGTGCTGTGGGTGGTGGTAATGCTGCTTCTTCTGGTGGTACTGGTTCTGCTGGTGCTGCTGCTGCCGCTGCTGCTGCTGCTGCTGTTGCTGGTGCTGCTTCTGTTGCTGGTGCTGGTGCTGGTGGTGCAGCAGCAGCAGCTGGTGGGGGCTCAGCTTTCTCCCCTTTCCGATCGGGAATGCCCGCCCCTGGTGCTGTCGCTGCGGGTGCTGCTGCAACAGCATCAGCCTGTTTCGCTGCCGCTCCACCCTCCACCTACCCATACGGTCCCCTCTCGTCCTCTCCCCCAACCGGTCACCCCTCCAGCTACCCCTATTCCTCCTTCCTCTGGCCCAAAACCACGTCGCACTTCCCGTCTGCTTCCTCTGCTGCTGCTGCAGCTGCAGCAGCAGCAGCGCAGCAAGCAGCTTTCTTTTCCTCTGCCTCTGTGCCTGCTCCTGGTGGTGCTGCTGTGGGTCCGTCTGGGCTTGCTGCTGCTACCGGCCCTTGGCATGTAACTGGTGGGCAGGTAACACCTGCCCAGAACAGCCTTTCCCAGTTGCCACTGGCGCCTGCTGCTGCTTCTGGTGCTGTTGCTGCTGGTGGTGTTTCTGCTGCTGCTGCTGGTGGTCCTGCCACTGGTCCTGCAACAGGTGCTGGTGTTGCTGCTACTGCTGGAGAAGGAGCTGAGAACCGCTCTGTACCAACTACTACATTGCAGCTTTTTGACACAAGTCCCAAGGATTTGGCTATGGAGGTGAAACGACCTTCAGCAGTGGCTGCTGCTGCGGCAGCAGCTTCTGTTGCTGTCACTGCAGCAGCTAGACTTGCTGCATCGGCTTCCCCTGAACCGACCAGTGACGTCAAGGCGCCTATAAGTGTGCAGTAATTACTGGAAACTGGTGCTGATTTTCATTTCTTTCTGGTGTAGGCTATTGAACCATACGTGTTTCGCGTTTTGTGTTGTGCAACCGCCACTGGCATGAGAGTGGTTGTTTTTTTTCTTATTACCGTATGCCCTTCTGGCATGGGTATTATATGACCACAGATATTGTATTTTCTGTACCAGATTGTTACAACAGATACAAATTGCCACTGTAGAGCCTTGCAGGGCGTGTCAGGGGAATCGCCTAGCGAGGAGAAATTCGAGATCCAGCATAGTGGTGGCGTTGCCTGACAGTACTTCAGCTCATCTTTTGAGACAGACAGACTGACAGACAGTATCAGACACACCACCACCACACCACAAGGCGTGGCGATGACGCCATTCTCACATCCATTCATTCCCAATCCGTGAGCTGCTGTTGGTTTCTCACTCGTTCGTCTTGAAGTTGTTGGTGACCAGAATCAAATGATGACGGTAACAATGCGTTTGTAGGAGGAAATTCTAATCTGATCCAGTGTTACTTATCGCGACGCGACCGATGAATCATGGACGTTGATTCAGTCATTGAGCAATACCATATGATTCGTAGAGTGAATGTTCTAAACCGTTCGAGCTATACTTTTCGTGAATAATGGACGTTGAGTCAGCAGTAGCTCCGCTTATTGACCAGGAGGAACGGACGTCAATTGAGGAACGGACGTCAATTGAGGAACGGACGATCCAGGATCTGCGGTCTCAGTTCCCCCTTAGGAGACAGCAATTAGAGTGAGTGAGTGAGTCTGTTTGTATCGCAGATGTTGAGTCAAGGAAATTCATCTGCGGTCTCAGTTTCCGCTTTGGAGACAGCAGCTAAAGTGAGTGAGTCTGTCCGCATTTCGCTTGTCATGCATCTACACTTCGCTGAACCAGTGTTCGCATAAGACATAACGCCGAATCAGTGTCTGCGTTTCACTCGTTCCTTCGTTTGCATGCGATACGTATGAGCATGACGACGCTGATATAGCATGACTACATCATTTTGGTCATCATTTTACTTTGGTTCGGAGCCACAGAGCCACCACAGCACGACCTTATCAATCTATGGCTGTGATTGTCCCATTGGCTTGTGTCCTTTCAGGGACGGATTCTCGCTCCTGTTCTATGGCCTCGGCTCCAAACACGCCCTGCTCACTGCATTCGCTTCTGAGAGCCTAGCGGACAAGTCAGTCGTCACCATCAATGGCGCCGATTCCAACACCACCCCTGCTCGGGTAAGTGCCTGCCAAGTCATCGGGTCATTGTTATAACCTATAAGATCTTGGATCCAAACACGCCCTGCTCACCGCATTCGCATCGGAGAGCCTAGCAGACAAGACAATCGTCACCGTCAATGGCTCCGATGCCAACACCACTCCTGCACGGGTAGGTGCCAACCTCGCCGGCACACCGGCTAGCCCTGCTCCGATCTGCTCACAGCAGTCCCTAGCGGACTATAAGAAGGCATTATTGAGCGTCAACGCTACCGCCATCAAAACCAGCCCTCGACAGATCAATCCTTTGATTCCAGTCCCTGACAAGTTAGATTCCTAATGTGCATGCATGTTACATTTCAATCTTGCCCGCTTGTGTACCCGCTGTTTTCTGCTGGTGTTTGTTGATCTTACGTTTGCTTGGTGTGCTCGTCTCGTGGGTCCTGTGTGTGCCTGCATAAGCAGCATGATGACATGCTGAGTGGCCATTGGCTCACTGGTTCCCGAACCACATTCGCCATTGGTGATGCATGTGCATGGCTGCATGGATTGGTTGAATCATGGTCATGCGGTGCGGGTGTGATGGATGTGGATGCATTCGCATGTGGTGACGTGTCATCTCCAGTTGGCAGCTGCAATCGCCTCGTCTTGTCAACCCGACACGTCAACCAAAGGCCGAAAAAGGCCTGCCACGTCATCGTCATCCGCTGCTGAGCTGGCACAGTGGATCACAGATCTGGTGACCGAGCAGCAGCAGCAGCAGCAACAGCGGCAGCAGAGGAAGCAGCGCCAGGCATCAAGACAGCGCCAGCAAGCAAAGCAGCAGGAGCAAGCTGTTGGGGGGAACAGCAGCTGTAGCACAGAAAATGCCAGTCCGTGGCTGTGCATTGTGGTTCACAATCTAGATGCTCCTCCTCTGAGAGCATCGCCTGCCTGTATCTCCCTGCTCGCCCTTCTTGCCGCCTGCCCTGCCATTGCTGTTGTCGCCTCAGTCGACCACGTGCTCTCCTCCGCATGTGAGTTGGGTGCCTATTTTTTTGTTTCAAAAGCATCACCTGCATGTATCTCCCTGCTCGCCCTCCTTGTTGCCTGCCCTGCCATCGCTGTCATCGCTTCAATCGACCACGTGCTCGCCTCCGCTTGTGAGTTGGCATTTGGGTGTCATCCTCAGGTGTTGCCCCAGGTGAGTCCGCTTGCCCTATGTCATGCACTCCGGTCTTTCCATTCTCCTTCCCATGTGCCCATCCCCATTCATTGTCTTTCACATATACACCTCATACCCCCAACCCAACTCCACCACAACTCCAGTATTCGACCGGCAGACCCTCTCCCTCTTCAACTTCTCCACCCATCACGTGGTGACACGTGGCGCCTACACCAAGGAGGCCTCCGCCTTCTCTCCAGCCACCCTCTCTCACACACCCTCCGCCTCTGCTGCAGCACAGGCCGCCCTGCTGGTTCTCCGCAGCCTCCCCCCCAACGCCTGCCAGATATTCACCCTCATAGCACAGCCGTTTCTGTCAAATGCTGCCGGCAGTAAAGGCAGAGGCAGTGGAGGGGGGTCAGCTGGTGGCGGTTCTGGTTGTGGTGGGGGCGATGTTGATGGGGAGGAGGAAGGCGGTGGGTCAGGCCAGAAGAACCAGCCTCAAGGTGCCCTTTCTCCCGGACCCTCCTTTTTCCCTGCCCCTCCTTTCTCCCTGTCCCTCCTCTCTCCCTGCCCCTCCTTTTTCCCTGCCCCTCCTTTTTCCCTGCCCCTCCCTCTTCCCTGTTCTTGCGTTCTCCCTGCCCCTCCTTTCTCCCTGCTCCACCTTTCCCGCCCCACATGTTCACTCGATTTATTTCTTCCTACTCTTGCAAGTATGGTGCGCCAGTGATACATTGATTGCGCACATGCTTGCATTCTGTGACGGGGCGGTTACCAGCGCGGTAATCAGTGTCCTCCTTTCTTTCTCCACTCTTTCCCTCCCCCACGGTATCTGATATTTCCAGCCCTGCCCTTCGCCCAGCTCTACTCCCTCTGTCGAACACGCTTTCTGGTTACCAGCGAGGTAACGCTGCGGGCGCATCTGAGGGAGTTTGAGGATCATGCTCTGGTGAGAACGTTCAGGCAGGCCGATGGGACAGAGAGCGTGGGACTGCTGCTGCCCGTCCCAGCGCTGGCTCACGTGATGGAGCAGCTGGGTGGGAAATGACAGCCTAGTGCCGCCTGGTTTGAGTCGTCTCGGAACTCGAATGATACAAGCAACTGGGTGGGAAATGATGGGCTGGTGGTGTTTCGAGAGCACGCGAGGGGTTTTGAGGATCACATTCTTTTGGGGTTGTTCTGACAGCTGGATGGCATGGAGAGCTGCCTGCTGGAGCTCCTGATTCGTGTTAAGCAGCAGCTAGGTAGGAAGCGTCAGGCTGGTGCTCCCTGGTCATTGCTGCCACAAATGCAAGGTTTGTATATTGAATTCGAGTACATCATTGCTGCAAGACATGGTGTCCATCTTATCAGAAGGCGTTACAGTAACTCGTTTCGATTTTTCTATAGTGCGATTAGGACAAGCCCGGCTAATGTTGGACCTGATACTGTCGAGTGTTTCTGCTGAAAGTTGCGCTCGACCGTTCGATCATAGTCGATCCTCGACATCCTGAGGACATTACACGAGCATCTGACGGGGACATGTGTCACTGTTTCCCGCGCAAACAACTGGAACCACAAACTCTCGCGCTGCGGCTATGCTGTTACTTTTCTCGCGAAAACCTTCATTTCCTCGCTAATAAATTATCCCTCAAGCGAAACCAGCACTCTGGTTTACGAAAACTGGCGCCAAGCGCCGACGGTGCGGCGACCCCCTCCAAGGCAAAGGACAGTGGTTGCCATTCGAGCAATGTTGATTCTTCCTTCACTTTGCATCCCTTCTCTCTTATGGGTCCATGATTTGCTCTCCACCACTCTGAAACGTTCTGGATATCCTGCATTGCCTCGTTCAACTCCTCTCATACCAGCACTTTTCCCATTCCCGGATTCCATTGTCTAGCTTTTTTTAATGCCTCCCCTTCTCACCGTCTCCGCATCTCCCGCAGACTCCTAGACATTAGCTCGTTCGCTTCCCTGGAATCCATGGCTGTCGCCTGAGGTCTATATTACCAGCCATTAGCTATGCCTAAATTTTAGTCGTCACGAATTTCTTTATCTACTCGGTGCACCTGTTCGACTTTCATAGTCTACGCGTCAGCAATCCATGGCTGTCGTGTTCCATTCCATCACCTGTTCCATTCCGCTAACTGACCCGCAGACGATATATCAATCCTATCTGTATGGTATCTATTTTTAAGCTACTAGCTTAGATATCAGAACAGCTTGTAGCATTAGAAACTCTCGTCATTTGATCACTCATGGGCTCATAGCATAGAGAATTTACTGTCATTCGGAGACGGTTCATGAAACGGATAATGAGAAATTACTGTTCCAATTCGGAGATGGTTCATTTGGAGACGTTAGCAACGCCGTTGCAGTACACGACGATAGCGACTATCGGAATTTCGCCCTCGGAATTGGAGAATAAATTCGAAGGATTTCGCTTCTCAGAATCGGAGGCTTTCTGTTTTACAAGGATTCTTCACGGACGTTGACCATCTAGAAGGCGATCCCTGACTGCGATGATTGCTGACGCTGACGATCGAGACGGCGTTATCTGACGGTGAAGATTCTGATGAGGGGCCCTTACGGTGACGACGATTGTCGTTTTGTGACGGCGAGAACTTGTGAAATTTCTGACGGTGACGACCTTCTGACCGTGACAAGTCTTCGGATGGTGAAGAGTGGGAGTTTTTCGAGCCCTGACAGCGACGATATTGTGACGGCAACGATATCTGACGGCGACGATATTCTGACGGAGAAGGTTGAGACGGCGAGTTGCGTGGATGATGATCGTGACGGCGAGATCTCACATTGCTGTTCGAGATGCGTTTCCTGACTGTTACAATTGCGACGGTGGGCTCCTTGACTCTGACGGCCGAGGCGGTGAAGGCGAATGCGAAGGCGAGCGCGCGGTGGAAACGGAAGCGGAGAAAGTCGATGGAGTGGCGACGATTGCGATTGCGATTGCGATGATGGGTTCTTAAGGCGACGAGTGGCGTCTTATGATGGTGATGATCGAGGGTGGGAGTGCCGACCGTGACTGATCATCTGACTGACGGTGACGACCTTCTGACGGCGACGAGGTGGCGATTGAGGAGATTGCGAAATCTCATTAGTACTGAGACGGGAGTTTTGACGTCGACGATCGAGGCGGATATTCCAAGGTCGACGACCGCGATGGCGTTTTTTTATGAGCGTCGACGATCCGCGACGACGATATGCGACGACGATCTGCGACGACGATCTGCGACGACGATATGCGACGACGATATGCGATGACGATCTGCGACGACGACATGCGACGACGATATGCGACGACGATCTGCGACGACGATCTGCGACGACGATCTGCGACGACGATCTGCGACGACGATCTGCGACGACGATCCGCGACGACGATCTGCTGACATGTTGACAAGGAGGCGATGATTGAAGAGGCGATTGACAGCGATAGACCATGAGGGACGTTGCTGAGGTTGCTGCAGACGGGAAAGCGAAGGGGAAGGCGAAGGGGAAGGCGAAGGGGAAGGCGAAGGGGAAGGTGAAGGGGAAGGTGAAGGGGAAGGCGAATGCGAATGCGAAGGCGAAGGCGAATGCATCATGACGCTCAACCACCCCACCGCTACGTCCCCTCTTAACCCCCTTACTCGCTCCCTTGCCTTCCGTACTGCTTCTCTGTCTTCTGTTTTATTTGGCGATGGTAGCGCATGGCACTGAGGCGGCTTGAGCTCATATTAGAGTCCTAGGGGGATAGAATGCATTCATACCATGCTCGCGTCTCTTTCTTCCCCAGTCCACCCTCGCATGCTAGCTCTCGCTGCCCTAGTGCCATGCCTACCATCGCCTTTCGTTTTCTTTCGCCTCGTTGTTGCTTTGATTGTTTTCTTTCGCCTCGTTCTCCTTCGCCAACTGTACTCGCTTCGTTTTTATATTTGTTCTCTTCCTTGTTTCCATTCTTCCTTCTCCTAGACCAGTTTTCTAATTCCCTTTGCTCTGCCTTCTCTCACCACCCATTTCCTTGTCCTGCATGCCCTGCTGACCACGCCACTCCCTCACGCACCAAACGAGTTCGTCTGCCGCTGCTGCTGCTGCTGGGAGGGTTGCTGCTGGGAGTGTCGTTGATGATGGGAGTCACCCTGCTGCTTCGAAACAACTGCTGCTTTGCGATGGCGAGTCTTGACTCATGGCGATGATTGGGATGGCGTATTCTTGTGTTGAGATCGCGAGGACTAGTTCTTGCGGAGTCGTGCTCACGGTGACGATCAAGACAGGGATTTCTGATGGCGAAATGTCACGCGACTACGGATCAAGACGGCGACTGAGACGGCAAGTTCTGACGTCGACGACCAGGGCGGAATCGTGGAAGGCCGACGACTGCGACGACACGGTGTCGTTGATGCTGACGATCGCCGTCGTATGGCAGTGACGAACGCGACGGAAGGGTTCCAAGGTGACGAGTTCTGACGGGAACGTTTGACGCTGACGGCGGCGCTTGCTGACGGGAGGCGATCGGTGGAGCGCAGAACATGGGGAGCTCAAGAGCAGAACATGAGCGCAGAAGCTGCAGCGTGGACAGAGCGACGACCATCGGCGACGGCGTTGACGTTAGTGATGAAGGCGAAGGCGACCGAGGAAGGCGGAGGCAAATGCGAATGCGAGTGCGAAGGCGAAGGCGAATGCTGCGAAGGCGAAGGATCCAGTCGCTCAACCACCCCACAGCTAAGTCCCCTCTGAACCCCCTTACTCGCTCCCTTGCCATCCGTATCAATGCCTTGTCGCTTTGCTTTCTCACTGTGTGATCGTAACAAAAACGGCAATTCAGCGTGGCGAAGGTAGCGCATGGCACGAGGGCGGCAGAGCTCATTCTAGAGTTGTAGGGGGTAGACTGCATTCATACTCATGCCCGCGTCTCTTTCTCTCCCAGTCCACCCTTGCCTGCTAGCTCTTGCTGCCCAACTGCCATGCCTACCATCGCCTTTCGTTACCCTAGCGGATGTCTGTCTTTTTCACTTTTCTGTTTTTCTTTTTCTTCAGCAGATTCATTGTAATGCTTGCTTCCTTGCTTTTTTCTGTTCAATCCCGTCAATCACTGCCTTGTCTCCCCAATCCATTCCCCTTGTCGCAGGCCAGGAAAGGAGAGGGGAGGGAGGGCAGTGGGATGACGCACGGCAGGCATGGGTGTGCCCTGCTGACCACGCCACTCCCTCACGGGCAGCTGGGAGTGCGGGTGATGGGAGTCTCTGTGCTGCTGGGAGGGCTGCTGGTGGGAGTCTCGCTGCTGCTGGGAGGGCTGCTGGTGGGAGTCTCTGTGCTGCTGGGAGGGCTGCTGGTGGGAGTCTCGCTGCTGCTGGGAGGGCTGCTGGTGGGAGTCTCTGTGCTGCTGGGAGGGCTGCTGGTGGGAGTCTCGCTGCTGCTGGGAGGGCTGCTGGTGGGAGTCTCGCTGCTGCTGGGAGGGCTGCTGGTGGGAGTCTCGCTGCTGCTGGGAGGGCTGCTGGTGGGAGTCTCGCTGCTGCTGGGAGGGCTGCTGGTGGGAGTCTCGCTGCTGCTGGGAGGGCTGCTGGTGGGAGTCTCGCTGCTGCTGGGAGGGCTGCTGGTGGGAGTCTCTGTGCTGCTGGGAGGGCTGCTGGTGGGAGTCTCGCTGCTGCTGGGAGGGCTGCTGGTGGGAGTCTCTGTGCTGCTGGGAGGGCTGCTGGTGGGAGTCTCGCTGCTGCTGGGAGGGCTGCTGGTGGGAGTCTCGCTGCTGCTGGGAGGGCTGCTGGTGGGAGTCTCGCTGCTGCTGGGAGGGCTGCTGGTGGGAGTCTCTGTGCTGCTGGGAGGGCTGCTGGTGGGAGTCTCTGTGCTGCTGGGAGGGCTGCTGGTGGGAGTCTCGCTGCTGCTGGGAGGGCTGCTGGTGGGAGTCTCGCTGCTGCTGGGAGGGCTGCTGGTGGGAGTCTCGCTGCTGCTGGGAGGGCTGCTGGTGGGAGTCTCGCTGCTGCTGGGAGGGCTGCTGGTGGGAGTCTCGCTGCTGCTGGGAGGGCTGCTGGTGGGAGTCTCGCTGCTGCTGGGAGGGCTGCTGGTGGGAGTCTCGCTGCTGCTGGGAGGGCTGCTGGTGGGAGTCTCTGTGCTGCTGGGAGGGCTGCTGGTGGGAGTCTCTGTGCTGCTGGGAGGGCTGCTGGTGGGAGTCTCTGTGCTGCTGGGAGGGCTGCTGGTGGGAGTCTCGCTGCTGCTGGGAGGGCTGCTGGTGGGAGTCTCTGTGCTGCTGGGAGGGCTGCTGGTGGGAGTCTCTGTGCTGCTGGGAGGGCTGCTGGTGGGAGTCTCGCTGCTGCTGGGAGGGTGGTGGCTTGGAGTGCCGGCAATGGGAGTCCAACTGCTGCGCGGGTCACAATGGGAGGAGCAGCCTCCTGATGCACCTTGGAACGACTGCTGCTGCTTCCCTCGCTAAGTTCCCTCCTAAGCGCCACTCTCTCTTGCCATCCGCATTCCTTCATCTCTTTCACTCTTGGAAAATCTCACCGCACATTCGTCCCTTGGCGCATGGTGGTGGTGGTCCGTGGTGCTATGGCAGCAGAGCTCATGTAGAGTGCAGTGTAGTGGGAGTGGTGGGATAGAGTAGTGGAGAGGGAGTGCATTCATGCCATGCGTGCGTCCCCCAGTCCCCCCTCGCTGGCTCAGCTCGCTGCTCTAGTGCCATGGGCCACTGTCACCATGCGCCATGGGCCACTGTCGCTGGCTCAGCTCGCTGCTCTAGTGCCGTGGGCCACTGTCGCCATGCGCCTTCCCCGTTCCCCCCTCCCACCACGATTCAACCACTCCTTGTTCGCTGTGCTCCATTTTGAAGATTCTCAATGCTCGCTCGTCACTGCTTGTGCTCTATTGCCACCTTGACGTTCTTGCTGCTCCCATCATTTCAAGTTCCGAGGCCCATCCTCTTCCTTTGCATCTCCTTCTCCCTCTGCCGTCTACCCCTCTGGCCTCAAGGCGAACAGAGTGCAGGGGGGGCAGAGCCGCACAGTGCTCGCCGCAGCAGCATGGCAGTCAACGCCAGTCAACGTCAGTCAACGCCAGTCCTCGAAACCCACGCCCATGCCATCGCTGCCCTTATGGTATGATATGCATCACTTTCACTGCACCCCGCTCTCTCCTTCGCTTCTTCCATTCCATTGCATGTCCCCAAATTCTCGTGCATGTTTCAAGTTTCTCGGTTTTGCTCCACCTTGACCTGCTTTCTGCCCGAGTCTGAGTTGCTGCTCGTCACCAAACCATCAAACCTGCGATGGTAGCGCATGGCACTGGGGCGGCTTGAGCTCATACTAGAGTCCTAGGGGAATAGAATGCATACATATTCATGCTCGCTTCTCTTTCTTACCCCCAGTCCACCCTCGCGTGCTAGCTCTTGCTGCCTAGTGCCATGCCTACCATCGCCTTTCGATTTACTGGTGCCAAGTGTTGTTGCTTTGATTGTTTCCTTTCGCCTCGTTCTCTCTCGCCAACTGTACCCTCGTTTTTATCTTTGTTTTCTTCCTTCTTTCCATGCTTCCTTCTCCTAGATTCTAATTCCCTTCCCCTCTGCCTTCTCTCACCACCCATTTCCATGTCCAGGCCAAAACAAAGGGAGGGCAGTGGGACGACACATGGCGTGAGTCCTGCATGCCCTGCTGACCACGCCACTCCTTCACGCGCCAAACGAGCTCCACTGGCGCTGCTACTGCTGGGAGGGCTGCTGATGGGAGTGCTGTTGGTGATGAGAGTTACTCTGCTGCTGGGAACAACTGCTGCTACTTCCGTCCATCGCTCAACCCGTCCTACCGCTGCTAAATCCCCTCTTAACCCCCTTACTCTCTCTCTTGCCATCCTTATTGCTTTCTGTCTTTGGCTCAATGTCTTGTCGCTTTGCTTTCTCGGTGCATGGTCGTAACCAAAACGTCAAACCAGCGTGGCGATGGTAGCGCATGGCACTGGAGCAGCTTGAGCTCATACTAGAGTCGTAGGGGGGTAGAATAGAATGCATTCATACCCATGCTGCGTCCCTTCCTAATTTGCCTGCTAGCTCGGCGCCCTAGTGCTGTGTGCTACCATCGCCTCTCCTTTCACAGCGTCACAGTCAGTGCCACGTGCTTTTTGTTATCAGCTTTCGTTTCCTCTACTCATCGTTCTTGTTACCTCTGCCTCCTAGCAGGCATTTCACCACTTTCATGCTTCTACTGACCACTTGTGTTCCTTTCCCCTGCTCTGTTTTCTTGCTCTCCTTCCCATCTCGTCTGGTGCTATGGCAGCGTGGTGCGGGGAGGGAGGGCGGTGGGATGACGCACGGCAGGCAGTCACAGCGGTGTGCGAGCCTCCTGGAAGCCTGACGCCACTGTCCTGCAAGCACCCCCATACGGCTAAGTTCCCTCTCCCTTCGCCCTTGCCATCCTTACCGCTTCTGCTTCGTGTTTTTTCATTGCCCACTTTCGTACGGCATTCTTCCGTCACCGCGTGCTCAAAAAAAATAACGTCATTTTCGAATGGGAGCGATCAAAAGTTGAGTGAGAGATGAGCGGCGTTTGGCGATGGTAGCGCATGGCACTGGGGCGGCTTGAGCTCATACTAGAGCCGTAGGGGGGTAGAATAGAATGCATTCATACCCTTGCTGCATCCCTCCCTAATTTGCCTGCTAGCTCGGCGCCCTAGTGCTGTGTGCTACCATCGCCTCCCCTTTCACAGCGTCACAGTGCCACGTGCTTTTTATCTTCAACTTTCGTTTCCTCTACTCATCGTTCTTGTTATCTCTGCCTCCTTGCATGCATTTCACTACTTTCATGCTTCTACTGACTACTTGGGTTCCTTTCCCCTGCTCTGTTTTCTTGCTCTCCTTCCCATCTCAATTGGTGCTATGGCAGCGTGGTGCGGGGAGGGAGGGCGGTGGGATGACGCACGGCAGGCAGTCACAGCGGTGTGCGAGCCTCCTGGAAGCCTGACGCCACTGTCCTGCAAGCACCCCCATACGGCTAAGTTCCCTCTCCCTTCGCCCTTGCCATCCTTACCGCTTCTGCTTCGTGTTTATCATTGCCCACTTTTGTACCGCATTCTTCCGTCACCGCGTGCTCGAAACAAATGAGCCCATTTTCGAATGGGAGCGATCAAAAGTTGAGTGAGAGATGAGCGGCGTTTGGCGATGGTAGCGCATGGCACTGGGGCGGCTTGAGCTCATACTAGAGTCGTAGGGGGGTAGAATAGAATGCATTCATAATCATGCTGCGTCCCTTCCTTATTTGCCTGCTAGCTCGGCGCCCTAGTGCTGTGTGCTACCATCGCCTCCCCTTTCACAGCGTCACAGTGCCACGTGCTTTTTATCTTCAACTTTCGTTTGCCCTTCCCACTCCCGCACTCCGCTGTTGGGGTCTCTTCGACCGTCTTCTTTTTTATTTGTTGTTTTATTCTTTTTATTCACGTCTCTATCTTCTTCCCCCCTGCCTTCCCTACGACAGGAGTGGTCAACATGGGAGCGCCGTTTAAAAGGAATAGAAGCAAGGGTCAAAGCGATTTACCACTCTTTTTCTCACGGTAACATTCATCAAGCCCCTTTCTCCTGCACTCTGCGTCTTCTGCCCTTGCCCATTCGTCCTCTTCCTCTTCAATCTTTGATCAGTGGTCTCTCCTCTCTTCATGCTTCCATTCATCTGTCTGAACAACTTAGATTCTCTTTCATGTTCCGCTGCTCTTTCCTCTTCTGCTCCCCTCCTCTCTTCTGCTCGACTCTTCTGCTGTCCACTCTTCTTCTCCTCTTACAGCACCGGCATGACAGCTTAGAATGATTGTCGGTGCAATAACAGCATTGACTAAGAAGAGGGGAGAAGAGGGACAACATGCCAGGGTAACGTAAGTCTCCCTGCTTGCTGCTCGCTGCTTCTTCATGTGGTCATCCATGTTGCTTAAGATTCTCACCCTCCCCCTTGCTCCACTTGTTTGTTCTGCTTCTTCCGCCTTCGCTTGACTTCACGTCCTTTGTGCTTTCCATTTCCATGACTGCCTTTTCTCATTCCGTGTGTTTGGTGGTTTCCTGCAGCACTGTGCTTTTTGACATGCTATGCTTGTCACTTGCTAATGCTATGCTTGTCACTTGCTTTGTTGGTCTCGGTCCTCGTGCCAGGCTCATTTCTTCCGTCCCCTCCCTTAACGTGACTCCTCTCTCAGACCCAGTACTTTGCGCCATAATGAAGGGAGTGCATACAAATCCCTCAAATCTCCATTTTTCCCGAATTCCCAACTTCCCAAATTCACAGATGGAGGGAGGGAAAGGCAGACGGGAGGGAGGGAAAGGCAGACGGGATGGAGGAACTCTGCCCTGACCGCACCTACACTCTGGTAAGATGCCTTTGCTTCCTTCTGGATTAAATCCCTGCCTCTGCATGTATGCACTTCGCTGCTAGCCATGAACCCAATAGCCGACATTTGGCCAAGCCACTGACCTCATAGCCGAGCCATGAACCCCTTGGTGGAGTGCTGGCTGGGCTATTGACTGACTCGTTGGGTCGTTAAACTGTTCTACAGCTTCAAGTAGTGATAAAAGGCATTTCATGATGAAGCATGCGCCTGTAAGTTTGGGCTCACTAGTTCTTTCAATTGAGCTGACAGCGAACCTAGAAAATGCCTGAGCCATATTGACAGCTCATTTTTCTAGAAAATGCTTTTGTGGCCAGCTCATGTATAGAAACTGAGTTGATGGATGCAAGGCCAGCTGATGCCCAGAAACTAGGCAATTTATCAGGGAGAAACAATGAACACTGTGTGCGTCATCATCCTCCTCTCATCGCCCTCCTCTCAGGAGGAGGTCTTCGATCCTCTTGACGTCAGCAGGCACGTCCACCCCGTGTGCTGAATGCGCCACCTTCACCACCTGCACACGCACGGGCACGCAAGCACATGCACATGTAGGGTGATGCATCTTAGGAATTGACTGGCACTGCATGTCAGCAGGCACGTCCACTCCATGAGCTGAATGCGCCACCTTCACCACCTGCACACGCACATGCTCAGCAGATGTTTAAGACACATCGGCACGGCACAGAGGCAGGCAGGGCCATGCACGCTGCAAGTAGGAATTTGCAATACGAATCAGCAGGCAGGTCCACCCGGTGAGCTGAATGCGGCACCTTCACCACCGCGTGACAACCCACCTTGACTTTAAACCCCTGCTCCAGTATCCGCAGCTGCTCCAGCTGCTCCTCCTCCTCCAACCTCCCCGGCTCACACGCTCTGTACTGTGCTAGGTAGGCCGCATCATATGCCTGTGTGGAGGGTGTGCAAAGGGGTTCCCAAGGGAGAGAGAGGGTGGGGAGACAGGAGAGGAGGGAAGAGAGAGAGGGGGAAAACCAGTGGGTGAAAGAAGGAAAGAGAGGGGGGAGAGAGAACAGGGGGATAGAGGAAAAGAGAATGGGGGGATAGAGAATGGGGGGGATAGAGTAAAAGAGACTGGGATAAGAAGAGTATCTGTACTGTAGGCTCAAATGCAACATGTATGGGTAAAACAGGGAGGAAGAGGGGGGAGAGGAAGAGTTGGCGGAAAGAGAAAGGGATACGGTAAGTAGAGTACCTGTAGGCCCAGATGCAGCATGTATGGGTAAAAGAGGAGGAGGAGGAGGGGAGAGATGGGGAGTTGGGGTTTTGAGAGGGGGAAAAGTAGAGTACCTGTAGGCCCAGATGCAGCATGTATGGAAAGCCAGGATGAGGCACTCCGTCCCTGCAATGCCGCAGCAGGGGCATTGTGTGAGAGAGAGACACACACACAATGGACGCACTTGTGCAAATGTTCGGAAGCACGCGGGGATAGGAGGCAGTTATTTACAATCCTATGTAGATACCGATACAATGGGGTACACAGCGATTGGACTGAGATTCGATCTGAATGTTCACATGATTCCTGCCTCCGTGGTGGGATATTGAACCACTGTGGAAAGGGTTCAGATCCTGGTTGGCAGCTCACCTGTTGTGGGGAATGAGCGCCCGTGAGAAGTAGAGAGCAAAGCCTCTGCTGTCCACCACACACTTGACACGATTCGGGTCAGGCGCTGCTGATGCTTTTATGTCTGCCACTGCTGTCGCTGCCACTGCCTGAGGTGATTCCTGTAAAACAATGTTGGAATAAGATGGGAAACAGAGAGTGATGGGTTTGGATGGGTGATGGCACCAATTGCTGCTTCTATGTCTGCCACTGCCGTCGCTGCCACTGCCTCAGGTGCTTCCTGTGAAAGTTGGTTGAAAGAAGTTGGGAAGCGGGTAGTGACGGGCTTGGATGGGTGATGGTGGTTTGAATGGTCCCATATCTGCCTCTGCTGTCAACAACACACTTGCCCTTCTCACTGCCCCTTGACCTTCCCCACTGTAGCAGCTACAGTGAAAGGAACCTGTAATGCAATCACAACCGCATCAATGGTAACTGGTTCGATGAGCGGCTCATCCCCCTGACCCACTGCCGCTTCAGCCGCCATGGTAATACAACAGCTACCTCTACAGTGCACTTACCTGTAATGCAATCACGACAGCATCAATGGTAGCCGGGTCGATGAGAGGCTCGTCCCCTTGAATGTTCACCACCACGTCCCACTGCCCCTTGAGCCTCTCCACCGCCTCGGCACACCGCTCCGAACCTGCCGGGTTGGTTCGGAAGAGTGGGAGGCAGAATGTCAGAGCGCCCATCCGATGTGATGCGCCGATCCATACTTGCAATGATTCACCAATGATCAGATAACGATCCAACGATACGCTCTTGAGAATTCTCAAAAGTGCTGCCTTCTATCCACGCGTGTGCTCTAGCATTTACATACACGTGCACCCAGCTAATACCTTCATGCTCGGATGCTCCCTTGCTCCCATGGGCGGCTTACCATTGCTACAAGCTGCTGACGTCATGATGACCTCAGCACCGAATCCCTGGCAGCAACTAGCAATTTTCTCGTCGTCCGTTGCAACCACTGCCAGGGGATGGCATAGGGGGAGGGGGGGTGGGGGGGGGGTGGGGGGGGGGGGTGGGGAGGGGGGTGGGGAGGGGGGTGGGGAGGGGGGGGGTGGGGAGGGGGGAGCGGGAAGTGAGCGAAGCGAGGGAGGAGAGAGGGAAGGAATGATGAAGATGAATGAAGGAGCACTTGAAGCACTTTTGTCACTCACACACGACAAAACACCAGTCTCCTCTATTCCTCTCCCTCTCCTTGTCCCCCTTGTTACCCATCTTTCCCCCCTCATTTCCTCACTAAACCCCCTCTCCGTCTCCCTCTCCCTCCCTTCTTTCCCCCCCCCCTCCCCACCGCCTACGTACCCACTCGATCGAGCGTTTGAGCAAGCTTTGCACGCTCCCACGTGTGCTGTGGGCAGATGCAAGGGGGGAAGAGGAGAGAGGGGGGGGAGGAGGGGAGGGGAGGGGAGGGGGATGATGGAAGGGGGGAACGAGGGGCGGAACTGTGTTTTGTTGAGGGAAGAAAGGAAGCAACAAAAGGGAGGAAGGGAGGAAAAGTGGAAGAGTGGAAGAGAGGAGAAAGGGAGGAAAAGAGGAGGAGAGGAGGGAGGGCGCGTGTGATGACAGGGGAGGGGGCAATGAGGGCTGGGGGGTAAGGGAAGGGAAAGGGGTGAGGGTTTAAGTAGAGTACCGTAAAAACTAGGCGGGGAGAGAAATTGGTGCTGAGCGAAGAACCCACTCACCCCTTCCCCATTCCCCCCTTCCCCCATTCCCCCCCTCCCCCATTCCTCCCCTAACCCCTTCCCCCCATCCCCTCCTTCCCCCGCGGGCCCCCCCCTCCCCTTCCCCCCTTTATTTATTATTGCTGTACCTGAATCATGGGTCGCCCCGCAATCAGCGCTAGCGGCTTCCCCACGAACCGCGAGGACGCGAATCGCGCGGGAATGATTCCGATCACGCGGCGCCGCCGCTTTCTTCGCGACGCGCCTACTGCGGCCCGGATCGCAAGTGCTGTCCCGCCCACCGCAACCACCGCTGCAGCGGCAATCGCGGCAGCGGTGGCTGCTTTTCCAGCTAGACTGTATCCTTGGGGTAAATAAGATACTAATGAGTCTAAATATCCCGAATCGGAAGCATCAGCTTCGGCTTTAACGCGTCCTACGAGCCGCTCCGCATGGTCTTTAATCCCGCGCGCCGCGGATGCCACCCATTTCAGCGCGGCGGTTAAAGAGGTATCTGACGAAACAGATCGAGATGCATCCGGTATTCTCGATACCTCGTTCCCGGTGCCGGATTCAGTGTGGGGATTTAACCTCGTTGCTTCTGCTGCTTCTGCGGCTGCTGCTGGTGCGGGGGAGAAGAGTAGACGGCACGCAATCACGGCTGCCGCTGCCGCGCCGGCAGTCGTGACAGCGACTGCTAACGTCGCGGCCGAACCTGACGGTTGCATTGTGACAACTGACGCTCCCGCGGTTTGGGGAGTACGTCCGGCAGCGACGAACAAGTATATGGCCCAAGTATCTACGCGCTTTAGACGTAATTCGCTGGGTGGGTCTAGCCAGGTCTGATGTGAGGGCACTGCAGGGGCGCGGATTGTGTCTGATCCGCGTTTTGTGCAACGGGGGCGACCAATTGCCAATAGTGTGACTTGTTTGCATTATAGTCAAAACTTGTAGAAGTAAAATTTCCATGTTATAAATTTCTGATACACCTCTAGAACTATAAGAAACCACAGGTACAATACACATATTTTTTCCACGCACAAAGCTGCAATTTGGATCAAGCCAGCCCAAATTTGTGCTGGTGGTACTAGCTTTAGTGCACATATTACGCAATTTTTCATGTTACATGCCCATGCAGCTGCCAAGCATTTGCTTAGGGAGAGAGGAACCAGAACCAGTTTAAAATGGAAGAATGCCACAGCCTGAACATTGTTGGGCTGAGATAGCCCCTTAGGATCTTTTCAAGGGAGAACTCTGGGTAGGATAGTGTTGTAACAGCGGAAGCTTTGATGAAAGATTATGAACCACCTTGCGCTGGTATGTGAGGGCAAAGTAGATTAATTATAGCAAGGAAGTACAAGATTATATAGTAATACAGGGAATATGAAAGGATGCAGTTTGTAACTACTTTACTGTTGCTGTTGCGGTTCGATACAGTACGACTCGGGCAACTGCTCTGTAACGAGTCAGTTGTGTGTCCTTAACTGTCGCGCTGTATTTGTCAGGTCAAAGGTCGCTTGACCTTTGACTTTCGCGTAACCTCCAGCAACCTCTCAACCTCCGAGGGTTGACTCGCGTTTGTTTCGGTACTGCTTGCTTCGCTTCTGGTGCGATGTTTCGACACGACTGAAGCGCTTAAGATTTACTGTTTCCAACACTCCCCTTCGCTTCTGGAGTGTCGCTGCTGATGACGTGGCCCTGTCCAGTCAGCAGCATGCAGTACTCGAACTTCTGCTTTCCGAGCTTCTTGGTCAAATAGTCGGCTGCCATCTCGGACGTGGGGCAGTATGACAGCTGAAGTCTCCCTTTCTCGATCTCGTCTTTCACGAAGAAGTAGCGCAGGGCGATGTGTTTCGTCCTGTTCGCGAAGCCGTTTTTGTTGGCGATGCGAATTGCTGATTGATTGTCGCAGAACAGGGTGAAGCTGGGTAACTCAGCCAACTTTGCTTCTTCCAGCAGTTCGCGAAGATAAAGGCCTTCTTTGGTGGCTGAGCAGAGTGCGATGTATTCTGCTTCAGCTGAAGATAGCGCGATTAACTCCTGCTTGCTCGACTGCCAGGAGATAGGACCGATAGGTTCGAGGCGGTAAACGTAGCCGGTGCGTGAGCGCCTGTTGTCGGAGTCGCCGGCGTGATCGGCGTCGACGTAGCCGATTAGCTTGGTTGGTGCGGTTGCGTTCTTGTGGTAGGTTAGGCCGATCGTCGGGGTGCTGATGAAGTAGTGAAGAGCTCGGTCGAGCTCTGCCAGGTGCTCTGCTTCGGGCTTCTTGAGGTAGGTGGCGAGCTGGCTTGCGGAGTATGAGAGGTCGGGACGGCAGGTAACAGCTGCGAAGAGGAGACATCCTAGCTTCCTCTGATAGTCGCGTACGCCGGCGGGTTTGAGTAAGGTGGATTTTCCCTTGTCGGTTCCTGTCGTGTAGCGGTATGGTGTTGAGATCGCGGCCGGCGTGAGACCGAAGCGTTTGGCGATGGTGTCGGCGTACTTTTCGGCGCTGAGGTAGATCGCGTCTTCTTCTTCTCGGATGTTGAGGCCGAGGTACTGAGTGACGGTAGGCGAGACCGTGAGTGTGAGGTCTTGCTGCAGCTCCCCTTCGAACCAGGTAGTGATGCCGTCATTTGACCCGATGTAGAGGAGATCGTCCACGTAGACGATTAGTAGAACGTAGTCGTCGTTCTTCGTGAGGCGATACATCCCTTGATCGTGTGGGAGTTGCTTGAAGCCGATGCGGATGAGGCGAGCGTGTAGGTACTGTTGCCATAGTCGCGGGGCCTGTTTGATCCCGTAGAGTGATTTTAGCAGCTGGCAGACATGCGTGGAGTCTGTGTTGGAGCCGTGTGGTAGCTCCACAAAAATCTCTGCGTCAACAGGTGCGTAGAGAAAAGCATTTGCGACGTCGATTTGTCGCAGCTTCTTTTTCTTCATGGCGGCGATCGCGAGGAGAATTCGCAGTGAAGTGTGGCGGCTGACCGGAGCGAAGGTTTCGGTGAAGTCACGTCCGTGCTCCTGGTCGAAGCCGCGCACGACCCAGCGTGCTTTGAATTTGTCGATGGTGCCGTCAGCTTTCGTCTTTACACGGAAGACCCATTTTCCGGTAAGTATGGTCTTGTTTCGTGCTACGCCGATAGGAACGACCTTCCAGGTGTTGCGTTCTTCTAACGCCTTCAATTCCCTGTCCATGGCTTCGCGCCATTTTTCCCTATGCTCCCCCCCCAGAGCCTGTTGAACCGTCGCAGGCTCCTTAGGAATGTCGGCGCCGTGGACTGCGGTGACGAGGCCAAGGATTTGGAGTCCACTCTGTGTGTAGCGGGGAAGTGTGGTGTCCTCGGGATAGACTGCTTCGTCTCCAGCTTCTGGATCAGGTGCGAAGTTGGGTCCTACGCGTTCTGCTTCGTTGGTGTTGACTTCAGCAGGTGTAACGTAACCGTTGTCGGCGAAGTGGTAGTAAACTTCGGCGTTGATGCTTTCGCGTGGGTCTTCGTCGTCCATTGGTACGTCCACTGGGCAGTAGGGAAGAGGTCCGGCTTCTTCCGAGGCTCTGTCCACGGTCTGCTCGTCCCAGTCTGCTTTGTCTTCTGCCGAGGCGAAGGCTCGGGTGCCAGTGAATCCGCCCGTGAGGTCAGGTCTGTTGGCTCTGACGTACGCGAGATGAACGTCGAGGGTGAGGTGTTCGTAGAAGATTACATCACGTGCTGCGACTGTTTCCTTGCTGTTGATGTCGAAGATTTTCCATGCGTTGTGGTGTTTTTCGATGCCCAGGTGTACTCCCCACTGTGCTCGTTGAGAGAATTGACCGGCGCGTGCAGATGGTGGTCGGTACTGTACCATGCACCCGAAAACTCGTAACATTTTTGTGTTGCCCAATTTTCCTGTCCACAGCAGGTGCGGTGATGCGTTGTTCGGGAGCGATGATGACGAGAGCAAGTTGTGCAGCATGACGGCGTGGTCCATTGCTTCGGGCCACTGGTGGTTGGGCAGATGCATGCCACGTAGCAGCTTGCGCATGGTGGCTTGAAGTGTCCTGTTCATCCGTTCTGCTACACCTTGCTGTTGATGGGCGTAGGGAAGGGAGATGAGCCGCTTGATTCCCTTTTCTGCCAAGTAGTCCTTGAACCTCTGTGAGGTGTATTCTCCTCCCCCGTCGGACTGAAAACTTTTCAGTTTTACGCCCGATTCTCTTTCTGCTGCAGGAAGCCACGCGACGAACGCTTCGAAGGCCATGTCCCTGACGGCTGGGTAGGTTGAGGTGCCAGACGTATCTGGTTGCGGCGTCGATGAAGGTAATCGTGTAGTTGTAAGTGTTCTGTCCAGGTTCGCGGTTGTACAAGATGTCGCTGTACACTTTCTCGAGCGGTGCGTAAGCTGGTGCGCTTGGATTGTGGTGAGATGGAAATGGTTGTCGCGTTAGGTCTGCTTCGGGGCAGGTGAAGCATGTTCCTCGAGCTCGCTGAAGTTCTCTGCCGTCGGTCAGTAGGAGTGAGTCCTTGTCAAGAACTCCTGCTCTTATTATGTTATTTAACACCGTGTGACTCGGATGTCCCATCCTTGCGTGCCAGGTTCCTTCAGTGGCGCGGTGTCCTTGGGAGCGTCGGTACATGTCGGAGTTGGAGTAGAAGCCGGCGGTGAAGTTGGCGCTACGGTGAACTTCTCGCGGTGCTGGTTGAAGTTGCTGTGCGGGTGTTGGTGGCGTGTCGTCGATGAAGAGTGGTGCCGTCGAAGGACCGGCGACTGGTGTTGATGTTCCTACTGCTGCTGTCGTTGCTACTCCCGATGTTGTCTCTGCTGCTGCCGATGTTGTCTCTGCTGCTGCCGATGTTGTTTCTGCTGCTGCCGATGTTGTTTCTGCTGCTGCCGACTGTTGAATCGTTGCTAACGCTCTTGTTCTTTCTGTTTCAGGAATGGTGTGTGAGTACCAGAAGCCGCCCGGACTGAAGTCTGGATCAAGGTCTGGAGGGTGCGTCCAATTAGTAAAATTGACGATGGCGTCACTGTCAGCGGTGCCAAGGTCCGGAACGAAGTCAAGAACGAAGACGTTGTTCTTGAGGACCGACTTTCCGATGTAGAGACCGCCTCTCCCGTGGTACAGCTTGAACTCCTGGGTGGTGCTGTCTGCTTCAAGATGGATGCCTTTCGCCATCAGCTGACTGACGCTCAGTAAGTTGTATCCGAGGCCTTCTGCAATTAAAACCTTGGACATTTGTAGGATGACGTTTGTCTCCCGTGACTGAAGTTGAACGATTCCTTGTCGTCGTGTGCGCAGGTTTTGGTTGTTGGCGACGGTGATGACGACTTCTCGCTGAAGCTGATACTCTCGTTGTACGAAGCGTCCCGAAGAACACATGTGCTGCCCGCAGCAGCTATCCAGGAACCATGTGTCCTTCCCGGATGGCTCGCTTTGGGCGATGGCGGCGTACGTCGGGTTCGGGTGAAGTAGTTCGCGTCGAGGAGTGGTTTCATCGAGTTGTTCTTCCGGTGAGTAGTACGGTGGTGATTCCGTGACGCAAGAGTCACTCAGTCTTGCCATGCAGCTAACGATGTTTCTTGCTCCTTGTGCAGGTTGTCCCGTTGAGGTCGTTGAAGCTTGAATTTGAGTCGTCGGGTTCGCCTGTGTTGACGTGACTTGGTTGCTTGAAGGTCGTAGACGCCGTTGCGGAGTTGTTGACTGTTGATGGTTTGGGCAGTGCGTGCGCGGGTGCCCTGAAGTTTTGCAGATGTGGCAGAAGGGAGGTACTGGCTTCGGTTGTTGCTGTCGGTTGTTGTCGTCGTAAGGTGTGAAACGCAAACTCTAATGCTGTTGTCTTCTTCCTGTGTCGTTCTTCTTGCAGGTCCATGTCTTGCTGCTCGGCGTGGATTTCGGCGCAGAGTGCTGCTTCAGAGATTCTCCCGTGGGCTCGAAGAATGGCTTTGGTGGCGCGCCATTGAGGACCGAGACCACCAATGATGACCGTCACGAAGGCGTCTTCAGAGATGGACCCTCCACATCGAAGAAGCTTGTCGCGCAGTTCGCGACATCGGCTGATATACGCCATCCCCTTTTCTCCTGGTTTCATCTCAACTGTTGTCAGCTGCGCCATTAACCTGCTCTGGTTTACGCTGTCTGTTGCTTG